TCCTCTTTCCCATGATTTCTGACCACGTGCAACATTTTAACGGCTCCTTTTTGCCCCCAAATATAAATATTATTTATGAATGGTGTCACGTATTTACACATATTTCATGTCGTCGTAACGCCATAAATAAAAGAGAATAAGTCAAAATTAGATTCTTCCCGTGAAACGAAACCCTTTTTAATTGTCTCCATTTTCATTAAGAAGAAGTCGTCGCCGCCGTTCAAACTAACGGAACGAGCCATTCAATTCAATCGTCGTTGGTGAATTTCCAGGTAGTAATGACACCAACTAAATTATGAAAGGATGACACAATTTATGTCGAAAAATTCCATAAGAATCACGTGATTGTGACCCATTTTAAGTAAATAAGAACTTGGAACGGAAATAAATTCTGCGTCCTTGTTCGTGACAATGGGAAATTGAGAGGGAAGTAGTAGTAAATTTGTGGTTGGTTTAGGGGAGGGGACGCCTTGAAGGGTCGTCGCCCAAGGATTAGGATTATACATAAAAGGTTAATATTTGTGTGTCAGGCAGGTGCATTTGAATATAATTATCGTTGTCACCCCATTTGTCACAAGATTGAAAAGAACGAAAGTGTTGTAAGTAACTGGACTTGAGATTAAGGGCGAATTTTAAGGGCGAGACTTTTGTATTTGTCTGGACTGGACTGGAGATGGAATTTGGGCCGAGTTTATTACCGTAATAATGGAATTCACACCGTGTCTGTATGTAAATTTATTACATGGAAAATTCTAAAAATATTCTTAAGGGTGACACGAATTTTCCAATTATTTTTAAACGCCACACTTTTAAAATTGAGGTGAGTAGCGAAGTGAATAACACAAATTTTTCTTGACTTGTTACTCGTTGATTAAGTTGACTATGAAATGCAAAAAATAGGGAATTATTGGCACTGATTTTTGGCGATGATGCCATATTTGTAATAATTTTAATTCAACCCGATGCACTCCCTGCAGCAGCAAAAACTTGTTTACTGTTACGTACATTATCTCGTTTTGTTCTTGTCCTACTGCACACAAATTCTGGTTTCAATTCACCAACCAAACCACCCTTTGATCAGTGTAATACTGACCGGGTGCACCTGTTCTTTTAGTAAATTTATGTCATACAATTATGTATGTGGATACGAATTTCTTGGCGTTATGAGGGGAAAAATGTAGGATTTTAATACGTATGTATGAAAAGAAATATCATTCATGACACCAAATTTATCGGAGGGTTGGTGGATATGGGTAAATTGAATTAATTATGTATGAAGAATAAAAGGCGATGAATAAAATTATCATTTGTGCAAAAAAAAAATTGCAAAATCACGCTGATAACGTGAGTAACCTTCTCTTCGGGATTATTCAATTAAATACGGATTTGTAAAGAAATCAGAACGTAGGGGAAAAAGATGGTTGTTTTTTTCGTGTAAATTTCGGGTGTGATGACTTTTTGATGATGATCACGTTATGTACATACAAAAAATCTTTCTCGGGGTAGAATTTTTTGTGTTGAAAATCTTATTAGAAAATTCTTTTGTTTGTGTAATAATTCAAATCAAACGAGCCTGAAATATGCCATTTATCGTAATTTATTCTCCTTTAAAACTGAAACTGCACCCCCAGAAATACTCACATTTTTGTCTCTGTAATGTAATGAAATGAAATGTTATCTGCTAAGAAAAAAAGCGGTCTGACCAGCCCAAGATATGAGACCACCAACCATTCCCTTGCATGGGCGTCTGATCGACACATCTCATCTCATTCAAGTTCGAATTTATCTCTCCTACATGTTTTTCTTCCTTTGCCAAGAATGAAATAACACTGGTTATCAGCAGATTGGGGGAGGTCGTGCAGATGAGATGTGGATAGATTTCGACACGTTTTACTTCAAGGAGTGACGACGGCGTGCTTTCTGCTGGGCGAACCACCCGGTTTATTTCATTTCATAGATAGATAAAAGAAGAAGCAGAAGAAGAAGAAGGGATGATGAATTAACGATTGACCTAGATTTTTATAGATACCCAAGAAGTCTAATCCCTCCATATTCTGAGCCGAGGAACAGATAGCTACCTGCCTACACCTCACTTGGCAAGATATAGCGTCAGATATTGGAGGAAAAAGACACCTTGGTCAAGTTTTTTAAAAGATAAAGCTCGTCTTCTTCGAGACCGTGCGGAAGGAATGTGATCCGTTTTTGAGGGTCAAGAAATACCAAAAGGTCGAAATTTTGGGAGGAAATTTTCAAAAAAATTGATCACATCCTTCCTGTACCGATAATTCTCTTAAATCCGACCATACTTTGTTAATTATTTACGAAAGTAATTGAAATTGCGTGACAAATTTCCAAATTTTATGACATGTGACACCCACGTGTTTGGTTTAAGGATCTCCTAAATTTTTGACCAACAAGTAAGTATCTGTCCCACTTTTCTTGTTTACAAATCTGGGCAGGATTTTACGCAGAAAAAGCAAAAGTGATGGATTTATTGACTTTTATTGAAGAAAGAAAGAAACATCGTTACAGTTATCACGCTACATTATTTGTAACCCATATATTTTTCTAAGCCCTAAGATTTACAATGAAAAGTCTGCGTGGTTCTAGGTGGGTGAAAAAAAAGATCCAAAAATTAAATAAAGTCGTTCGTCCCCCAACTAACTAACGACACAGTCACGACGACATGAAATGCAACTACATTTCATTTAATATTATTAAATACGAGAAAAAAACTAGGGAGAAAAAAAGTGCAACAAAATTTTACAAAAATTGCATCCCAGATCTTGAAATGAAAACTAATCCATTCATTTTCCTTGTACAAAACCTGCCTGCAATTAATCTTTAGTTGTAAATATGTTTTCTTTCTTTTTTCTTGCAACTCATCCTTGTCCCCGGTATTAATTAGCATCTTGTGTATTTGCAAATTCGTTTTTTTTGCAAGGTACATATTTGCATATTATTATTTAGAAGGATTTAAATAGTTAATCAAACCGAGACATCTGGGTCCATCTTCATCCCACTTAAAATTTATTTGTTATTGGCTCGATCTCATTTTCGAAGTGACGCGATGAATGACAATTGAGATGAATCGTAGGAAAAGGAAATTCAATAATTTGCAAATCTTTGTACTTATTTTTTTTTGCAAATGTAAATAAACTGTTAACTCATCTTCATTTCGCTATGTTAAAGAGGAGGAGAAGAAAGTGTTAAGAATCAATTTTATCAGGGTATAGTACATGTTATGAATAATTTCAATTTCGATTATTATAACCGAAAGGATTTCTGACCAATTTGTAATTTGGCATGGTTTTCACTCGCAAAGAAAAGAATTTATGGAAGCCAATACCGCATTTTTTGCACGTTATTTATTATTAAGAAGGGAGCAATTTGTGGGTAAAAAAGTGACGGATGGGCATTTTTTTAAGGTGGTGATGACGATACATAATGGTATCGCGTTGTGAGTGACCATTTTTTCAGGCTTGATTTCATCCATCCCCAGAATTACACGGTGTTTCCATTTTTACGTAAATTTAAGCAACTTCCTTTGGTCAAATTGGTTTGAATAAATTCATAATTTTTGTACGCATGCAAAATGACAAAACCAAAAAGAGTTTCGTAAGAATGCGAATATGGTGGAGTAAAGTGACCGCTATAGAAATCTGTAAATAAGTACTGGCCTCCGTCGTGGGCAGGAAAATAAGAGTCGTGCAAATTTGGGTAAGCAATTTTGCGAATAAATGCAAATTTACGGCTAACCACGTGACGCGACAGCATGTTTCTTTGTGGCAATTTAGTCCTGGCTTTTATTAGCAATGGAGTGTGACTTCTTAAGATTTTGAATCACAAATTCAGTCCCATTTTTGTCCATACAAGTATTTTTTACACAAGAATTTTAGATTTAATCCTATAAGCTTGTTTTTCCTGCGTTATTTATACTTGCGCCATAGTTAAACAAGCCACAACACTGGCGCAAGTTACTAACGAGTCAAATATTTATTTATGAAGTCATACACTAAGGATTTTCGATGAGAGGGATGAACCTCTCTGTACGTCGAATATTTGTAATGGATGACTTCTTTTTTATCTTCCCCTGGAGCTAAAAGAGTCTCATTCTGTTCTCTATTTTACTTCCAAGCATGACTTGAATAAAAGTATGACGACGATGGATGAAGATGATGACCCAGTGTCTGTCTGCATCTGCATGTATCTCTGTACTCGTGTAAAAGGATGCGATGCAGTGCATGGCTCACCTTAATTTGTTGCATTGTTACTTTTATGAAGGCCTGAAGGTAGAAATAGACATGCATTTACAGGGCCTGGCCGGCTTAATAACTTTTTGGTGGTAATATAATAAGCAGGGAGACAGAAGGTACATAGGAAGGAAGGGTCCAGGAAATGCGTCCCTTATGTAAGGAAAGCTGCATACTTATCTACGACTACCACCACGACTGGCTGGCTTGACTATGGGGTCTGGTAATAGGACAGGAAATTAGTACGTGTACAAATGCCGTGGTGGAGATGAGGCTGAAAATGGAGGATGAACTGAACGGTAAAAGTGGAAATCTATTCTGGGAAAGGATTACATAATAAAATGCTATTATGCGTAAGTAATGTTGTCTCTGGAGAAGGGTCAAGTTATTTTAGTTTAAAGTGATGGTACAAAAATATTTAAGTTTTTGATATGTGTCCAAGTTTTTATGACCACTTCAAATTTCAGAAATATCCTAAAAATTTATTTCTACGTTGAAAAATACTTATAAAATATACCAATCATATTTTTGTATGCAATTTTTAAATTTATGAATTTTTTTGTATGGATGTGACTCCGTTTTAAAGATTTTTCCTATTTCAATTTCCGACAGATCTTGAATTGCCTTATTGTTCGTAGCTTCATATGTCACAATAAAAGAATATCAAGTATGCAGTTTTACTACTAAATTTACAACTAAATACTAAATTTTTGGTGGTGTTTAGATTAGTCTGAATAAATTTTTTACCTGTGTGAAAGTCGCCGTGATTACGAGGACGCAGCATAGCAAGAGATTCCTTAAGTGAAACATGTTGTATGACTTGTCCAACCTGGAAAGATAAATAAAAAAGAAATTTAATTTTATCACAGACATCATCATCAATACGAAAATAATAAATCACATTGTAAATAGGAAATGAAATCATCCCTTTTATAGGAATAAATAATTCTTCCCTTTATTCAACCCTTTTTTTGGTGCGAAATTACAATTTGCAAAATTATTTGAACAAATATGCCATTATATTTTTCCACGTAGAAAAGAAATCTGACAAATGTGTATTTATTACTTTCTGAGAGAGAGAAAGTAATACATACATATTTGCAAAACCATAATGAATAATGAAGGAGGGGAAGGTATATGACCTCTGACCTGACATGTGCACGCACACGTCTATCAAAAACGTTACTAGTTAATTTCTTCTTCCCAACAATACGTATATTGGCAAATTGGGACAACAAGTGATTAGTTTGTGTGGTTATATTCCATTGTTTGCCATTTTTTGCAATTATAAATTATACTTTAGTAGAATTTTGTAGTCAGAAGGAGGAGGAAAAAAGTGAATCTTTTGCTAAATTGTGCTCATCAAAAAAACTCACATTTTGACAATGTATGTTAAACGACATTTTAGACGAGTAGTTAATTTCAGTGTCAATGTCGCCAATAAAAATAAAACATGAAAAGTGAATATCTCCTAAATTGTGCTCATCAAAAAAGTCACAATGTATGTATGTTAAATGACATTTTAGAATAGTAGTTAATTTCAGTGTCAATGTCATGTCGTCAATAAAAAAGAACGAGTAAAAACAAGACACACCGACATTTTAATCTCGGTTATAAAAGTAATTGCGATTTCAATCTCGCTCTCTGGGAATTATGAAAGTTGTTGAAATGTTTAAAAATTGCGAGACATTGCTGTTTAGGATGCCAAATGGAATAGGATTAATGGGTGCCGTGCCGGGTCGAGGGAAGGTCACGACTCGCATATTTAAATATTTTTTCTTTGCCATGAATTATTCATCTGGGACAATCCCCAATTTGCGACCGGGTCGAATTATTTACAAAGTTTTTAATGTGATGCGTATGCAATTTGTAGCATTTATCTAAATGCGGATCTACACATACGTTGTACGTACGCTTTCTTTTAATCGTTTTCTTAGTCATATGTGAAACGAAACTCTGTGGGGAATTTTTTAAAGGTGGATTAATAAATAAATTAAATCACGACGTATTTAAATTGTTAATCATCGTCATCGTCTTCCCGTAACAGGCGAGTCATCAAGATGGTAAAGATTATTGGTCAAGTTGGTTACACATACCGTCAAATTTTCTATTGTTTCCTGTAATAATTTTCATGTAGGAAAAAAGCACAAGTAAATAAAATGTGGTTGAGGAATTTGCAAACTTTTTTTAAATCATAGATTAAAATCTATTTATCTTGTGAGCTACTGTGAAATTACGCAAAATGTGCAAATTTTTACGGCAAGGATTCTTTTTTTTAAAAAACGTGCCGATTACAGGAGACGATGTCATAACGAAGAAGAACTTTAATTAGTCCACTGCTAATTATTTGTTGAAATCTAAACTATGTAAATTTACGTGGATAATCTCCTCTTGTAAAGAAAAGAAGAGAATAAGATTCGTGTTTACAAAATTGGGACATAAAATTCTGTCGTAATTTTTGTCCAATTTGAATTTCACGCTTTTTTCTAGGTACAACAATTTAGTGAGGATTGATTTTTGGGAGACAGACAAGTGTGTAATTAAGAATTGTTTGTGTGAGCAGGCTTTGTGTGCAAATTAATTGTGTGCGAATTGACTTTTACTCTGAGACGGGGACAATTGAGCAGTGTGATGGATGGAATTATCCCCTTTTTTTCCTTTCCTTGCACACTTTCCATTTCCATTTTAGCCGAAAGAAGAAGAAGAAGAATTAAAAGTGACAACCTTTTATCACCTTCTCGAAATGAGAGCTGTCCTGCTCGCACTGCACGACGTCTCTAACAAATTGAGACGATATGGTCACCATTGTTGTCACCTGATCTGATAATCTCGTCACCCTGATGTACTTGGTAGGTACATACACAGGCAGGTAGTGGTGAGGAGACTGTGCAGATGGGATGGGATTTTGGCAGTGATACGAAGAAGGAATGGATTTTTATGCAAATTCAAATAAATTTAAGTAGCACATTTTACCCGGATTTTTAATGCAATTCACAATTTTTTACGAAATTTTTATGAGAATCTATTAAATCGGGAATTTTGGCTGGATTTTTACTTGCATATCCAAAATGGCGAATTTTCGATGGATTTTGCATATTTGTAGACCTCCTAAATGACGAATTTTAACTGAATTTTTTACATGTATGCAAATCTCTTCAATCGCGAATTTTTACCTGGATCTATTCAAAGTGTGGTACGCATAAATAATCTAAAATGACCATGCTTGTCCAATTCCGGTTAAAAATGAATCAAAAATTCATGATTTAACAGATTTCAATTTACACTTGTTTGCAGTTCAAAATCATTTCAAGAGTCGAGACCCTTGTAAAATTCGCGAACTATTTATGAACGACATCTTTTTCGCACAACCCTCACTCCCTCCGTGTAGTCGGTGTAGTTGACACTTTTGTATTTAGCTGTTGATTTAAAAATGACGACGATCAATTTACTGCTCATCCTTCTTCCTCACGTGGCGTACCATATATTTGGCTCGAGATGAAATCTCCCTTCTTGCCGAAATCTTCCCGTCATGCGTGCCCCGCAATAAACGTCTTCATTACTAAATTGGATGTGTAAATTGTCTCGTGTGTGAAATTGATACGTATTTTTTAAATCGTCAATTGATTAAAGCGTGTCGATGGGGTGATCATGATGGGAAAATGGACCATTTAAGCGAGCAAACAAAGAAAGGTACACACATATTTGCAAAAGAAACTCAAAATGAGATGAAGTCATCATCACAAGCACGATTTTAAATAATTGGACGTCATGCGCTTTACTTTCTTTATGCAGACCAGATTTGAATATGTGCTATTTGCATAAACTTATTATTGTATTAATAAAAGTGCCAATGCATGTAATCATGATTCCTGATTTGGTTCGGTTTTCCAATTTCACACCTTGATTAGGGACCGTGCAGGAGGAATGTGACCAGTTTTTTGAGGAGGAGGAGGTCAGTTTGGTGTCATTCCTTGGTGACAAAATAATTGGCCACATAATTTCTGCACGGATGAAAAAATTGATGTTTCTAAAATGTCATCAGACTCTCGTTACCTTTTTTGAAACATATTGCAAAAAAAAGATTGATTGGAAAATGAGTCAGGTGTCAAAATTTTGTCAATAATTTGTAAAAATTGTCTCAAATTTTCCAAAAAATTTTCACTTTCTCTGTCTGCGATTAGTGCCTCTCAAAATAATGCAGGTGGACTTTACCACGCTACAAAATTACAGCAAAATGTTACCAAAATCTCGTCATTATTTTTCGATAAATCCCAAAAAAATAAGAAGATTGATCAGAAAATGACCCAAGTGTTAAAATTTTATAAATACTTGTGTAAAATTTGGCCCTAACAGAATCTCATCTCATCTCATCCACTTTCTCTGCTTACGATTAATACGTCTCAAAATAATAATGCACGTGGACTTTTTTCCCTCAAATTATAGCAATCTATCCCAAACCCTGTCTCATTTTAAGTCTTACACATAATTGTCGAAATTCTATCCAATTGTGACTCCTGCTTAAAGAGTAAAAGTGATTTCGCACAGAATTACTTAGGCATTTCATTTATTTTCAACACGATGAAATCGAGACTTTACTTTACTTTGCGTTTCGTTATCATCATCGCCACGAGGTGTGCATCTCAAGTATTTATTTGTCTACATACCTCAACAAACCATTTATTTATCTATCTATCCGCCTCCTATTAACCATACACACATTTAGAGGCAAAGTTCGTTAAAGTAAACATTTTAAGAGAGAGATTGCAAATAAGAGAGGAGAGGAATTAAATGAAATAAAATTCAACAGACCGGGAAATCTGGGTGAATTTCTGAAGAACAAACTAACCATTTTAGCTTCTTTTTTTCTCAAGAGAGAATTTTAAGTAAGCAGCGGACTGTTTTGTTGTTGTGCTTATTGTTACGAAGTCAATAGTTGGGAAAAAGTGAAGATTTTGGTAAAACGCTTACATACAAAAGGTGATGATGATGACAATTCGCATCATGAGCCCACCTGAGCATGGCATGCCGAGTGAGATGCGTACATAGACAACTCTCTCAGTATTAAATAAGATGGTAGTGCACATGCCAAAATAAAAATAGTTTTTTTTCAATGTCAGTCAGTCATCGTTTCTTATAAATATTTGTGAGTAACGGCTTGACCAAAAAATAGTGCAGGAATTTGGCGAAGGAGAACGGAATGAAAAGTGCAAGTGCATTTTATGATTTGATTTGATTTGATTTATGAGATTTTTTTATGATGCAGGTATTTTTTGTTTTTTACAAGAAAATGTGTGATAAGAATGAAAATGATTTTATTACGGAATGATAAAAGTGTTGATTAGGAGAGTTAATTGGTCTTGTTTTTGTTTTGTGGAGGGGTGGACTTGAAATTTGGACGGATTTGTGTAAATTTAAAGTTGGATTTCTTAAATGAAAATTTCGCAAATTGCGAATTTTGGTAGGACAGTTGGAACCATGATTTTCGAATTTCCAATCGAAAATTCATGATTAATGATTTTTTAGTCTTGTTGGGAATGAGTGAACTTGAAATTTACAGAAATTGTTCCTTTAATAACTTGCCCTTTCAATGTGCAATTCTTGTAAATCGCGAGTTTTTGGGAATGTTTTCACCGAAAATTAACAATTTATGAGACGCACGTCAAAATTAATCCTTTTCTTACGAGACAAAATTATAGGGTTGTCATTGTTAAAAGGATTGGATGTAGATTGAATTTGTAAAAAAAGAACTCGTTGAATTTAAAATGTCACGTGTTAAATGGGAAATGGGTAGTTTTTCCTGTACATTTTCTTTTATCGCCGTCGTAAAACAAAATAGTTCCCACGTTCTTGAAAAAGAGGAAGAAAATGAAATGTGAACAAAGTATGAAGACGACGCCTTAGAAAAAACTGAGCCTGCACAACACGTCTCGTTCCCCCGCCCCCCACAGACAACCAACAATGTCATCATGTCTCCTAATGAAATTGCACCCCGTGTAAATATACATAAATTGGAGGAAAATGCATAATTATTAAATAGAAAACAGGCTTGATTTCCTTTATGAATTAAGAGACGGGAATTTTTTTGCTTGGCGGAGTATGTGTCTACGTGCCTCGCATTGTTTGTCGTTTTTGAAACGAAATTGGAGGTATCAAATTGGACACATTTTATGAAAAATATTGATTCGTTGCATGAAATATTTCCGGTTGAGAGAGAAGGACATTTTTGTAGAGAAAATTAGGGACAAATCAGAACAAGGGCGACAACTTAAAATTTCCTGCTAGCTTAAAATCGTTGTAAATGATAAGTTTTGAAAAAAATACTTTATAAAACTTACTGGTTTTTAAGGGAAATGATTTTCTGAGAATTTTCAAAAAGTTAAATTTTTTCGAAATAATTTTTGTCTGATTTTAGCGTCAAAATTTAATATTTTCAACATTTCACCCTCAATATAATTATTTTAGGTTATGCTTCAAAAGATCTATAATTTGAATTAATTACTTTAACATACCTTTTGCAAATATGAGATCCTTCCGAAATCCGAAAAATGCGTCCACCCACTCAAAAACTTGACCCAGATCACAAAACTGTCTCTCGTTCTTTATCCAGTAAAATATAACCACAAAGATTCACACAAAATTTTCCTCCAAATTTCCCAACGTTTCCAAACGAATTATTTTCCTTCTCGTTCTCACATCCGGCACTTTGCCTTATGCGTAACTTCGAATCTTGGTCAGAGAGAGGTGCGCAAATCTTGGTCAAATGTGTAATGGTGCCGCTCGTTGTTTGGTTCGTAAATATTTTACGAATTTTGAATCCGACTTGGAAAAAGTGAGAAATCAGGTTTTTTATTTAGTGAGTCCTACAAACATGTGTATCACCACTGATGAGGATGAGTGACCCAGTGAATTGTTGTTGTAAATGTGTGTCTGTGGTGCGAGGAAGAAGTGACCCAACAAGTATTTGTCCTCGCTGATCTCACTAACCAAACTATTTTCTGTACACACTAATTCATTCAGAAGATAACGGTTTTATCGTATAAATTAATATGCTCACTATATTCACTAAATTCCGGTTTTTTGCAAATTACTTAAATTCTTGGGGTGATGATGTAGTCTTTTAATTTGCGAGAGGTGATAACGATAATACTAAATAATGCGATTACGTCAAGCATGCATTTAGAAAAAAAGTGGAGCAGGTAATTCAAGAATCTCAAAAAGTAAATTTCTCAAAAAGTGAATTTTAGAAAAGGAAGTTGAGACAGTATTTTTGCGTAGAATTTTACGGTGAGGAAGTTGCGACAAAAAAGAATCTCAGGCTGTCGTCGTTCTTCTCATCTCGACTTTTGACGAGGGACTGTGTGCGTATGACTTGAAGGCAGCGTTGGAATGAAAGTTTTATTAGTTGACGAAGGAGGAATTGAATAGGAAGAGAGGGTTGCATGCAAGTAAGTAACAGCTTGCATATATGCACCAGAGGACTGTGTAAAAGTGCAGTAGAAATGTGTATGTAATGTGGCTACCTGACGCAGGTAAAACTGTGGCAAGTCGTGTATGTATTTTATTAGTACGGCAAACAGAAGTACCTGCTGCAGGAATATCCGTGAGACGAGACCAGGATGCGATGCAATGTAACTCGCGTTAATTGTATCTCGCTACCCCTTCATTCCCCTGGAAAATGGACAAGTTTTAGATTTTAGGGGTGTTGTGTAAGGGACTTAAGTCATCTGTTATACGGGATCGTTAAGGGGTTTATAAATAGAGGTTTGGAAGAATTGACCCAGTTTTTCCCCGTTTTTTGGGAGCTACATAAATGTATGAGATGTTTTGTAAACTGGAGGAAATTTTGGTAATTTATAACAAAATATGGGGAACTTATATTTCGAAATGCGTGTACTAGTTTTTAGTCAATTAATGTTGATAAATTATACAAAATGGCGTAATTACTGGGAACAAATTCTAACTAACTAGTAACTAATTATCGAACTAATTATCACGTTGATTTATGGCGTGGTTAGTTTTTCTTTAAATTGTCAATGCAAAAACGAAATTATTATTATTTTCAATTTGTTCGGTTGAACGCCGTTTTGTAAAATTTAGCAAAATTTATATGTGTAACTTTGATTAAATCAGGTAAAGCGGAGATCCAATTATTTGACGGAATTAAGAAATTCACTTGAAAAAACGAACTTTTTCTCTTTTTTTTACTTTTTTTACGTAGAAATAGACGTTTACGTTTTTCTTCTTCTTCTTTGAACGTTGAGAGATGAACTGGTCAAAAAATGTGACAAGTTTTTGATCCCTTATGAAAAGGTGGTCAATTTTTTTCTTCTCACTTATTTTTTTAAAGACATCCGTTCATTTACTATTTCCATTTTCAATTTGTTATTAATATTTATTTTTGCCCGTCGTCATAAAAGTGAAGAGTGTACATTTCAGACAGCTGCATGTGGTCGTAAACCCACATTTTTTAAGTCAGTAAGTCAGTCAGTCAGTACATATTTGTTACGCATGTCGAAAAAAGGTCCTTTAAGAATTCGAAACTATGTATTTGTCCCCTGTAGTTTAGCATTTTTGAAATGAAAATGAATTTGGGTGACGTCTTAAGCTGCTGCAGATTTAGTATTTGCATCTGTGAAATTGGGTATTTCACACCTTGTTGTGGTCAGTTTGCCTGCTCGTGGGCGTGAAAATGGATTCATTTCGCACGAGATTGATATAAGGAATTTGCATGATTTTTTTGATACGTCCAGTCAAAGTTTGATCCTGCGTTTAGTGAGATAAGTAATTTCGATGCAAAATAAGATTTTGATTAATTTTATGCAAAGTTTTGGAAAATTTGGGAAAAAAGAATGCGGTCAAAGTCAATATTTTTCAGGGTTTATATGATTTTGTTTGGCAGTATTTTGCAGAATTTTATTGACACGGTGTAATTTTTGATGCAGCGAGAAATACTTGTACGACTTTGAATTACTATTATTAAGCTGAAGAAATTTGGGTAAAAGTTGCGTAATATTTTGTTAGTTATGATGCTGTTTTTTATATTGGAAATGACCGGATATGCGAGAAGGACGATGATATAAATGCCGTGTTGAGATTGATTTTTTGCATTTGTTAAGTAATAGAACCACTTTATGTTGATGCTCTGTTCGTCCGTCCGTCTGTCTGCATATGTTCTAAAGCTCTCAGATATGATAGAGCCATTTGGTTTTCGCCATTTGAAGATATTTGAAATGAAATTCAACAATTTTGAATTTCCAGGTCATAGAAAGGTCAAAATGATCACATTATAGCACGTGGTGTGTTATAACTAGCGATATGGAATTAAATGCTACTAATAAAAGAAACAATATTTTGGTTTTAGCCACGTTTTTAGATTTTTTACAAGGGTTTCCTTTGATAAGAAATTCTTTACGATGAAGAGAGATCACCTAAAATCAAATATTTTTTATTCACTACTAATTTAATTATTTAAACTGGCGTTAAACTCGACTGTTTAAAAAAAATTGAAAGGATTAAAATTATGAGTTTGATTGATCTAAACAAAAATATGTTATAGATCTTGACTTGAATATCATGTCGTCGAAATTCGAAGAATCTGAAAATTTTACACTGGTTTCCGTATTCAAAATTTAAAGACCCAGTTTCTGTACCTTTATAACATTTAAATCGAATTATCATTATCTGAACTTATTTGATATGGCATTAATCTCTAACATTTTTAGTTTTTTAAATCAAAATACGAAAATCTTAACTCGATCAGGATAAAATTAATGGGCACAAAAATTAGTGAAACAATTTCGTCAAAAATTCATGCACATTCTGCCTTCGGAGCAGCTACCATGCGATAGTAGCCACAGGGATGTCGTCTCTTCGCAAGGACACCTTCCGACCCTGAGTTTAATTTTCAAAAAATAAATAATTTGAAAATTTAGGAAATTTTGTAATTTTTTTACCCAGACGATCCTCAGTCTCTTCCTCCTCGTCGTCTTCGTGACAATGAACCCACTCGTTCTTCCAGCAGGATTCATCATCCCGCAAGTATGTCGAACGATCGGGAGTAGCGTTGCTTGATGAGCCGACGACAATTTGTTTACCGTCTGGATTCAATTTTGTTAGATTTTCGGTCGACGGACTTGGTTTACTTGCTGCTGCGCAGAGGGTCGCCATTTCTTTAGCGGAGATGTCCCACTCGCCGGGATGGTATTCCGGATTTTGGGCCAATGTACAGCCTGGATTTTGGGAAAATAATTTGCATTTAGTGGGCAATTATGTTTAGAAATTGATGATAAATTGTTACCGAATTCTGTTACCGCAATATTTATTTATATGATATTGAAACTAATGATTTATTGAATACCTGGAAATGGTCCAAGTGACGCCACCACGATCCACCCTAGCAAGACAACTTGAGACGGGAATATTGACATCTCAATATTTCCTGAATTTCTCTTCAGTCAAACCAGCACTTTTTTTAATGTACTGAATTGTGGACTTTTCAACATAAGAATGCAAATATGTAGACCTTTTTTGTGTGTAAATAATATATTGGCAACAATTGTGCAATATTTTACTCAACATGTCGCAATTTGTTTAATCAAAACAATGACGATGACAATGAATTTCCTTAATTGGTTGTTCGCTGTTAAAATAAATTTGGTTATAATGACTTTTCTCGTTAGGAATTAAAAAAAAATATAAATTGTAGAATTTTGTAAAAGAGTTTGGAATGAAACTATGATTTTTCTGAAATGGTTACCAAAAACATTAGATATGAAGAAAATGATGAAATTTGGATCTTAAGTCATTGTTGAAATGTTCAAATAAAAAGGTTTTACTAATCGGAGTTGAAGTCAAACCTGGAAAAATTTAATATTTATACTTCATCACAGAAAATGCTTAAAAATAAACAATAATTTCCGTCAAATTTTCAAAACTATTGAAAATAAAAATTCTAAAATTTAGCAAAGTAAAATTCTCAGAGTAATCGTAATTTGTAAAGAAATTATTGAAACGGACCTTCATTTTTAGTGCATACATTTTTATGCATTATCTAAAAATTTGTCATTGAATAACGTAAAATTAAGAAGTTTTTAATCGGAGTTGAACTCGCCGTACAATTTATAGTTCATCCCAGAATGAATATAAAGTAAACTTTGACCCAATTATTTCAGAAACATGTGTACCAACTTCATGCTCAATTATGGAAATTATGCATTTTCACAAAAATTAGCAACAAGCTTCCAATAAATTTCTTGATAATTACAATTATGATAATTATTTATTAATGCATATAATTTGGAGATTTGCAAATTTTAGTGAAATAAGTAGGTAGATCATCTTGAAAGGATTTTTTTGCGTCATTGTCGAGAGATTGGTCGATATTTTTTTACTAGCAGTTTTCTTCTGGAATTTCTTCCATGTTGTACCACCCACAAGGTTTGGATTTCTTCAGGTCGGATGCAGCTGTGGGGTCAAAGATCAAAGTAATTCAATTCTCATTCCAAATTTCGCAATCATCTCGATTTTGCGAAATTGACAAAAAAATCTCTATGATAAATTACTGCAAGGATTCCAGCGATTCCTCCAGCATTTGTGGTCCTCTGGTCGAAGATATGAATCCGTCGAGAATGACGCGTCTGGTGGATTTAGAACGATGTTTGGCTGTTCTCCACCCCGTCTGTACTCCTCCATCAGGGAACAAAGGTAGCCCGTGTCACGTGCAGAAATGTCGTAATATCCGTCGTACTCCGCCTCCCCCGCATCATTCTCCGCCACATATTCGTCTTGGGAGATGGCAAAATCTGCAAATTTCGCAAATTCAAGTTTGCATGCTTAAATTTCTGAGAAATATGTACCGACCAAACTGCCCGACAAGTAGGACGAGTACGATGGCGACGGTGTGCCCACGACGTAAATATGAGTTCATCATAGTTTTAAGATGTTGCTCTCGATCAGCTCGATAAATAAATGGGATCGATTGGGCCAGTTAGTTTTTGGTCCGTTAAATAAGCTAAATTTGGATGGGATGCACCTAAACTCGATAAAATTCAAACTGCGTCGTTCCAAACAATAAAAGGTTGCCACCTTGACCTTCTCTCGGACGGAGTTGTGCACAAATAATTGATAAAAATTGTTGTAAGGTTTTATTGAAATTAATTACGAATTGTGACAAAACTCAGGGGCAAAGCAAAGGGCAAATACCTACTTTCTGATTTTTTATGTGAATAAGTATTATAAATAACTCGAATTTATGGCACGTAGATTCAGAACCTAAGGAAAGAGCCTACCGAAAACTCTAGGTGGTCATGTTTTCGAATTCCATCAAATTTTGTGAATCAAATTGTCAAAAATTTTCAGATTTTTCTAATTACTTTTATACCACGAGGTTGTAGATTGTGAAATAAATTGGGAAACCGGTATTATGGTTTTTATTTATACAAAATTTTATGCAATCTAGAAAATTAGCAAATTTTCTGATACTGTGAATGCAAAATAAAACTCTAAGAATATTTGTAAATTGTGCAAATATTCGAATGAAGGTTTTATAAAAAAATAAAATTCATTTATGGCGTCCCATAAAGCAGAGATGAAAATCATAAAATCTAATTATACAATTTCTAGCAAAATTTTGTTCATACACATATTTTTACATATTTTATTACGAAACAGATATGACATTTATAAATTCACAAAATTCAGAAATTCTTGATTTACTCGTCGCCAAACAAGTCGAAGACCGTGAGACCGAAATTTTTATGATCTTCCACGTTGAGAAGGGCAGAAGATACGTCTCGTTTGTACTTCTGCTTCCTGACCGACTTGCCACCTTTTCTGACTTTCTTGCCACTCTTCATCATCCCCCTGCCCTTCGTCCTGTTCATCTTCACCCCGAAAGCTCTCCCACCTTGACCAGGTTTTACTGAAATTTTCAAAAAAATTCATACATAAATATACAATGAGTTTATTTTTTTGCAAAAAATTTGCACTCACTCTTCTTATACTTTTCCGGCATGACTTTTATCGGATCGGGGAACATTCCAGTCTCCATGTACGAGGTGAGTTGGTCGCAAAGCAGGAAAACCAAGCGGTCCCGGACGAGGACCTCTTTTTCTCCGGTGGTGAATTCTGTGCAAAAAAATTCGCACATTTAGTACGAATTGAAATGTGGGTGTAATTTAATTAGTAATTTATTAATTACCCAAATTGGACATGAGAATAGTTACAGTTCCCAAAATTGGGAGGAGGAGGGATAATTGCCCCATGATTGATTCAAATCTGTTCCAAGAGCGGTGTCCTGTTTACTAAATCTGGAAGTTGCCAAGCGTTAAGAAGGTTGACGTGAGGGTGCCCTTCTGTGCTTAAGAATGAATTGTGGTGTGCTCTTTTATGGCCAATTTTGGAATCCAGTCGAGCCCATGTGAAGGATGGCGAGTACAAGTACGCGTGGAAAATTAATTGACAATGGAACAATGGTCGTTTTCAAAATAAAGGGTGGAAAATGCGACGTCAGAAATTAACCTTATCGCCGGTTTTATGTTGCATTAGGGATGAGGCATTTGTTCAAAATTAAGCACCAGTTAGGGACAAGAGTTGGCCATGGGTAAGAATTTTTTTTATTTTGAGGTGAACCCCACTGCCTAAAACCGCGTTAGGCAACCCTAATCTTGAGCCTAATCGGGTTTGCTTTTTAAATTAATTTCCAATATGTTCGAATTTTGATTTCCAAATTACAAAATTTGGAAATCAATGTCATTATGGTACCAAAATTTTCATTTCTGAATTATGAATCAATTGCGTTTTTTGAAGTCAAAATTGGAGAGTAAAATTGTTTAACTGCAACGTCAGAAATTGTTTAAACAACGAGTTATAACAATTATATATATAATTTAGATGTCATGAACCTCAGGGTTTTGGTAAAAAGTTGGATTTTATGAAAATCGAAATTTTTTTCAAAAAATTGTACGCACCAAAACCTAATTAACCTTCAAAAAAGAACTTGCCAAAAATGTACACTTTTCTTTCATATTTTTTATTGCACAAAAAACATCCATGTTTCCAACTTGATAAATAATAATCTAATCTCTTGTCTACCAAGACGCCCGTGTACATCAATATTTAATTAATTAACCTACTGATTAATTAAAAATCTATTTCGACATCTTTTCCCATCCACAACAAACTACTGACTCATCGCTTTTCTTCTTTTCTTTCTTACACGAAAAACCTTGCTAGTTACATAAATATTTAAAAACTAGTATCCAAATCGGGTCGAATAATTAAATCCTTAGGCTAAGTTACATATCATTATTACAAATCTATACCGTTATCATCACCTCATCTTAAATACTACATACTTACCCAGAAAATTGAGACAGTTTTTCATGCGATACTTATAAATTAAACAACATCACAATATTTAACGAGAGATTTCCCCTCCTGCCTCGCATAAATTTAAATTTGCACAACAATTTTTTTAAAGATATTTACTTATCATAATTATATATCTAGTGGACATCGAATTAACAAGAAAACAAAAAATATATATATCAAAAAATCAACAAGTAGAAATAAATATCACAAAAAATGTAGCAAAAACAATTAAATTACGACAACATTAATAATAAATAATCATCGAGCGGTAAATATGTATAGTTAGTTTTACATCTATTTTTTGAGGGAAAAAAGTATAAAATTCTGAGATAACGAGTAAAGGTTTTGGTCGGGTTAAATTTTTAGATAGATTTTTTCCTCCTTCTTCTTATCGGATAAAGCAGCTCTCAATGTTTAGCATTTTCTTGACCTTGTCGTCATACTGGATGAGGGTGAGTAGGTCGGAGGACGAGTTGAGGTTGAACTTTTCTCCGAGCAAGTGGCAGCAGTGGGCTTCTTCGAGAAAGTCGTTAGAATTTAGTTCCACGGTCTCGGCGGATGGGTGGGATTTTAAAAACTTGTCCCGCCCCATGCCCAAGTAGGACAGGACGTCGTTCAGGAGGACGAAGTAGGGCGTCTTCTCCTGTAAATTAAGGGTTAAAAAGTCATTAGCTTAAGGTTATCTTTTAGGGTAATCAGGTGCATGAAAAATTCGGGTTTTTGGACCTCTGAATTTTTAAAACGCTTAAAAAGTAACTGTTTCCATTATTTTGTAAGGCTAGAAAGTCATTATTTTGCTAATTTAGTGGTTTTCTGGGATTTAGCTGACCTTTAATTTGTACAATGGTGGCAATGGCTGCTCCGTCGCTTCGAATTCGAAACCATCCGAGTCGTCGATATCTGTTGGGGCGATGGCGGGAGGAGCGTCGGCTGTGGCGTCGTAACCGAGTTCGTGCTGGTCTTCGGACCAGGGGCCGGATCCGCGAAATTCCCAGGGTCGCTCGGTCGCACCAATGACGTCGTTGATATGCTGGTCGAGAAGGAGGCGGACGGGGGCGTGGTGCTCGGCCAGCTCGAGGGGAGATTGACCCGCGTATGTGGTTAGAGTCGGGTCAGCCCCGTACGAGATGAGCAGTCTGACTAGTTCCACGTGACCGTTTTCACAGGCTAGAAAATTAATTTTAAACATCAAATCGGCCATTTTAATTTATTTGTAAATTTTTGAAATATTTTAAAATTGAAATCCTCCTGAAAATGAAGTCGTAAGGCAATGTGGTATTTTTTTACCTTCGTGGAGTGGCCTGGAACAAAAAAAATGAATAAATTAGATACGGAATTCGCAAGATTTTAAATATAGCAATATACTGAAAAAATTGGAAATACTAACCGAATTCCTCCAGGGGCGGAGGGCGCGGGATCTGCGCCGTACCTTAAAAGTACCCTGGCGACTTCGAGATTCCCTTTGATACAGGTTTCATGTAGTCTGGAAAAAGATTTAATAATAATTAAACAACTTCCTCTCTTTTTAGTTTTATAAATAATTAACTTACGGCGTAAATCCAGCGTTATCTTTGCAGTTGGCGTGGCACAGGTCGTTCTCGAGACAGTACGCCGCCACGTCGGGGTAACCCAGTCGTGCGGCGCGATGAAGGGCCTGCCAGAAAAATTTTAAAGTTGGATTAGCTCAAAATTTCCTAGGATTAAGATTTTGCCGTAAATTATTTACCGTCTCTCCATGACCCTTGTTCAACACCCAACCACGAATCTCGCTCCCAACATCTTCAACCGTTACGTTCTTCTCGATCGGAATCTAGTAAACAACGGTAAAAAAATCAGATTTTTCGCCACAGCCATCACAAAATCATACTCACATCATCATCCATCCACACCAGTGATTTATAACTTACTACATACATAATTTGTACCCACAAATCACCACCAAAGCAAGAAATATGCTAATTATTTTGCGCATGCGAAACGCCCACTATTTTTAAACCCCCACTACTATTTTAACATGCATATTAAGCAAAGTAAAGCAATGAATTTGCACCACCAACCACGACCAGACCACCCACCACTCAAACCAGACGACAAGTTGATCTCAAAATCAGATAACTTACTCGACGTCGCGTAGTACACACGGATTGACAAATGACAATTCCATTTCCGGTGGAGGGAGGACGAGTAAAATTGCGGAGAGGAGGAGATGAGAAGCGGGCATAAAAAAGTATCAAATTTTGTAAATATTTTTAGCACATTCAGGACACATTCTCAAAAAATAAGCACGACTTTAGCATTCATCCACCCCCTCGATAAGCTACTATTATCTTTTACCTTAACTTTCTTCGGCGTCGCGGCCATCGGTGAGCCGTCCGCGTTGGTCACAACCTTCTTCTTTTTGCGAATGTAGTCAAACCCGCTTTTAAATTTGTTTCGCCGAATTCCCTTTTTCGCCACTTTTTCCACGACCTTCTCCACCGGCGTGGTCACAGCGGTCTCCTCCTCATCATTCGGAAGGATGGTCATCTGTGGGGAGAGAACGGGGAGTTCATCCAACGAGGAGGAATTCTTCCCTTTCGACTTCTTGGCCGGAAGTGAAGTCGCCTTCGACAAGACAGGTTTCTTCTTTTCTTTGGTACTGCTATTCTTCTTATTTTGCGCCGCGCTGCTATTCTTCTGCGCCAACTTGGCGTTTGCCGTCACCGTGGCGGCCTTCATTTGCTCGACGGCACGCTCTATCGTTGGTTCGTCCAAGGGTGGAGATTCCGATTCTGGCGATGGCGCAGAAGAGACCGTCTGAGGAGGAGGAAGCTTCCCCTTCCGCCCTAACTTTTTCGTCGGCGTGGAATCCTTCGAGGAGGGGGGACGTCCCTTCCCCTTCTTTACGGGAGTAACAGGAGTAATTTGCACCGTCACACTACTTGCCTCCTTACTCGGCGTTGTTGCATTCTTCTTTCCTGGGACTTTGTTCTCTTTGGCAGCAGTTTTTCCCGTCGTGTCGACCGCGACGATGGGCGCGAGAACGGGTGGTAGTGGTGGAGGTGGGAGCGGAGTCTTGACCCCGGTCAGGGACCCTGCCGGAGAGGAGGACATCGTCAACGAGGCAGGTTTCGAGACTTGAATAAGTTTCTGTGGCATTCTCAACTTCCTCTTGAAGTCGATGAGTTCTTCCTCCCATCCTGGCCGTTTGAAGTCGGAACCGTCGCCGAAGACGATTTTACGCTTCTTTTTAGTAAGGTCGCCACGCATGATCCATTCCTCGCCGGAGGAGCCGCCTTCACCTTCCACACCGCCTGCGGAGGGACGACGACAAGAAATTAGGACAAACATTTAAAGAGAGAGAGAGAGAGGAAAATTGAGAGTATTTTCTGATGTGATCGATGGATCTGCACACAATGAAATCATGAGGATGCATGAGACTGACACGAAAATGTTCATCTGCTGCCTATCGTACCGACCGACCACAATATTTGCTTTTGCCATCCCCACAAAACTGCAGAGACAGAGATAAATATGTTGAGATGAGAATATGCAGCAGCAGATAGCATCAGCACAATAATAATGTGAATCACCTCGCCTGCCCCCTAAACTAACTAAGTAATGCCATACATAACAGATACCATAACTAAATTAGTTACATATTTAACGTGACACGTAGTTAGTTAGCCCGTCTAAATAAATAGCTATGAACGGATAGGATTACGTCGAATTATTTTATTTTTTCCTGCCTGGAGAGCAGTTACACGCGATTACGAATTTTACGCGATAACCACACCACGATGCTGATTGTAAAACTACACGTTATATTTATGCCGTGTAGTCGTAACATAACATAAGTTGTGAATATGTAACATAACGTGCATGACGACCCCAAAGTGCAGATATGTATAGATACATATCTGGCTTTAACTTGTACCCAAACGAGTCATAAAGTGAGATTGGAGACGAGATTTACTTGTGATAATTGGGTCTCAAAGTCAACAATTATGCTTCCTTTTCCAGTTAACGAACGATTAGTTTAAAATCCTTCCTTCCTTCTACTTCGGACGGAACTAATGCTTAATGAGTTTGTTTAAGTGGGATGGACAATATGTCGCATTTACTTAGCTGAATTTTTATGTAATGAAGAGAGGTCAGGGAATTTTTCTGGAGTCCCACAAAAAAAGGGAAACCTGTCCAGTCAGCATTTTTATCTTACTTACTGCGACGAGGTTAGTTTATGTATGCACTTGAGAGAGATGAATAATTAACAAGGATTACGACGTTGTGAAGTGGATAAAGTAAAATGGAATGAATTACTGCGTGCATAATGTAGCGAGTACGAACTAGACTGAGATAACGCCACCTCGACCCCGCAAAGTGGATTTAGATGTGGAAAAATGTGTCCAATTGTACTCCAACCAGACGTTTTTTTTGTAGAATAAAATTAGCCCAGAATATATACTAGGTATCTACCTTCTCCCGGTTTACCACCACGACCTCCTCCTCCTCCGACGAAGTAACCGTCAATCTCTAAAATCCCGTCCAATTCGATAATTATGATAAGGATGCAACCAACCACGGGATATGTATGAATATTTACTTGATAACTAGCGAGAAACCCAGTAGTGCGATAGTAAATATGCAAATCGACCAGTTGAGCGACAGCGACTTGCTTTCACCTCGCCGAGCAACAAATATGCAAGGAGGGAGGAGGAGAAATAAATACAAAAACTGGGCCATATTTCATCGCTACTAATACATCGTAAAGTCGGAGAGGTGAAAGCGGGCGGTATGTTGAAGGAGAAAGAGATACATAAATCAATAAGTGGAGAGTTTTAGGTTATGCGTGATGGGCAAAATTGGTGGTCTTATCGTGGAGCTACTATTTCTGGTGGACGTAAATATTTATATATACGAAAAATTACTCCATCCTGAAAAGGGGATGGACATGTTAGATGTCACTTTGATAAGGGGGATGGGCTTTAAATAGCTCAATCAGGGGTCATAGTTCAGTCCCCCCACAAACATGTGCTTATCGTCCATTCTGTCACTTATCTTTGATAACCTTCACATATTTGTGTACACCTAAAAATAATAGGATGACTTCGATATCGCATAAGGGTCAAGGTTGACCCCACTTTTTACGTATGCTCCCTAAAAACACGTGCCTATCCACGAGACAAAATTTGCTATACTGTCAACAACCATCCCATACTTTCCACCCCTCGAAAATCCACTCCAATTAAAGAAATAAACTTTTTATTCGTCCATGCATACGTATAATTGCTCAAAACTCTTACACAATTGGCAACAATGAATTTTCAACCGGATCCGTTTCGCACTTTTGCTCCGAGTCTGCATACTTTTCGGGCAGCTCGAACGCAACCACATTTTTGGATGCATTTTATTTTACATTGTAAAAAAATGTCTTATTATTTTCTTTTAATTTATATTTCTTTAAATTTTTGGCTGAATTTTAAACCACATTTTCAGATGCATTTTACACAGTAATAAAATATTTTTTAAGTAACTTGTTATTTGGCTTATCTTAAAATTTTTGTAATAAATTTTGGCACCACGTAATTAATTTGACACTGTAAATTCTCTCGTACTTAAAAATACTGCTTCTCCTCCTAGCGAAATTTGATATTTGAATAAATAGCTACATTTTTATGATGGATTGTTCTCCACACACAAAAACTTTCCAGGAGTCGATATAAGTATTTTTCATTCATACACATTCTGCAGGTTTCTCTCATTGCATAAATACAAAAAAAATATCGGCATGAATGCCAATGCTACAATTTCACTGTGCTCTACGTAACGTAACTACTTAACTAATCACAATGAAGAGTAAATATTTATTTAATGCTGATACATGCATATCATACTTTCCATGCAATGCACCCACCACCAACCCGGTCTCGTCGTGCTAAAAATATACGTATATCAAGTCGGCAACTACTTATTTTACCAACAAGTTAATAAGTTAGTTATCTCTGCTATGTTTTTTATCCACATTTTCAAAATTATGTACCCAATCCAACTTCATGTAATCACGTTCACACAATTTACCTATTCATCTGGCCTAAAATACTTATTATTCATTGAGCAGTTAAATTTTTAGTAAGCAATGCCAAACTTATTGTTCAACTTTGAACACTAAACTAATAAACTCGTAACTTATAATTGACTGACTAGGATGGATAATTCTCATGCCTCGAGAGAATCATATTTCACACACGGAACTCGAACTCGAACTGATGCTGCAAGCAGACTGAGAAGCATTATTTATTATGAGCACTATTTTAGTTCTTGGGGGGAAGCAGCAGCATTTTGACATTATTATTGTTGTTGCCATTAACTGGGAGTAGTGAGTGAGTGAGAGAGGAAAAAAAGAGAGTTTTATCAGCATCACGGTATCCAATGGGTTAATATTTGGTCGATATTTCCCTCATCCATCCGTAACTTGGATGGATGGATAACCAGGGCAACAAAGCCGCACAAGTGGACACAACCACGACCACGACTGCTCAAATGAAAATGAAAATAATAACGCTAGCTAAAACCCTGGAGGATTTGGGGCTTCCTTGATGCTGTTTAGTTCACACGGGTGGGAACTAACTCATGGTGGAATACACTGTAAATACTTTGTGAAATCCAACAGCAAACAGGGATTATTAAATTGCGAAAGTTCTAATGTACAGGTAAATAGGATTCAATTTTGGTAAAACTCCATGTCAAACAATTGCCACATTTTAGATGGGCTCTGGTCAAAGCTTGAGAGGGGGGAGCACTTTAGGGAAAATTCAATCTGTCACGTGTCAAATTATTGGTAGAGATACATTTTTGGGATTAGTTTTAGGGGGAATTCAATTTTATCTGAAGTATTATATTGTGAAATAGACATTTTGAGTTAAAATAATTGCGGTGTTGTAATCACACAATTTTATAAAATTTTGTGAAATTTTGGATTTTCTGGAAGCCCTGATAAATTATGAAGACAAGTGGCAATTAAATTAGCTTTTAGGGAACAGGTTTTCACTATAGATAGGAAATTTCATACGTATTTTGACATTTCCTACCTGAAATTTGAGTAGAGATAAAATTGTGGTTGTATGACGCCACAATTTTATCAGGTGTAAAATTTTATGAAATTCGAGATTTTCCCTAGAAGCCCTGATAAATAGTGGAGATGAATGGACAATTAAATTAGCTTTCTGGCAATGAGATTTTAACTACAAAACATTATTACATATTTGGCAACTTTTGAAGTCGGGAACCAATTTTATGAAATTTTGGATTTCCTGGAAGCCCCAATAGATTATAGAGACAAATGTTAACTTAATTTTTTGGGGTTAAGTAAATTAGCTTGTCTGGATAGAATGTCACTAAAATTGAAAATTTCATACCTATTATTTCGCAACTTTTCTACCTTTGAAGTTTAGCTGATAAAACAAAATCAGCTAAAATTTCAAGTCTCTTTCCTCTCTATTAATTAAGGTAAATATGATTTCGTGAACAGTAATAAAATTACGTGAGGATTTGACGAACCAACGGAAATGGACCGAGATCAAAGTAACGAAACCCTTTCAGATTTAATTGTCACGCACAAGGCAAAACTAAATCGAGTAAATAAAGTGCGAAAAGCTTTCTGGAAATTTATCTCCCCTTTTCCCCTAAAAAGTGGATGTCCGACAGGATAGGAGATCCCATAGCAAATATGTGTATGATCCGATTCAATTAAGTCCATGTCACACTTCACAATTTGCACAACCACTCACAATGTCTCGCATGGATCAGTTTTATTATTTACTTAATTTAACCTTTCAACGAGAAGGGGAGAAGAGATGGAAGAGATGGCAAAAACGATGGAATTGTGGAAATTTTAGGATTATTTTACGCCTAGGATTATCTTATTACGCTTCGAGATGACGCCTATAAACGTGAAATATGAATTTTGATCACGATATCTGCAAATTGTAAAAATGTACAGATTTTCACGAGGAATAATGCTGACGTTAAAATCACTCAAATTTTAATGATTTATCGTGGTGATCGGAGATGCGTCTGCATAATTTTTGGCTTGCTAGAATGCAAAAAATTGGCTACATAGATACGTATATCCATAAGTCTTTTCTTCTAAAATAATTTCATTTCACCGTTTTTTGCCTCAAAGAGTTTAATCTGATCGATTGCAAAAAAGAATATGAATTTCGAAAAAATACTAATTCGGCTGTGAACACATCCAAATTGTGTACCTTTCCATTAACAAAAACGTACATTCTAAATTCCTAAAGATGCTAAGACCTAACCTGACCTTATCGATTCATACACCCAACCATACCCCACAATTTCCTGAAATTTTATATATTTTTGATAATGTTGTATAGGATACGTACAAAGTAACTCACTTTCTCCCGAGATGTCCTTCAGCTTGCCGTGTCCTGGAACAGGGGCGCAATTCCGTTTCGGTAAACTCCTCTTCCTTCCCCCTTTCCCACCCAGTTTCATATTTCGGACCCCCCTCGGCTCAAAATTCTCATCGTCATCGTCATCATCATCGTCACCTCCACTGCCGCCACCTTTCTTCGTCTTCTTGCCGTGGTGACGACCACCATTATTCCGATTGTTGTTCCTGCCTCGTTTATTATTGTTGGACGTGATGGAGGACGATTTCTTGTTCTTCTTCGTTTTCTTGCCACTTTTTCTGGTGGAGGTCACATTATCGTCACTCGAAGAGCCGAGTGACCGTCCGCGACGAGTCATTCTTTTTGATGACGGCTTATTTCTCAGTCTTGTCTTCTTGTTCTTGGTGTCGGAATCGTCATCAGAGTCGTCAGAGTCGTCGTCATCATCGGAAGAATTATTCTCAGAATCGGAAGAATTAGAATTACTGGAGAAACCGTAGCTTTCCACGGAACCGGAATCGTCACTCGTGGCGGAATCGTCGTCGTCATCGCCAAGATCGAGATCGTCATTTTTATCGCGGAAACCAGTGCCACGATTTTTACGGACAGAACGACGTTTCGCGGCACCTTTACCACGTCCGCGTCCGCGAGATTCGTCGTCGTCATCCTCGGAAGAAGAATTGTGTCCTTTCTTTCCTCGTCCACCTTTTTTCGAACCGGAAGTGACTTTCTTCTTGTTTTTGGTTGGAGTAGAGTTAGCAAGACTTCGTTTCTTCTTATTCTTGGAGGAAAGTTTCTCATCATCATCGTCACTGTGACCATCGTCATCGTCAGAATCATCAGAATCTATGATTCTTCTCCTCTTACTAGATTCAGGTTTATCCGCTCCAGCGATACTGCTCGTTTCGGAGGATTCTTGCTCTTGTTCTTCACGTTTCCGTTTCCTCGCCGCGGACAAGATTCCTTTCTTGAGTTCCGACATGGAGGAAGATTCGGCATCTTCTTCATCACTATCTTCGTCATCATCGTCTTCTTCCTCTTCTTCAGACTTGTCCTCCTTGTCCGACACGTGGAAATCAGAGTCTTCCTCGCTCGAATTTTTCCGGATGCGAGCCCCCCTCCCGCCAATGGGTGTGGAAGAGATCTTTTTCACAATGGGGGAAGAAGAAGCCGCCACGCCGGCGGCGGCGGAAGAGGCAGGATCCGCGGAGGACGTAGCGATAGCGGCGGCGGCGGTGGAGGAAGAAGAATCCCCCGGTTTCGCATTACTAGTACTATTTTTCGCCTTGATTTGCTGCCAAATACCGCCCCTCCGAGACGTAATACTGTTTGGATTGGATTGCAAATCGTCGAGAAAAGAGTCACACGCAGACCAGAATTCATCCCCGGCATCAAAGGGTTTCTTATTACTTGCAGCCATGACCTTGTCGTCCTCAGTCTTCTTCTCTAGCTGGTCGAGGAGTGGGGTGGGTGGGAAAAGCTTGGGTGGCGCAGTCTTCTTGATGCTCGCCCTTCTCCCACCGCCACTTCCTTCCGAGAGCTTCTTGGGAGAACGGGCCCCCTTTTTCGTGGGAGAATTAGACCCACTTCCGGGCAGTGGAGGGATTGGAATCTTGATCGCGTTACCACCACTGCCGCCAAAGTCGTCGTCGTCATTAAAGTCGAAAACTGAGGTGGGTCCTCTCCCTCCTCCTCCGCCGCCACTCCGACCAGAATTGTTCTCTTGCTCAATCTGGCTGAGCAAGTTGGGGAATAATTGCTTCTTCTCGGCCTTGGTGCGAATTCTTTGCAGTGCGGCGGCCGGGTCTTCAATATTCGAATTGGTCAAATTATTAACGGGCAGCATGGTACCTACGCCCGCCGCCATCATAGCCAATCCTGCAGCAGCGTCGTATTTAGCTCCTCGAGACGAGGTGGCAGGCGTCGTGAGAGACGAGGAGGACGACGAAGCTGTCGAAGAGGAGAATGGGGACGAATTTTGCGTTCCTGTACTACCACCACCACCACTACCCGCAGTGGTCGCCATGTTTGGGGGAGGATGACCCTGATAGGCGTGCAGTTGTGTGTACTGGGTGGGTTGGAGGTTCTGGAGATTGCTCAAGTTGGGCAGTGATGTGTTGAACTTGCGCCCGTGGAAATTCCACGTTTGGTGCGGACTAAACTGGAACTTTTCCTTTTCTTGTTTCTCATGCATCCGACTCTCGACAGAATTCCGGAGCATGTTGAGTACACTTTTTCGCGACCCTTTCGGCTGACGACCTCCGCTCCCGTTGCTCGATGTTGTGGGGGCTGTTGAGCCCGGTGGTTTCATAGAGGTGGAAGTAGACGTAGGATTGGGAGGAGCAGAAGGTCGTGCCGCTTGTGGTAGCGGTGGTGGCGGTACGCTAGGTTCTTTCGGATAGGGAGCAGCATACGTAGGCGTCGTTAATGGGGGTGGTGGACCGGTCGGCGTCGTGGGACGAAGACCAGGGTGTGGTTGGAAAGAAGACGTAGACGTGGGAGGAGGAGGAACGTACGGGGATGCACCGCTACTTGGTGGTGGTTGCTGCTGCTGCTGCTGCGCATTTCTTTGCGCTGCAGGGAGATAGGTCGGGTAGGAGATGTGTTGCGAGTAGTGGGTGTAACTGGGTGGCACGGCGGAAGAGTAGGTTGGATATGTCATGTGTTGTTGTGGAGGTGGCTGTCTCTGTTGTTGTTGTTGTTGCTGCTGCTGTTGAGGGTGTGGCTGTTGTTGAGCCTGCTGTGGGATTCCGTAGTAATGTTGTTGCTGTTGCTGCTGTTGCTGATGGAGATGTTGTTGAATTTGGTGTTGGTGATGTTGATAGTAAATGGGTGCGTGTTGTTGTTGCTGCTGCGGGGGGTACGAGGGGGGATGACTTGGTTTGGCGGTGGGAGGAGGAGCCTGTTGTGCTGGGGCGTAACTCGCCGTGGGCGGTGGGGCCGTTGATGAAGTAGGAGCAGCAGCAGCACCGCTTCCTCCCGGTTTACTACTTGGTATCGTTGGCTGCATTTGTTGCTGATAATTGAGATAGTACTGCTGGCCAGGTGGTGGTTGTTGTGATGGTTGTGGTGGCTGGACTTGCTGTTGCTGCTGCTGAGGAAAATGTGGGTGGTACTGAGGATACCCTGCAGAAGAGGAAGTTTGGTGATGATACGTTGCGCTAGGTTGATGATACGCCGTAGCAGCGGTGACTTGATGATGCGGGTTATACGGCGGAATGACACTCCCAGGTCGAGACGGTGGCGTCGTTGTAGGCGCACCAGCCCCCGCACCAGCAGCAGTCGGGTAAAGAGGGTGATGATAAGTTTGTTGTGGTGGCGTCGCCACTGGAGGTGTCGTCAGTCTCGGGGATACTTGTGGATACAAGAGGTGATGCCCTGACGTCGTGGCAGGAGGAGGAGGGACCACACCCCCACTTGCCGTCCTCGGAGGGGGCGTCTGATTAGGAAACACTCTCTGATGCAGAGGCGGTGGTAGGGTTAACGTCGACGAGGACGGTGACTGTTGGCGACTCTGTTGTGGCGACGGGTATCTAGGAACTGCTTCCTTTTCTCTACTCCTCCCTCGACTTTTGCCACTAATTTGGTGATGGTGGTGGACATTATTATCTAAATTGTTGACACTTGGTGGTGTCGTGGTTGAATTTGCCAACGCGGTGGCACCTTCTTTTCCTAAGCCGAGACCCATTATTGGTGATGGTCCAGCAGATCCGTTACTAACGCCCATAAACAGTATGCTCCCAGCCTCTGTCGTGGAGGAATCTGCCGACACGCGGACAGTTTTGACGGATAAGTCGAGCGGTGATTCTCTCCGTATCGTCGTCCCACCCACGACCATGGAAGGAGCAGGCTGCTTCACGTCGGGCGAAGGTTTCGAATTAGTCGCTTGACCACTGCTCACTACACCGTTGTTCTTGACACTATTGTTCAATTTGTTGCTGGTGGTGCTGCCCTGTGGACTTTGTCGTGGCGATTTGACGACGAGCAAACCGGGTGAGGAATTAGGCAGGGGCGTCGTCGTCGTCGTGCTGCTGGTAATACTGCTAGACGAGTGGAACCTTTCTAACATGAGGAGCGGGGTGGTATTGCCGGAAGGAGGAGGAACTTGTCCTCGTGTCGGGAGTGATGTGGACGAGGTGGCCGCAGTGCTGATTGTGGACGAGTAACTACTTTGGTGATGCTGATGGTGATGAATTGAGGACGATCCGCCGCCACCGTACATTTGACTCATCAACGTTGCGCCGAGACCTTCCGCAAATTTGGAGCGGATCACGGCCTCGCCGTCCTGGAAAACAATTAAGAGAACTTTAGTGATTTTGTCGACAATATTTTATAAATTGTTATCGCGACACGACATCCCCCTTTCGCCACCACAAACCGACCTGCTGCTGCTGATCAATCGACTCCAAATCCAGATGTAATAATTCAAAGAAATTCATCATTTTACCTCAAAAACGTAACAATTCCCTCAATTATGTAACTAAAGCCTAAACCTAATAATAACCTAATAATTTTTACACAATATATCTCTAAAAATAAAAATTCGTCATCTTGACTTAAAAAACTTAATAATTCTCTCAATTTACTAACTATTAGAACTTAATATTGCCCATATTTTTATCCTAAAAATAACTAAAACTCGACCTCCTCCGTCCCATGGTAAAAAGCGATTGAGACAGAATGAGACTGTAGAAGACCCAGATTTTTAAGAGACCAACCTGTACCCACCATATCATCACCACCAGAAATAAAGGTAAAGGTCGCCCAGTCGTAAGGGTACATAAGTCCACCACCACCACACCAAGTATCTTTTTACTGCCTGCCTGCCTTCCTTCACTTGTTTCTTGTTCACTTCTCCAGCAGATCTCCACAAAATCTATCTACCTAAACTACTACATAAATGCAGTGTCCGTATAGGCAGGTTCTGAATGCATCGTATGCTTCCTCTTTACAGGGTACTCACTATCCTACATATTACGAGGAAAAAAGGACCTGACTCTTCTAATTCCATTTCCAACGCGGACTGCTCCTTTCTTTTTTAAAGATTCGATATCTCCTGCGGTTACAAATCCCTGCGTCCCTACGTAACACCAAACTGCCCAGCACAATGTATCCAAATCTCTCTTTCTTATTCTTCTTCTTTTGGGGGGGAATTAGTCCAACAAAAGGAGGCCTTCTTGTTCGCGAAATATTATTATTACACTGGCAAAAAAAACGTAACATTTTTTTTCACACGGGGAATTAGTTAGCTACACGGAATCGTACAAAAACCCTCCTAATACATACATAAATTCGCGAATACGATAACATTCCTAAACACCAGCAAAAAAATTCATAACAATTTTTCCCCACATTTTTTATCTAGCAGGATACATACATACATAGTAATAATGATCACCCAGTATTATTATATAACTCGATCCGACGTGAAGAGAGATAAAAAAGGAACGGGCCAGCAGTAGACTTTTCTTTCTTGAGCTAAATCCAATCACCAACCAACCAGCCAAACCACGCTTTATACTTTACGGCACGACCAAAAAAAATCACCCTTCACAAAATAAGAGCAATCGCTCCAACACTATTCTATCTATCCTCTTCTCTTCTCTTCTCCTCCGTAGTCCAGTCGGGTCCTATTTACGGTAGAGATTCATCTCCCCACATTATTTTATTCCCTCCAGTCACAAAATTTCTAAAACACCCGTCTTTTTCTCTCTCAAATAAGCAGCTGCCTGTACTAACAAAATTGAAAAATAGGACTGGAAACGCATCACGTTATTATTTGCATAATCCCATCCATGCTTATCATCATGGTCCCGATAAGGATAGAGAGAGAGACGACCGATACGCATAAAAATTTCTCACCTGAAACAGAAAAAAAGACAATACTGGTTAGTTGGACACCACTTGAGATTGGTGAAAGATTGAGATAAATGAAATGAAATTCACCTGAGGGAGTGCTAAGGGGAGACGACCAGCCGCCCCACCGAGGGCGTGGTGCATGGGGAGGTGTAAAAGACTAGAGGATGATGACCCACCACTATTATTGGTCAATGGGGATGACGACGACCTTGACCCTTGACCCCCAATGTATTGCAAATAAGGGTGTGGCGGCGCTTCCTTATTGTTATTATTATTATTATTAATGGTATTGTTAGCGAGTGGCGGTTGTATATTATTAACGGCGCTGACGTTCTTGCTGAAGGCGGAGGGGGAGTAGCGGTTGTGATTATTATGAGTCTGGTTCTGCAAATGGGGCTGGGTTAGTGGGGGCGACGATGGGTGTGGTGGAACTTGTGATGCCGGTTGCGACTGAGCGGGGAGAGGAAGACCTTGAAAAAAGGGGCGTGTCCCTTCCAGTATATTTTTGTAATCCATTTTTCACCAGGGCTGCAAAATATGGAAAAAAATTAGTTTTACATTATGCAAATAAGATTATAAATACAATTTTGCGAATAATTTGGCCACTCTGCGAAAATAAGATTTCGCAGAGTCATTAGCATATTAATTTAAATTGACAGTTACAGAAATATTTCTGTATTCCATGAATTTCTCCAGAGACGCAGTTATGTTATTTATAGACTGTAATTGCGGACCCTGCGTAAAGGATTTGCCAAATTTTTGATATTTTTAACATTGGGAACCCTACTCAAATCCTTTCCGCACGACCCCCTCCTTGATATCATTACATTACTTATCATCTCATTTTTCTCATCATAATTCTCTCCCCGTCTCCAATTCCATAATATTTAGTGTCCAATTCGCATTCCTGCCACCAACCACTTGCCGTTGCCCCACATATTATTCATATTTGTCATCATCACGACAAATGTGTGTCATTTACTGAATACTTGATCATCTTACATGCTACCTTTTACCCGAAAACAGTCAAAAAATCCCCGTATTTTTTCATTTCCTCACTTCACCCAAAAAAATTAAGCCTTAACAAGCTTATAATTCTTTTCTATACCTGAGAGAAGAGCACACCTCACTCACTCACCCAACCAACTCTGCACAATTTTATGTACATACATGCAATCCAAAGCAAAGGTAAGTAAAAACCTGCCTGCAATCCAATCTACCTACCTGAGCTGCCGAGCCACGCTACAAATATATACGCCGTAGTCTGTGTAACTCAACAATTCAAGGTGAATGAACCAAACCTTGCTGCTTTAGCTTTAACCAAAATGTATCCCACCACATCGCAGCAAGGAACAACTCTCCTCTCCTCCTAAAGCATATAGCCGGTGGTGGTTTGGTTTGGTCGTATGATGATGATGATAATAATGTAGTTGCACGCAGGTATTAGAAAAAATTGTCTTAAAAAAATCACAAATGATTATGTATGGCGAAAAGTCCAGTAAAAAAAGGACGAGATAAAATGTATGTTAGCATCACGACGATCTTCATCATGATCTCGCTGTGAATGAAATTCTGATCTGATGACCGACCAGTATAAAACCGAGCTATGTATTACGTAATGCAGGCAGATTGGCCCCGGGTGCAAAAATAATGGCAAAAATCATCCTCACAAAGAGGGAAATCAATAATTGCGACGTGGTCTCCTCAGTGACACTGACCGTGGCGTGGCGTGGCTTTGTGGTTTGGTTTGGTTGGTAACTAACATAATATTTTGTGGGCTGACTTCTTTTCTTTTCCCAGAACACAAATTGGATTTTGCCAGCCAGGCCAGCGGAGAAAATGGGAGAGAGAGAGGGAATTAAAGTAATGCGATGTAAAGTAAAGGAAAAGGGGTCCCAGAGAGAAATAATAATATCCGAGGAGAGGAGGACGACTACTATGTACTACTTACTACCCGGGTAGGCAGATGAACCGGGTAGCAGAGAAAGCACCAACCGTTAGCACAAGCCATCTCTCTCTCCAGTTTTTGAAAGTCTGAACTTGCAGTCTGGATTGGAATGGAGGAATCAATAAATAACTAAACTGCTCCTCTACGCCACATACATCCACGCCTGCAACGTTCTTACTTAAAATAGCCACTGCCTACACATTCTCGTCACATTTTTGAAAAAAAATTGGTAGAAAATTGGTGCACAGGAAGAAAAAGAGGTATTTACGAAACAAAGTTGTGCTGCAAGTTTTATGCGAGGATGGACATGTGTGTGCCTTTGTAAGTGCCACCTCGGGACCCTAACCGAAAAATCCAACCTGGACTGGACCCCTTCGTTTCTTTGCTTCCTTCCCTTTTACGCAATTTACGGCACGATCACATATGTCACACATTTATGCACGTAGACATGTCATCCGGGGAACACCCGGCCTAAAATAATCCTCTCTCTCACTCACATAAATACTCACTTGGTTATGTAATAATTCTAGCCAAATAAATGCGCAGGGAGCGACAGATCAAGGATAAACCCTTCCCGATTTATTTACTCGACAATGTTACGAAAAGTATCTCAAAATTCTAGATTATTTTATTTATATTCCATTCATTCACTCACTCACTTTCGCTTCTAATGAATGAATATAATCGATAAGAGATCGATAATTACTCGAATAGATAATTTAATTAATCAATCAATTCTCTCTCTTGTAGCATAAAATAATTGAATAAAAAACTACTCCAGGAGTAGATAGATACATAAGCAATTCTCCAGGTTCAGGAAGGAATTGGGGCAAAAAGTGCTGTTTACTGGAGGAGAGCTGGTGAAAAGTTAACTTAGTTTGTGGCTTGGGTTACATTTTGCACCTCAAAATTCTGTCACATTGATCTACACCAAATGTATGTATGTGACTATTTACAGGTTGTGGTTTTGGTTTGGCTTCATCATAACAAGTAAATTATGGGCAGAAGCCGTGTAGATGTGTGCTGTATGCATAGCGGTAGTTGGTTATTATTTGGTAGTTACTTAATAGCCTTGGCTTACTTTACTTTCATCTCTCTCTCTCTCTCAACTAAAATCATGAATCTCATACCAACCACAACTACTATGTGCTCACCTCAGCTCCCTATTAAAACAAATACGAACCAAATATCGTCATTAACAATACGGATGACAAGTGGATATTTTATGCTGGAAAATCTCCTACTTTTCCATCACGTAAATGTGATTCCTTTGAACAACCATCTCGGAGGAGGAGACAAACAAACACTCGAAATCTGGACAGAAATCCAATTCCCACTCGAATCCAACAACGCCATAATATGTACAGTTAGAAACAAATAGGAAATAAGAAAATCATGTCGAAATCAGGATTCTCTTAGATCCTCTTGAATTCTTCTATTATGAGGAGACGCGTCGTTTCTTGGTGACGAGGACAGATCTGGATCTGGAAATCCAGGTGGGTTGCGGTTGCCACGAGATGATGAATACATAGCATTGAGATCAATTTCTCTTTCTCGTCCTCCTATTCATTTCTCATCCCAATAGCGACGTAATTTCTACCCGAGAACATCATGTAATGACTTCGATAAGAAGCTCACAACCCACTCGAAGAAAAGTCAAGCCGACCAAATGATTAGCTTCTGCTGTACCAAAATCAAAACCCACTCGTCCAAATAATTAAGCCAACCCGAGCTAGCTAAGCCACTCATTCAAACGGAAACTCGAGGAGGAAAAGTGCTTAAAAAAGACGGAGAAAAAAAGTAAAAAGTAAAAGCTGGATAATTGGGAAGAAGCAGAACAAGAAAAACAAAACCAAGGACGACGGACGACAAATCAAAAGTGGGAGGCGTGCAGAAAGGATGCCCACGGAGAAACCTATACATTTACGTCACCAAAAAATAGCAGCCATGTTTGAATCCTAAAAAAGGTATCAGATTCGCATTTTTCGCATGTTTGCCGAATTTTGCCGAGTTTTTAGCAATACTGGGAATTTATGGGCAGGCCTTCTTTTTTTGTGACAATAAATCCCCGGAACATAACATTTTCCAAAATTCCCCGCATTTACTTTCCTCGTTGTAAAGACGACTCTAATTACGACTCATCAAGACAGAGAAAGTAGAGGAAGAGAAAGAAAGTAGAAACGAAATCAGATCGCATCCGTCGCATGGCGTCACTTGCATCCCCACGAGACTCGCCTTTGACAAGGAGGTGAAGCAACATGAAACCTTTATATTTTGAGATCACCACCACAGCAAACCACCACCTGCGTGTCCTTCCTTCCTGCCTAATGGACTCGATTGAAATCCTTGTCAAAATAAAATCAAAAACTTTCTCCTTTCTTTCTTTCGTCTCCTTCTTCAGATTTCCAGACGCAGACCACTTTTTGTCAAAGAATTGCATTAGTAATGTCATCCGATATTATTTCATCGCTCCTTTTACCATCGTCTGATGACGCACGTAATTCTTTATTTATCGTAGAAAAATCGTATCATAAATGTTATGCTAGCGGATGCATGTAACGCAAAAACAAAATCGTAGCGAGCGACTGCATCATTAAAAAATTGGCTGACAACAACAAGTGTGAGAGACAGGAGGAAAATCTCAACGAAAATTACGTAAAGAAAGGTACGGGGGTCTGACATAAAGGATACCATTGATTACAAGGCTTATCATTCTCATGGGTGAAAATTCCGCAAAAATCCATCCCCATCCTTCCTGTGCAGGGTAACCTAAACCAGACAAACTTTCACTTTGATCTGTGCCACTACTTTCTCTCACCTTTCACTCATTCGCCTACACAGTTCTCCCTGTCATAACAAAACTGTTTGGGAAAACTGGCAACTTTTCCTCTCCTCTCTCGCTCCCTCCGACTGGATCTAGAATTTCTGCAGTGAATTCCGAATTACGTGAGCCTGCTACCAGCCAAAACAACAGAAAGAGACGCAGGGAAAGTCCAACTTTCTCTCCATTTCGCAAACCATTTCAACTTTAGGAGAGAGAGAACAAGGAGACGAGACTATTATTATTTCTAAAGCGTAGCGTTGATCGTTGTTGAGGGCTGTTCAAACATTGAGCAAGTTATTTGGGGTCACCTCAGCAGTACGGAAAAGCATCCTCGTTCATTTTCGTCCCACGCGTGTGGACGATCCGAGAACCAGGTCGGTACAGAAAAGCAGATTGGAGACGGATGGGTAAAAGTGAAACGGAGGCAGGATTTCATTTCATAAGTTGCCGAGCAGAGCCCAACTTTTCCTCAGAGCTGGGGCAGCCCCCGAACGAGAAGGAGGGACGACAGAAAGTTGCTGCGTCCGTTTTCGACGAAAACGACGAGGAAGAAGCAGCAGGGAAGAAATGAAAACTCTTTTTCCATGATATTTTCCTAACTTGACTGACATGGGGCGCTCCCCCCTCGCTCCTTTTGCTCTCTCTTCCGTACTGCTCGCCTAACTCCCGGGCATCATTTCCTCAATATTTCCACCAACCACCACTACTGCCCGGCTCTCCGTCTTTCTCATCTCTCTTGTGAGGAGGGGGACCAAACCAAGTAGTAAAAAGCAGGGTCACTGGGAGCATGCACTAATTCCACTCTTGTAGGAAATGACCACAATTTACGCCACAGATAAGTGTCGACATGCACAAGGGCGACCAATTCAACGAAACGACGCACTTTCTTCCTAATCAATTTGTTTCTTTTTCTTACTTTCTTTCAACCACACGCGGAGAAAATTGTTTTTCTTTTTTAACGAGACGACACGATTCAATCTCTGGAAGGAAGGAACGTGTCAACTCTCAGGGAAACTTATTGTTTACCGATGGATTTGAAAGTTTTTATTTTTTATTTGGAAGAATCCGAAATCTCTCGGAAAGGGAGAGAGAGAGAATCGACAGACACGCAACACTTTGTTTCTTCGTTCCCTATGCGTCTTTCTAGGATAAGTATCTGGTCGACATTAGCGCCCCCATAAAATACGTATTACACAGAGAAAGCAGAGGAGAGAATGACACGGGAAAAAGGAAAGAAATAATTTGTCTCTCTCGGGTTTCGAGTTGCTTTCTTAACGCGTGGGCGGATATGAAATAGTTGTGCAAATATTTAAAGGCTCAGTCAGACTGTGTAATTAAAGGAGAGGAGATTGATTAGTAAATAAATACAATTTTGGGGAGAAAAATATCAGCAAATATTTCGAAATCTTGGCAGAATGGGAGGATTATTTTGAAATATTGGAAATAGAAATTTCGAAATGTCAGAAGTGGAAATTTTGAAATGTCAGACAGAAATTTTGAAATTTTAGACAGAAATTTTGAAACGAGGGGGGCATTACCCTTGCAATGTTATTAAGACCCTCCCCCTTCCCAATCTTGCAATGTTATACCAAATTCCCCCTCACTTCCGTCGTCGCCTCTGGATCTCTTTACACAACTTTCTCTCTCTCTCTCTCTCTCTCTCCTGTGAAAACTTTCTTTCTTTCCCGTCTCGTCTGGAATTCGTCTCTCTTTGGGTTTATAAAAAACCGGGTTCAAAAGAATTATAAGGATTTCCTTCTTCACAAAACTCTTAATTCCTTCCTCATATTTGCATTCCGGTAAGATAGGAAATTGCGTAAAGGAAATAAATCTGCGAGGGATTTTAGTCTACAGAACAGAAATGCGACGTGTATCATTTTTCCCTTTACATAATTTCTTTATCCACATTTTTGTTGTTGTTGTGCTCTTTGATCATAAGATTAGTGTGCATCCAACTAAATCCTTATTGATTGAGGTGCATAAATAAGTACCTGCACTTTTACCTAATTTGCCCCATAGTTAAATTATATGTGTAAGATTGGCGTAAATTAGTAGTAACGAAAACGCAGCTCATGTTATTATTATTTGTGAAGGAAAAAAGAAGTCGAAAATAATCAACAAGAGCATAAAATTGCTGTTTTACTGCATATTATATTTGTTGTACATATTAAGCCAACAACTAGTCACCAGACAGACGACGACATAAAAGAAGCAGTCAGAAATCAATGACACCGACGAGTGAGACGTGTTATTAGAGAGCAAATCGAAGACAACAACAGTGCCATTATCTCGATAAAGTACAACTTTAATTGCTATATTACGTTACAGAGACAGGAATCGTCGTTACCATTTTATTATTATTTATAGCGGAAATTAAAGTATATATGCAAATTTATTGCACATTTTCGCAAAGTAAAATGAATTAGCAAGTTTTGTATTGTGTAAATAGTTCATAATTTAACAGGACATGACTTAAATATGTAGTTATTTGTCAAATAAATTTATAATCGGGCTAAAATCTACTCAATTCTACATTTGCGAATATATCGTCGTCCTGTGCAAATACTAATTTTGCACAGTCGAGTGAGTGATGTGACTCTCACTCTATCGGGGGTTATATTACTTACTCATTTGCATATTTGTACTCTTGCTTGCAAAAACACAATCATAATCCTCGCTAATCATAAACCTAACAGTAGACTAAACAGAGAGCTGTTTGAGTGCTGGATTGTTTATATTAAATAATTGTGTGCTTGCTCAATGTCATGATTTGCTAGTTATTAAGGTTTTGCATGTTGACTTAATTTTGCACAAATCATTTTCGACGCTAATTCAATTAATTGAATTAAATTGGCGACACTAATTCAATAAATAGGGGAATGAATGGCACACAATGTTTGAATGAGGTATTATATTACTGACCTAATTTATGTATGGTATGTGTGAGAAATTTAGTATTATATATTTTCGCCTGGAATGGCCCCGGATTTGGGATAATTGTAGGAAACTTAACTATTTAACGAGGTCGTTTTAGATCAATTAGTAATTTGCATATTATTTACATAGCTTAGGTTATTTATGTCTTGTCTAATTTGCATATTACTTAAGACAACCAGAAAATAATATGTATTGAGAGGGTTTGGAACTTCAAGGGGCAATCATCTGTGAGAATTGAAAAAATATCAAAAGTTGCACATATTTGATAACGGTGGCGCCGTATAACTTCATTTTTGCAGTATAGTTATTCGCAATGTCATAATTTCCCCAGGTTTTTAACCAGATTAACTTATCTACATGTCATAATATCGCCAGGAATGACCTTATTTTTAGTGACATCATTGATGGACCAGCCCTTCCGACGAGTATTTGTTTACGAGTTTGAAATAAGCTACGAGTGACAATAACTGATTCACATTTGCACGTATTGTTCTATTATGTCCCGAGTTGAGCTAGTTCTATGTTCTGTTGTGGATGAATATGGAACAATGCGTCGTGTTGTCCCAGAGGGAAAGCCTGACACAAACAGAATATAACAGAACTAAAATTATACGAGTATACTAGTAGTGTGACCGTCCTCATTTCATGGCATCGTTGTTTTATTACCGGAGAGAAATCCAAAATTAGTAAAACTTTCGGAAATGAAATGTAATCAGAATTATGAAATTTGTAATCAAAGTTAAATATTTTGTTTGTAATTAAATTATCTTGACGTCAAATGACGAGTTATTTATAATGAATGAGACGTAATTCATAATATTATTGATTTATGACTTGAAGAAGATGATTAACAAAACCAAGGCCAGTCATCTCTCGTCTTCAATTCAGTATAACTTTTGTGCAGGATTTCGTCAACATATTAAAGTTAACTAACTTTTGTCAGTAAAAGTGGTACGTATTATTAACCAGCCAAGTATTCACTTTCAGTCAGTTTCACACCAGGTTTAAATATAGGAAAGTACAAACTTTTAGTCGGTTTGGTTTTGATTCAGAAATATGAAAATGAGAACCAAACCACAAATATGAAAGTTTTTAATAACTTTGTAAAACTTTCTGGACCGGACAAAACACAATTTTCCTTTCAAAAGTAAAGTTGAAGTTTTTTTTTCAAATTGAAACTTATCGAAGAAGAAATGATGGTTTAAACAATGATTTAAATATTTACCCACCTTGTCCTTGATTGATGTGAATAATATCAATTGATGATGATAACTCTGACTCCTCGTTTATTTTTACGTTTGAAGGAAGGGAATCAAAAAAATAATAATGAAATGAAAACTGAAAAGGAAAAATGAACACTTTTTCGGTGGCCTTCATTCGTGTTTTTGTTTATCCCCAGAGTTTCTTATGACCACCACATTCTGACATGACAATTTTAGAACACAATAAGTTGTAATTAATTATGTACTTTTTAAGGGTCAAATCGTGTCAATTTATTAAAACTTTGCCACATCGTTCCCCTCATTAACTGTTAATTTCTTGGCGTCGACACGTCTTTTAGAGGAGGGGGTCGATGTCACGCCAGGTGTGGCGGTGGCGGCGGCGGTCTCGGAGTCGGATGACGCGCACATATTATTACAAGTTTAATGAGGAATTTTTGTATTGTTATTGGTCAGCAGACAGACGGCGCTTAACTTGTGACGACGCCACGTAACCACATTATTATGTCAGCCCTTTCTTATCTTTCTATTTTTTCTTGGGGTAAATTTACACATCTTTTTCCGAGTATTATTTACGACGGATTTCCACGGAGGATCGCTCACGAGTCACCTCACCACCACTATTTAGTCAGTCACAGTCACTGATCATCACACACTAATAATTACTAAATTAAAAAATAAGAAACTTGTTATTCCCTCTCGTCGTCCTCTTTGATAACTGTTCAAATATCGGGCGTATCTATACGACAATGATGATAAGCCCATACAGACAGTCACACCTTTGAATCCTGTAATTTAATGATCTCTCCTATTATTACCCAGCCTCCGCTTCATCAGCCTGTCCAAGAAAAGAAATAAAAGAACAATTAAAAACATGAGGAAAAAGAGGATGTTCTTGACCTCCACCATCCCTCCTCCTCTTTTCTTTCTAAAGTCATCAAAAGCGTTAGTTTGTTAGTTTGTCGACGACGGCGATGGCGACGACGACGGAAAACTATCTCGTCCTCATTTGTTAAACTAAATGTACGGATTTTATTTATTTACAATTTCACCAACTCACCTTTTAAATTATTTCTCGTGCTATCGCAGTTTCTCCTGATTTTGTGGGGGTTCTGGTAAAAATAGAGTTTTTTGGAGATTTATATTTTTCCAATTTTTTTTGGGAATCATCGTCGACTGGTTGGAGAGATAGATGTTAGTGTGGTGGAGGCGAGGAGCCAACTGAAGGCAACCCAGAGACTGGGGGACTAATAAGAGAAGTTGGCTTTTAGCATCGCTTTTTAGTCCGTGGTAGTATATCTCTGTGTAATGTAAATGCCAGCTATATCATCATCGCCACGAAATGCAGTAGAGAGAGAGGAAAGTATAATATTCACGAGAATTCAGCTCTCTGAAAACGCAAAAAGCTATTGCTGCGAGCGAATGAGCGCTTTTTACTTTAGAAAACTACAGGATTTCTTGTAAGTGTGACATGAATTGAAATCTGGTTGAGGAGGTGGAAGAAGAAGAAGAGGAAGAGGCGAATTTTAAATTTAAGAGGGTAAATAAAAGTAGAAAGGATTTTGGAGAAAGATGGGAAAATTTGGAGTATTTTACTTCCGGGGACTTCCGGTTTAGTTGCGTACGATGATGATTAAACCGGGTATGAAAGGGGAAGGATAAATAATTCATAAATTAGCAATGTTTTCAAAATTTTTTAGTATGGGTGGTTTCTTTTGCTTGTATAAATTGAATTTTGGGCGAAATAATGTGGGGGTGGCACATGAAGGGAACCGTGTCGACGTCTTGGCGTCATGGCGTCATGTTTTTATGAGACGAAGCAAATGGGGCGGACGGAGACGGGTTGTCAGCAAGCGGAATCTTGAATTCGAGTTGAGTCACCCCAAAACATACACCAAATTGCAATTCATCCTCTTTCTCACTTCTCACTTACACAACACGGCGAGTTTTTTTTTATTGTTGCAAAAATATAATAAGTTTGCCAAAAATTTCAAAAACTAAGTAGTAAAAGTTAAGTTAATCAGCTCCTTATCTTAATTACGACGAGGGTGGGATAAGGGGAAAATATTGAAAAGTGTCGAAGGATCGGAAAATATAAACGTTTCAACAGTTTTTAAAAGTTTTAAATTTCAAGAAACAGGATGACATCCGTTCTTACGTCGGCAGGTGAGTATAAAATGATTTTATTAATTTGTTTGCCTGGCATTATAGCATAATTAATTAGTCAGGTCAGGCAATATAGCATAATATTTTAGAGGAGGAGGATTTTTTTGGTTATGTAAAATTGAACCAAGTTAATTCCTCTGTAAAAAAATAACGATTATGGTTAACTAGGTTCTAGTTACTAATTTAATTGTTATTGATAAATCATATTAGTACAAGTTTTGGTTTTATACATCTTTGATTTTAACGGGGATAACTTTCCAAGTTGAATATGCGATTTGCCCAAAAGTTGGAACGTTGCACAAACATTTCATCTTTTGAGCCTCATTTCTTATGTAATAAGAGTAAACTACATATTTATTTACACTTGTAACTAGTTGTAACGCTACTAAAATTACTTGTCGTCACAATTTGTCGCCATTTATTCCACCGGCTGGGTTTTATGATTTTATCTACTTGAGAAAGCTGGGTAATTTCTACAACTTAATTGTAATTCGATAACCTTGCGAAGTGGGTGTGTCGCTAGATGGTCGCTTTATCATCATCATAAATTTGTCGCCATTTGATTCGATTTTCGCCATCGCATTTTGTCGAAAATACCGTTTCATCTTCTCCGTCTCACTAAATCTCGTTCCACCCCGGCGGCGGATTTGACATGCTCTGCGCTCAACTTTTTCTTCGTCACACGAGCTCTGACTTTGCAAGTTTTTCTTGTGCAAAAAAAACTGAAAATTCGCCGGTTTCTTTTCGTAATCTCGTCACGACTTGGTCACCTCGTCGACATCGTCAGCCTCCTGATTTATTGTGATCTGTTTCGTCAACGACCGTGGTGGTATTTGGTTTATCCAGCGAATCCTAAAGTTTGACCTTTGTCTCGTGGATTTCGTCATCATCTTTTCCTGGTCACACCCCTTCTCGTCTCGATTCGTCATGGGTGGCGTATCGTCCCGCGAGGAAGAAATGATTGACCGGATGTGGGGTCGTCCAACGCGATCGCGTTCTCCATCCCCCGGTCCGAGTGGAGACTCTTCATCATCTTTAACCAAAAAATCTCCCTCCTCCAATCAAGAAGATGACAGCATCGTTCATGAGACTGACGCCGAATTAGGCGACGAAGAGGAAGGCGTTGAACTCGAACCGTTCAACCCGGATGACTACGACGCCAAAAAGTACGGGCCCATCTTACCCAACGGCGAGATCAATTGGGAGTGTCCGTGCCTTGGGGGAGCAGCCCATGGACCGTGCGCTACAGAATTTCGTGCCGCTTTTTCATGCTTTCACTATAGGTATGAAAACTAATTATTTATTAATTTAGTAGCAAAAGTAGTAATTAACTTGAATAAATTTACAGTAAAGATGAGCCGAAAGGATCAGAATGCTTCCCCTCTTTTAAAGATATGCACATTTGCTTCTCCAAATATCCTGAGCTGTATAAATCTCCCGATGATGATGGCGACGGAGACGAACTTGGCGAGGATGACGAAGACGACATCGATGCAGAAGAAGGTGCCGAGGATGGGATTCAATTTGATGAAGAGGAACTCAAAGTATTCGGCGAAGAGGAGGAAAGAAAACATAGCAAAGACAAGAATCAGAAGGAAGAAGAAAAATCACCAGCGCCGCCACCACCACAGAAGAAAACGTCGTCACCATCTCCGTCGCCAGAACACAAACCACTGATACCTCCTGCGCCAGGAAGGCCTGCCATGATTTGAATTCATCGGCTTGAAAAAATTTATTTGCTTGAAAAGTTGTCAATTTTATTGTTTAATTTTGTGAAAGAAATATTTAAGAGAGATGAATGAATACTTAATTAGTTCATAAGTAGAGAGAAAGTAAACGGGCCAATAAGTCAGGTCATAGGTCAACCAGTAGAGTCAGGTTAATTAATGATATGAGCTCCTCATGGTACTAATTTATCAAAACTTTGTTGTTGTTGAATTTGATTGATAAAGAAAGATGGTAAAAAAATAATGAGAAGCGTGTGAAATCTACGTTGTTATTCATTTATTGGGAAATTTTGCACCACCATCACTCTGATGATAAAATGCATAATGTGCATTTTGTGGACCGTACCGTAACTAATCATTATTGCCTACTTAATTCTTCCACAGCCGGCATCATCGCCCTGCTCGACGAGCAACAACACGAGCTCAAGTCCTACGCCTTGAAGAAATTGGACCAGGTCGTCAACGAATTCTGGCCCGAGATTGCCGATTACATTACGAAAATGTAAAGACTCAAAAATAATTCAAATTATTTAATTTGCTGTGCAAAAATTTATAATTGATATAATTTCTTCTATTTAGCGAGATTTTGCAAGAAGCAGAGTCTCCCCTGCCTCAACGCGACCGTCAACTCGCGTCCCTCATCCTGTCTAAGGTCTACTATCACCTCGGCTCTTTTGGAGAAGCGCTCGAGTTTGCCCTTGCAGCCGGCCCGCTTTTCGACCTATCTCAACGGAACGAGTACATTGAAACCATCCTAGCAAAATGTCTTGACCGCTATATTCACCTCCGCCTCGACAAAACGACCGAAAACAGTATCGACCCTCGTCTCGGGACCATAGTTGACCGCATGTTCGAACAGTGTTTCAAGGACAAGCAGTACAAACAAGCTCTCGGCGTGGCCCTCGAAACCAGACGGATGGACATGTTCGGCTCTGCCATCATGAATTCGGGCAACGAGACGGAAATGTTGGCATACGCGTTTCGCGTTGCAATGACCCTGATTGGCGAGAGGGGTTGGAGGGACGAGATTTTAAAGAGTTTGATCGGGATTTATGCAGGATTACCGAGTCCGGACTATGTCTCGATGTGAGGATAATTATTGTTAAGATGCGTAGTTAATTTTATTAGTAATTAACTAATTAATTAATTGCCCAACTTTCTCAGGTGTCAGTGTTTAATCTACCTCGACAATCCAGAAGAAGCGGCCCTCGTGATTGAGAAACTATCCTCTCGCGGTGCCGAGAGTCAACTGATGGCTTACCAGATTGGTTTCGACTTGTATGAAAGCGCCACCCAGAATTTTCTCGCGCGTGTGCTCGCTATTTTGAAACGGAATCAGGCCGCTTTCCTCCCTCAACCTGTTGCAGCCGTCGTGGCGACACCGGCGGCTCCAACTGAAGCTGAAGGGGCTGACCAACCCATGCCACCAGCAGCAACGGACGACATTTCTACTGCGGAGACACAGGTCATCGCCCCGGAAGGGGAGGCTACTACAACTGCTACTCCAACGCCACCAGCAGTCGTCGCAGCTACGGCTGCGCCTCCAAAAGTCGCGGTATCCGACGAAATGAAGAAACATTGGGAGCAGATGATCAAAATTTTGGGGGGCGAGGTCACCATCGCGTTGCAGTTGCAATTCCTCGTCCGTTCAAACAAGTCGGACCTCATGATTCTCAAGCAGACGAAGGATTCCGTCCGTGTCTCGATCTGTCACACGGCCACCGTCATTGCCAACTCCTTCATGCACTCGGGCACCACGTCCGACCAATTTCTCCGCGAGAATCTCGACTGGTTGGCGAGGGCGACGAATTGGGCGAAATTTACTGCGACCGGAAGTCTGGGTGTGATTCATCGAGGACACGAGACCGAGGCGAGGAGTTTAATGCAATCGTACCTCCCGAGGGATGGGGGCGCTGCGACGTCCGGATATTCGGAGGGAGGAGCGCTGTATGCATTGGGAATTATTCATGCGAATCATGGTGGAGGCATTATTGATTATTTGTTGACACAGTTGAAGGTATGTCGCTAATTTTTTTATGCAAATTGTATTCAAAAATGATACAAAATCTGGTTTGTAGGACGCTCCGAACGAGATGATCCGTCACGGAGGGTGTCTCGGTCTTGGATTGGCAGCGATGGGGCTGGGAACAGTGCGTCAAGATGTGTACGAGATTCTGAAGAACAATTTGTATCAGGATGACGCTGTGACGGGTGAAGCGGCCGGGATCGCTATGGGGTTGACGATGCTGGGGTCGATGAACGAGACGGCAGTGACGGATATGATTGCCTACGCGAGAGAGACGCAGCATGAGAAGATTCTGAGAGGACTTGCGCTGGGTATTTCGTTCCTCTGCTTTGGGAAGTTGGAGGGAGCCGATGCTCTCATCACGACCCTTCTTTCAGACAAGGTGGGAACATTTTTACACTAACATCTTTCTAAATTTGCGCAGAAAATTAGCTGGAAACTAATATTGATTTATTTTCTCCGTAGGATTCCCTACTCCGACGTGCTGGTGTTTTCTGCGTGGCGATGGCCTATTGCGGGACTGCCGCCAACTCTGCGATCCAGACGTTGTTGAAGGTAGCCGTTTCCGATGTCAATGACGACGTGCGACGCGCCGCCGTAATTGGGCTGGGATTCCTCCTCTTCCGAACGCCGGAGCAGTGTCCTTCCGTCGTCTCGCTGTTGACCGAGTCGTACAATCCGCACGTCCGATATGGGGCCGCGATGGCGATCGGAATCGCGTGTGCGGGGACGGGCAGCAAGGTAATTATTTTACAAATTTAATTTCTCAATAACATTTTGAAGATTAGTATGAAATTTGTTTGTAGAGCTTTTAGAATTTTTCTATTACTCAAAATTTTATAACTTGTCTAAATGTGAATGATTTGTACTTACTCTAAATTAATTGTATTTATTTTGTTCAGGATGCCATCTCCCTGATCGAGCCTCTAACACAGGACTCTGTGAATTACGTGAGACAAGGCGCCCTGCTAGCATCGGCCATGGTCCTCATCCAACAAACTGAAGTGACCTGCCCCAAAGTGAAGGAGTTCCGCGCTCTCTACACCAAAGTGCTGAATGACAAGCATGACGACGTAATGGCGAAATTTGGCGCAATTCTGGCTCAAGGAATCATCGATGGTGGCGGTAGGAACGTGACGGTCTCACTGAGTTCAAGGACGGGACACGTGTGGCTCCAGGGGGCCGTAGGCATGCTTCTCTTCACGCACTACTGGTACTGGTTCCCCATGTCCCTCTCACTCGGACTAGCCTTCGCGCCCACGTGCATCGTCGCGGTCAATAAGTCGCTCGAGGTAAAAGAAAAGTTGGGACTTTTAAAAAACGAAATTTTCTACAAATAATCCTTTCGTTGTTTATCAAATGAAACAAATTGCATGTCTAAAATATTCAAGAAATTTTCAACTTGAAACTAGAAGCTTGCCTTGAGTTTTGAAAAAATAGCTACAATTAACTCATGTTTTGCACAACTTTCTCCCCAAATCAACCCAATCTCGCTGAAAAGAATGTCACAATTCACAGGGAAATTTCTACCAAAATTTACATATATTTTGTAACACAAATTTTGAAAAAACGGCGATTAAAATTAATTATTTATTTTCTACGCAGATGCCCGTCTTGGAGTACAAGTCGAACATTAAGCCATCCACCTTCGCGTACCCACCACCACTCGAGGTGGCCAAGAAGGAAGAAAAGGAGCGCGTCGCTACCGCAATCCTCTCCGTGACGGCAAAGGCGAAACGACGCGAGGCGGAGAAAGATTCTACCCCGGCAACAAAGCTGTCCACCTCGGCGAAAGAGGAACCCATGGAAGTGGACGTCGCCCCGGTCGAAACAGCCAAAGAAAAAAAGAAGGAGGACAAGAAGGAAGGCGAGGACGTCGTCAAGACCGAATCTGCTGAAAAAATCGTGATCGAAGTAAAAAAGGAGGAACCAACATTTGAATTGTTAAAGAATCCGGCCAGAGTAATGAAGCAGCAGGTGCGTTGGGTTATCTATCATCGCTAAAAATTTGAAAATTCATCATATTTAACATTTTGCAGTTGCGTTTCATGGAAATGACTGGGAAGCGATTCAAAGCTATTAAGGATATCACCTCTGGAGGAATCATTCTCGTGAAGGATAGCAACCCAACCGACCCGGTGGAATTGGTGCAACCTGTGGCAGGTTTGTAGAAGAGCTTATCTTCAGGGTATTCTAATCCCAATCCCTGGTTTTGCTGGATTGTAAATTACTTGAACGCGATGCTTTTACTCGGGTTTTTATTTGTCTGCGTTTTCATGAAATAAGTCAAGCAAACCAATTTGCCAAAACTTATTCAATCAGAATTAAGTTCTCTGAGAAAATCTGAGAAATATTTTAAATTTGTAGATTTTATGACGAGTAAAGTTAGCGTTTATCATTTCATCTCACAAACATTGCGTAAAACACAGTAAAACCCGGGATTTTTGCCTTACCCTGTTTATCTTACTATTGGTTAACATCACGTAGTGTTGGCACTTTAATAATTAATTATGACACTAATCCGTTCTTCGTTTTCTGCAGCATGTGGTCCGAAAAAGGAGGAGGAAGAGGACGAACCTTCGCCCCCGGAACCCTTCGAGTATAACGATATCGAAGACTGAAGCTATCCTCTTCAAACCATGAAATTTAATGTAAAAAATGAAAAATTATTGTGTAATTATTCGCCCAATTTTCTATCTACAAGATGATGATTACTTGGAGGAATATTTATGTTTACAATTAGTAATTAATAACAATAATAATAATAAGCCACAATTTCACTCCCACGATCATCATGTCTTTAATAAGTAAGTAATTTTATTATTATCATTAAAAATCAAATTAATTCAATAATTTGATAATAAAAATTAAGTATTTATAAAAATAAACCCCACATAAATAAATGGAACAATAATACATAATATTTAAGAACAAATACAGGACACAACGAGTACAGAAATTCACATTTCACTTATTTAAAAGTACAACAATAATGAGAATCGCTGATTTTTTTGATTATCGTGACCACGTGGTTTTGACACTGCAACAACATCACTTACATTTTTTTACTAGAATGGAAATCAACGGGTTTACAAATTGGCTTGTCATATCATATCATATCATATTTATCATGGGTAATACTTGCCTTATCCCTTAAAAATTACACCGTCACCTCTTATCCATTAATTAATTAACTAATTACTCTGTTTTGGAGAGATAAATAATTAAGTTAGTTTCACAGGTTAGTACAAAAGATATAAAATACAAATAGTTGTATCCCCATCACGAAAAATCACGTGTCAAGAATTAAGTATTTTTAAGGGCTCCTTCTGAATTTCCAGTTTTTTAGTTTTTCCACTAATTACTGAGCTAATTAATTAATTATCTTATCTTAACATGATCTTTTTCCCTTTGGTGTGCACATTGCTCAGATCAGTGAAGAGAGATTGGTTTCATTTCATATTTGTTAAAGTGTTAAGTTAAGGATGAATTTAGTTAAGTGTTGATGACTCTTCCAGTTTGGATTTATTGGTTAATTAATTAATACACGTGTCCGTTTTGGAGAAATTAATTATTCACGTGTCCATATCTTCCTCGCTTCTTTGGCTGCTAAAGTAAGAGACTAAACCGCCAAACTCGCTCTCGGAAGAGGGGACGACGACGGCATCGTCTTTCGAGGAGGGGGCGGCGTGGTGGTGAATAATTGGGGGCGAAGAACCACCGGGGCGTGTCGATGGCGCGTTGGTGGTGGGGGTAGGACGTGGTGGAGGAGGGGAGGGATGGTCATCTTTGAACGTATCACTTCCCGCCGGTCTGCAAAAATGGGGGTCAAAAATTATAAATTTTGATTGTTTGAGAGTAAGAAATTTTAGGATGCATTGTTTAAAACACTTGTTTGAAGAAATTCTTGTGAAGAAAATTTGTCAAAAATAAACAACCTCAAATTGGAAACATTTGAGTGAGTGAGAATTTTGTTTACCTGAAGGGATCAAACGGTGTGGGGCCAAAGAAGCCCTGCTGCCCTTGCGGAGGTAACATCCCGTACCCGTATGGCGACGGGTGACCGCCGAAGAAACGTTCCGGTGAGTTTTGAAAGCCAGCCAGCAGTCCGGGTGGAAGAGAGCCGGGTGGCGATGGGCGATACATTCCACCCCCACCGCCGCTGGTGGGAGGAGGTCCACCCCCACCTTCGCGACGTTGGTGTTGTTGTTGAAAGTGTTGAAACGCTTGTTGCAGCGCGTTAGGGTTGTTGGATGGGTTCGGAATTCGGAGAGGTGGACCGGATGGGGGATAACTCGGCCCTCTGGAAAATGGGGTAAAAAATTACACATTTTAGGTCTAATATCAATTTAAAAACTTGCAAAGGCCTCTTAGAAAATTAAGATACTTCAAAAAATTAATCTATACAATATAATCAATATCAAAATTTTCGCTATTTTTTCAATTTGACGTTAAATCGTGACAAACTTTTAATTTAATTTGATCAATTTAAAGAGCAATTTTTTTTAAATTTTTATCAAAATTATCTTAATAAAATTATATCTCTGAATACTTATCGAAACCCCACCTGGCCTGTGAGGGATGTTGTTGCATGAAAGGTGAGTTATTCAATGGGGGTGGTTTCCCTATCGATCCCGGTGGACCATAGCCGGGCGGTGGCGGACCCGGATTTCTCCCCCACATCGGATGAAATGACCTACACAAAAACCAATTCAAAATAAAAATCGTGTCAAAAATTCAAATTTTCTGAGCCTCACCTCATCATATCTCTCGGATTGGGTGGTCCTCCCGGAAATAGTCCAGGATTCGGTACCCTTGTAATATCCAGTGGCATCCCCATTCCTCCACCGCCTGCCTGACTACTCCCCACCGGCACTGGTCCCGAGGCGTGTTGGATCGTCACATTGATCGCGGATGGTGCAGATGTTGGAGACGAAGACGATCCGCGATGATGTGACGACGATTTCTTCCCAGTAATGACCTGATCTTCGATGAGGATCATTTTCTTATCTTTGTGATCCTCGCTGCTGGATTTCTTCTTACTTTTACTGCTCCCACGGCCCAATGCTTTGATGAGAAGGGGTGGCAATGGTGGAGCGGGGACGGGTTTCGACATGGCTAACTCCATTTCAAGAGTGGATGGTGCAGGTGGTGGAGGGGTGGAGGTAACAGGGGTCGACATCATGCTTGCGATGGGCAGTGAAAGTACCGGGATTGGTGGGAGGGGAGGGATGAGGAGTGGCTGCGGAGCTACTACCGGTTTTGGGGGGTCGATTGGATGACTTTCTTGCTCGGTTTTTACCCCGCCGTTCTTTCCCTTGCTGGCCATGATGTCTTTATTCTCCTCCAGGATCAAAGGTGGTGGTGCTGGTTGTTGTAGTTGTGGTGGTGGTGGGAGGAGAATTTTGGGCTTGATATCATCCGCATTTTCTGCAATGGTCACATTTTCTCCGAGAGGAGGAGGGGTCGACTCTTCTACGCTAGCAGCAGCGCTGGATTGAGCTCGTTGTTCCTTTTGGCGTGCTGCATACATGGCCGCTTCACGCTGATTGGCTGCCTTGATTTTTTCTGCGAGACGACGTGAAGCTTCCGCTTCGTCTTCGTCCTCTCCGCTGGACAATCGTCTGAAAGGGGAAAAAATTAGATTTTGCATGGTGGTGGCAAAAAAATTATGTAATTATTTATATTCAGTTACCTTCTCTTTGGATGAACGATACCTTCATCGTCCGACTCTCCAGAGTCGAGGATGTCTTTAAAGTTGATTTTTCGCCCCCGCGTGCGCCGCTCGACTTTCTCCTCAGCTGCGGAACGTTTCGCTTTACTGCCTTGCGACTAGAAAGAAAGAAAACAAAATTAAATTAATTGGTCATGAAATCGGGAAGTCTGACAACATTATAAATTAGGGAATTAAATAGTCAATTTTTGTCAAAACTGATTCAAAATTAGTCATTAAATTCGAGATTTTGACAAAATTTTGATGGAAATGCTTACACTGCTCCAAGCTCGATCGACCTCTTCGTCATCGACGCGCTTTTTCTTCTTTTTAGCGCCACCGGACGCGCCACCCGATTTTTTCCTCCCCTTACTACCAGAACCCTGCTTCTTCGAGGATGAGGAACTAGCACCCAGAAGGAATCTCGGCGTCGAGCCAGCCTTGGAGCGAGGCGGAGCCTTCTTACGCCTCGATTTTCCATACGTTTCGTCATCCGACTCGGACGGTGTCTCTTCCTCTTCCTCCTCTTCGGACTCGGCTGAATTCCACTTGTCGCCTGCATCCTCGTCGTCATCGTCATCTTCGTCACTCTCGTCATCTGCAAAAAATCATAATCATAGTAAATATATATCGAAATAGGTCATTAAAAATTAAACGATTTTGAAAACCGGTTGTTAATTTTGATACATGTTCGTAAAAACTGGAAAAATTGTCCCACAAAATTTAGGGCAAAGTTACATATTCCAAAATAATTAATTCATAAGTATAAAAAACAAATAGTAGCTCTGAAATAATTTTAAAAAAATAGAAAACAGGTTTTCCGAACAGGGTTTTTACGAAAATTTTGAACAGCTGGTTTTCCGTAAAATAGGTTTTACATGTGACTTAATCGAGAGAAAAGATTAACAACTCACAAGAAATCCGTGCCTTCCTCTTCGACCTGGTTGACCTTCTAACAGCGCCGACCTCCAAGTACTCATCTTTCCTGCCGTATTTCCCTCCTTTCCTCTTATTCTTAGCTTCGGCCGCGATGGAGTCGTCCGAATCATCCTCTCTGTCTCCAGACCAGTCCGATTCCTCCTCTCCTTCCACAACGTCGTCCCCTTCTTCATCCTCCTCGTCGACATCAGACCCACGGAAATCCTCGTCCGACGCGTCCTCATCAGAATAAGCATCCAAATCACGGAAACTCCTCTTCTTCCGCTTATTTCCGGCCGCCTTTTTCAATTCTTTTCGTCTCTTTTTCTCCTTCTCGGTCAAACCAGGAGCGTCGTCATCGTCATCTTCGTCCTCCTCCGTATCGTCGTGAGTAACTCGCGATGGCGGTGGTGCGGAGGACGACGATGCAGCAGGAGGTTCTTCTCCTACAACTTCCGGTTTTGCAAGTCCCGCCGTTTTTGCCGCCTTTTCTTCCTCCGCTTCCTTCAAGTGTTGTTCGTACGCTTCGTTTTTTCCTCCACCACCGCCACGGGAAATGTCTTCTTCCTCCTCTTCTTCGACTTCTTCTTCCTCTTCGTCACCCAATTCTTTGCCACCGTTAACTTTGCCTTCGTCAGCGCCGCCAAGTTCGGCGTATTCGTCCTCGTCGCTTGCCCGACAGGCGGAATTGATCATGTCGTCGTATTCCTTGTAGTCGAATTTTTTCGCGCTTCGTCGTGCTCTTAAGCGATAAATTGGACCGTTTGAGTCTTCGTCAGAGTCGAAGTTGTGGTGAGATTTTTCTTCGTCTGAAGAGTTGTCGTCCGAGGCGATGAAATTGTCGGAGATTTCTTCGTCAGACAGGATTATGCGGCGACGACCGCCACCAGAGCGAGATTTACGGTGGTCACGGTCCCGATTTTTGGAGTGGCGTCGTCCCGGAGAAGGTGATTTGGATTTGGGCCGACCGGAAGTGAGATCGGAGGAGGGAGGGAGCACGTTTTCAAGTGAGATGCCAACAAAGGAGAGACGTTTCTTTTTTAGAATATCGTTTTCTCGACGTTTTAATAGTTTGTCGTACTCGATGAGATTCTCGTTGAGTTTGGAGACGAGTGAGCTCTAAAAAGAGGAAAAAATATGGCGTTAATTACTTTGAAAATTTGAAGAAATCAAAATCACCATTTGTATTTTAAAAATCTTCATTTTAAAAAGAAGTAAGTTCCAAAATGCAATGGGAACTTACAATACGAATGGAATGACTTTTTTTACTTACAAAAACTAGACGAGGTGAAAATACGATAATACATGTAATTTCATTTTTAAAGGGATAATTTTGAGGGGAGATAAACACTTGGTGATAAACACTTAATAATTGACTAAAAATTGATGATCGTTTTTAAAAAGTTGGAAGAAATGTTAAAAATAAAATAAATTTCAAATCTCCACAAATGACAAATGCGTATCAAAATGAGGAAAAACTGTTCAAAAGTGGCTCACGTGTTGACACGGTGGACAAAACCACTCCCCTTCCGGAATAACCCACAACTGTGGTTTAAGACATGACGCATGCCAACCATGGTCACACTTGTCACAGAGCAAAATCCACTCGGGATGGTCGCCCTTGCCGCATTTTTTGCATCCCGTCTCCTCCTCTGCGGCAACTTCACCTACAAGAAAATATGGAAAATTAGCATAATTCTCGCCAAAATTTAACTATCTTTTACCTCTCTTGGCTGTCCTGGCGTGTCGATAGGGTCGCGCTTCGTCGTCCTCGCCAAGATCGCTCTCAGGACTAAACTCATGGTCACTACCATCGTCAAAGTGCAGATGGTCGGGATCATGGGGTTCTTCCACGTCATAGTGATACTCTTCCTCCTCCTCGACAGCTTCGTCATCATCCGAACTATCTGTCGCCCAGGGACGCCCTGGTTTTCCATTTTTGACCTTGACGCCCTGACCTCTTCTACCCCGTTTCCCCTTCTTCTTCCCCTTTTTACCTTTCCCTGGATGGATGGCGAAATCGTCAATGTCATCAGAGTGATCTCCTCCCGACGACGAGGAAGACTCGTCCCCCTCAGCGGGAAGGTATGTCGCCCCACCAGTGTCATCGACAGCCGAATTTTCAGCCGACTTTTTCTGCTGTTTTCGTAAAAGCGCGGCCGCTTTGAGCTGAGCGAGTTGTTCTTCTTCAATTTTGCGGCGTTCTTCTTCCTCTTTGAGGCGGATTTGTGCAATTCGTCGCGAAGCGCGGACAGGGCGCTCGTTGGATTCGTTGGTGCCACCATTGACTTCCAGAGCGTCGAGGGGAACGCCGAGTTGTTCGAGTTCACGATGTTTCCGGCCACGTGGAGTGGGTTGTTTTTTGGGTGGAGTCGAGGAAGAATTTTCCTCCGTTTCGGGTGCTTTTTTTGGTGTCACGGATTTCCGAACAGGGCGACCCCTACCGCGTTTCTTGACTGGGGAGACGGCGGGGTTGTTGGTGTCATCGTCGTCTTGTGGGGCCGTCGAGGTTTCGGCGACGTTTTCTTTCTGATTGTTTTCGTCAGGATCCGGAACGTTCCCGCCGAGGCAAGGAGCGCCTGAGCCGAGACCGGTCACTAGAAGGGCGGGTTCTTCAACGGCTTCGCCAACGATGGGATTTTCTGGTGGTGGGGGTGGTGAAACTTTGGGAAGTTTAGCGGGTTGAAGGTCTTGCGCGATGGTGGAGGAGGGAGAGGAGTCGTCAGCTGCCTTTCTCTTGTTATTCGATTGAGGACTTTTTGGAGGAGGGTCAACAGAGTGGTCTTCGTCATCATCAGAATCGGAGGATGCTCCATACGAGACGAGAGAGCCGAATGGATTAGGTTTGACCGGCGGAGGAGTAGATTTATTAGTGATATGATCAATTTCTTGAGAAGGTGGTGGCTGTTGAGGAACAACAACGAGAGGTTTGGCTTCTTCTTTTGGAGGAGGAGGAACATTTTCTTCCGATTGTGGGGTGGACTCTGCTACGGGTTGTGGGGTGGATTCTACTTCCGGTTGTGGGGTGGACTCTGCTATCGTTTGTGGGGTGGGCTCTGCTACCGGTTGTGGGGTGGACTCTGCTACCGGTTGTGGGGTGGACTCTGCTACCGGTTGTGGGGTGGACTCTACTACCGGTTGTGGGGTGGGCTCTACTACCAATTGTGGAGTGGACTCTACTTTCGGTTGTGACGTAGATTCCACTTCGGGAACACGAAGATGATCAATTTTTGACAGGTTTGTTTCCTCGGTTTTATCTTGGCTAGGTTTTTCATCTTCGCGAAGGACGACTTGGGAAGGAAGAGTTGATTCTGGGGGTTTATTTTCTAACTCTACGGTAGGAAGAACTTGTTCCTGTTCTTGAACTGGTAATGTTGGTGGTTCCTCTACTTTTACGTCCTTCTCGACGGGAGGAGGTTCAGATAATGACGCCGTTTCCGGTTTTATTTCTTCCAGGTTTTCTTCTGCAACTGATGGTAATACTGATTTTTCCTCAGTAACGGGGACTTCTTCAGGTATAGGGACGATGGAGGTGATGGTCACTCCTTCTCCCTCTTTGACTACTTCTGGTGTAATTGCTGCCTTCGTTTCGCCACAGATCCATGTCTCCTGTTTGACGCAGACTGGTTCCTCCACCTCTTTCGGCATCGTGATTTCCTCCACCTTCTCGACAACGGGGGGAACAGTTTCAACATTTTGTGGCACCGAATCTACTGTGCATTCTTCCGATGGAGGTGGTGGTAGTGGTGCAGAGTTGGGAATTGGTGGCGTTGTGACGGGGTCTTCTTTCTCAATGGCAAGATTCTTCTCCTCCTCAGCCAATGGGAGAGATAATTTCTCTCCGAAGTTATTGTCGTTACTGTTTCCCGTTTCATTTTCCTCGTCTTCTGTACATTTCACGTTTTCCTCTTCTCTCTTGTCCTCACTTATTATCTGTTCGGTGGACAGAACAGTGGTCGTCTCCATCTTTTCGTCGACATCTTGTTCGTCTTTAACGACGGGGGATTCAATTTTAGTGGCGACGATGTTACTTTTAACGGCGACGATGTCACTTTCATTTGTAATGGCGACGATGTCACTTTTAATGGCGACGATGTCACTTTCATTTTTAATGAGGACTTTGTCTGTTTCACTTTTAACGGCGACAACGACACTTTCTTTGAGTTGTTCTTTCTCCACCTCATTAATTACTTTGTTACTTATTTCTTGCCCTTCTTCTTGTCCCGCAGATTCAGATGTAATACTAATATTTACTTCACTCTTAGTGGCAATCACTTGTTCTCCCACTTCTACCACGTGACCATTTTCAGTTTTGGTTTCCACTAACTTTTTATTATTACTGTCGCGACTTGTTTCTTCTTCTTCCTCGTCGTCGTCATCTTCGTCATCATCGTCATCTTCTTCCTCCTCAAATTTGCCAGTGTCTAACAAAATTTCTTTGACGACTTCCTTCATTTCAAGAGAATTGGAGTCCTCGTCTTCATCCAGGCCGACGTCGCCACCACCTTCTCCGCTGCCTGCCGGTGGCCGCTTTTTTGCTACGTCGCCCAATTCTAATTTCGCGATCAGCTCGCAGAGACCTTTCCTCGTGCAGGCGACAACTTCCCAAGTTTCGTCGTCAACATCTTCCCGATACACGCGGAGGTTGGCGTCATTGTCGACTTGATACCAGTACAGTTGACCTTGGCAGTCTTGGCCTGAGTGGGAAATATCAAAAAGTTAGAGAAATTTCATAAACGTAGATAAGCCTTTAACATGTTTCATTACTTTATGAGTTTACTAAGATTTTTTGAATATTAATCCATAATTGGGATTATTTCAAAATTAAAATTAAAATTCTGTAGCTCACCCGGTTTAAAAATTATTGAAGATCAAAGTTTAATTGAGATGGTATAAAATAAAATTGGGAAACTTTTAATTTTGAAATACTGCCAATATTTTTTTAACCAAAAAATCTGGACAATTGGACATGTATTTCGCAAGATTTTTGGACCGATTGCACAATTAATTATAGTCGTGGTTATCAATTGATAATGATTTCTTACCGAGTGGAACAAGCCGCAAATCGCCTGCCTCCAACTTATTCACTTCCGCTTTGAACTTGACATTGAAGTCGAACTGGGCTTCGAGGAGGTGCTTGAGCAGGCGGAGTTTTGTTTGCAATTTGGCATTTTTGTAACCAAAACGTTCAATTTCCCAGCCGTCTTGGGCGGAGTAAAAGTGGCAGAATTTCGCCACTGAGCGCTCCCACTTGTAAACAAATAAATTGATAAGTAAATTTTGCTTTAATTGAGAGAATAACAATTTCTAACCTTGTCGGCCGCGACGGATTTGAACACGCGGCGGAGAAGGACGATGTGTAGTTTTAGAAGTGTCTCGTGAACTGTGAAATAAAAATTTGTGAGTTTTGTTGAATTAATTATAAATGACTGGCAGGTAAAATCTCACAAAATGACACTCACCTAACGTCGTGCTTTCCAACATGGCCTGTAAATCGTCATACGGAACGACGTCGAGGCGTAAAAGAGGCCCAAATTTGTCCATGAAGGAACAAATCGTGGCAAAATGGGGGTCATCTAAGCACTCGGAGGACGACTCAGGCTCGTCATCGTCCCCTTCATCGCCATTATTTTCTTCATCATCACCATTTTGATGAGATGTGTCTCCTCCCACTTTGTCCAGCGGAGGAGGTCCCACCGGGGAAAGTATGGGAGCCTTGTCATCATCATTTTCTTCTACTTTTGTCAAACTTGCCGTCATCACTTCTGGGGGTTCGACACTTATCTCCATTTTATCTTCATCATCCGCCGTCGTCGCGGGGAGAGAGGAGGAAACCGACGACGACGTCTCCATCATTTATTGTCGTCGTGACTAATATTAATCTGCAAAAGTGGCAAGTACAAAGTTGAGAAAACTGTGAAGAGAGGGAAAAACAGTACGTTTATTTATTTCAATCCTTACCTTGACCTTATCTCGCCAATTTTTGCAACCACCCGGTGTGCACCATGTACCCTAACTTTTCTTGAATTGCTTAAACTTCATTTTTTGCAAACTTTTCTATGTTGTTATGATGTGATATGGTCGGTAGTTTGGATTTGTGTGTGTAGTTGGTTGGTGGCTGGAGCCGAGCGAAAAGCCCAGCAAAAATTACTCACTGCTAGGATACCGACCGAGAGACAGAGGGGCATCCAGACAGGATGTCAGATAAGCCAGGACGGAGATGATAAGGTAAGTCGGAGGAGGGGGTGTGGTCACGTAAAAAATTGAGTCACAGATAACACCGACGCGATTAATTGTGGTCAGTTAGCTTTATAGTTTGTTCGCATCCTGGCGGTAGTTTTATTTCAGGGGAGGAAACAGGGCAAAGTGAGAATGTGAGACTGTCAAATGCAAATTGAGATTACGAAGAGAAATGATAAGCTACTTACTTATCTTAATTTATTGATAAGCTAGTATTTTTATAAAAGGGATTTAATAAACTTTAAATAATGATTAATTACTGAATTGAAATAGTTAAATTAAGACGATTAATAAATAAAATCTCAAATTCCTCGGGAAAATAGAAATTGAGAATAAAAATGCGAGATTTTGGGTCTCAATTTGCCTCCAAATCGTGTCATTTTATTATCGTGTAAATTTTATAGGGTTACAATTTCTTGCTAAATTTATAAACGCGTCGTATCCGGTTGAAAATTAACAACATTTGATTATTCTGTAATTTCATCAATATTTAAATTGTGCAGTGAGGATATAATAGGAAAAGTGAAAGGATAAGGGCTCACTTTTAGTACTTTTAAGGGTGCAGATTAGGCCTTTTGTCGGACGGTTTTGACAAAAAATGCCTCTCTAAGTACTAAAAGTGAGCCCGTCCTTTCACTTTTCCTATAATTTGATCAAGTCAACCTGGAAATCTGTTTACACTTCTAGATAAAATTATCGTAAAAATTCATAATTGGCTTTAAGCTAAACGTTTGTATTTAATTAAATTGAAGTACTTTGTGAATTGAATTTACACATTTTGAAGTGGCGATTTGTTATAATAAAATTGCAAATTTATCGCAAATTTTAAATAAAAAGTGAGATTTTTGTCTCAATTTTCCTCCCTAATCTCATCTCTCATCATGTTTTTAGATGATTGCACATTATCAAATATCCTGGATTTTTATTTTTATTGGTATTTCATTAACTGCACATTTTTACGCACATTTTTACTAATAGTCCGATAACCCTCGTTATATCCATATGCTTATCATCACTTACTTTACTTATGTAAGCACACTCACCTTATCAACTTGAAATGATTACTACATAAATAAACTACTTTCGTCGAAACTAAAGTAAAATCAGTGATGAAATCCGTGTTAAAATATAGACATGTTGACATCATGATGATAACCACTCTTTAAAACAATGCAATTTTCCAAGGAATTTAACACGGCTAATTCTGTGCTTATCATCATCATCCTTCATTCCATTCCATGGGTTTAAAGTGGTAAGCACGAGATTCTCGTCACAAATTTACGTACCCATCTCGACCTGACCCACCTAAAAAACAGGGGAATTTTAGAAAACTCGAAAATTCGAAGGTAAAAATTTATAAAAATTCACGAATTAGCAAAATCGAAGAATTCATAAATTCATAAAAATCAGGAAATAATGGGTCGGCCCGTAATCGCGATTGTGGGGTCGTTTGGCTACGTGGGATCCTTTCTGACGCCGGCTTTCCTTGACGCCCTGATTTCCGGGAGGGTCAGAGAGGTCAGGATCCTGGCGTCGAGTAAGGCGGTGGTAGAAGGCGAGAAAGGCGTGGCCTTAAAAGATGTGGGTGCAACCGTGGTGGTGGTGAACTTTGCGAGGAAGGAAACCCTCGTGGCTGCCTTGAAAGGGGTGGATGTCGTCATTTGTGCGATGGGGACAGGACCTGGGAGCGTGGAAGCGAGGAGGCTGCTGCTTGAAGCGATGGTATCATAATTTACTTTTTAGTAGGAGGGATTTTTGGCTGGGAATTTTGGGAATTTTACGATGAATTTAAATTTTTAAGGTCATGACCGGCGTCGATGTCTACTTTCCGTCAGAATGGGGGACGAATCATTACGATACGAAAAGGTGAGTGAGGGCAAGACGCTAAATGCGTGTGCAATCGTCGGGTGCATTACTCAAATCTGTAATTTTGAGAAATTTCTGTTTTTGTTGGTATGTATGCACATAAATGTAGATGGGAATTGGATGAGTTTCATGAATTTACGCGATTTTCTGCTAAATAAATCTGTAATATGTTTGGCAGGATGGGAGGTCTTGACCACACCGTATTTGCTGAGAAGAAGGAGCACTGGGTTGAGGTTGGATTGAAGACGGGCTTAAAACGTGTTCGTTTTCACTGCGGGATGATTATGGAATCCACTTTTGGCACTTGGGCGGGCCTGGATTGCAAAAAAGGGGTGTGGCGAGTACCCGGAAATGGCGAGACACCAATCGCCTTCACAGCTGCAAAGTAATTAAATCACTGAGACAAATAAGACCAAAGGCATCGTGACCTAGAGAATCTAACATTTTACCCTCTGACTCCAAATTGACATTTATTTAATATTAAATTCGCACATTTTACAAGATTTTGTGTTGCAGGGACATTGGTCGTTTTGCTTTGGAGGCGGCTCTGCTGGCTTTCTCGGAGCCGAACAAGATTCCTGAGGCGTTGGAAGTTGTGGGGGACACGGCGTCGCTGAAGGACTGCGCCACCCTGATGGACGCCGTTTCCGGCAAGAAGACGAAGTTACACTTGCTCTCATTTCAGGACGCACTCACCAAGCAATCACAGTCAAAAGATTTCCTCGCAATATTCCCATTACTCTTTCAAGGTAGGCTTTTTTAACCCCAAGGTTTTTATGATTATAAACTGTGGAAAATTTTGAAAATTTTGCTATAACACGTGAATTTTATAAACGTGTAAATTTTGTGTAATATGCAAAGTTTGCAACCATTAATTTTATACTAAAATTTGTTAAACTACTATAGTTTGATACAAAAGTCTCGCCAAGTCAAACTTTTAATTTTCATCGAAGATTTTTTTGTCAAATAATTTTGTAAACTTTTCAAATTTTAAAAACTTGGTTTTTTTACGACATTTAGATATTTATCCAAACGTGATGTTCCATCTGGTTACATTTTAACAACGACAATTAACATGTAAATTCGTAATTGGCGTTAAACTTTGCAAACTTTTGCATTTCAACTTTCAACAAATTTAAAGAAATTTTTAGGAATTAAAAATAAATAAAAACTTTAAAATAGCATTTTTTGATTTACTTATAGCTGGGGCGCTGAACTTGAAAAGGGAGGAAGCCAATGGGAACGCAATCCTTAATCCGAACGAGGAAATTTGGCAGCTCGTCAAATTGACCGATTTCGCCCAACAAACCGGTGGCATTCCGTAAATGCAAAATTTACAAGAGTTATTAATTTGCCAAAAAATCAATTTCAGTTCCGCAATTTTACTCACCAAAATTCTCCAAAAATAAGTGAAACTAAATCTTGTATTATCCAAGATAAATTATAAGATTACAAGGTTATTCATTAATAAAAAAAATATAATAATTGTATAAATTCAGCACCAATTATGAAATTAATTAGAAATTATCAACATCTAATAAATACCAGATATGGTCTATCCACTTGACCAACTTGTAACATTGTGCAAAATTTCATGCAAAAAACTCAAAAACTCAAATTTTTTTCAGGTACTCATATAACTTCAATCTTTTATTCACAAACTGAAAAAGAAAATCATAACAAAATTTTGAAATTAAAAAAAAACAATTTTATCTTTATTCCAACAAAGCTTTACACACTTTCTTTGTTCCGAAACACGTGACCCTTCAAACCCCTCCCCCTCCTACCTCGGCCCACTTCCGCTTTCATTTCCGCACATTTCCACCCACACAACCAAACATTCTTATTTATTATTATAGGAATACATCGAGTAAAAAAGTGAGGTCGGTCTGGCCGCTGGGATTTTAAATTGGAAATTTTTCTGCAGCATTTTGCTCACCGGGGGTGGCGGGGGTGGTTGGTAGGGTCAGATGGTAGGCAGATGGTCGAAAGACGATCTCAACATACCCCCACCATTTCCATTGTTATTATACTTATTATTCGCCATAGTTGTCGCCGTGGCGGTGGACATTTCCGGCGGCGTGGCTCCTCCCCCTCCTCCGCCCGTCGGCAGGGAGGGAAAGAGACTCGAACTGGTCGCCGTGGAGCGCCTGATGCGCTCAAAGTCTTCCATGTCGGAGGTCGGGAGGCGGAAAGAGAAGCCGGCGAAATATGCGTGGCGTAAGAGTTGGTCGCAAGTTTGTCGTTTGGCGGGATCCTTGTCGAGACAGCGGGTGAGGAAGTCGAGCTGGTCCTTAAACGTGGCGGCGCTGGAGGACGTCGGGGAGGAGGATTTGGGGAGCAGTTTGGCCTCCAAGGGTTCCCGAGTGTCCGGCATGGGGAGCGTGACGCCGGCGAAGAACTCGTTCGTGCGGAATATCTGCATGTGGCGGTGGATCAAGTCGCCAACGGTGCGGCGGATGACTGAAATTAGATGGAGAGAGATTAAAGGGGGAATAAATTGAGGGGGAAGTTAGTGGTGCTTACGATAGAGCTGGTCCACGTCGGATTTTCCAGGCCAGAGGGCCTCGCCTTTTATCAGCTCGGCGAATACGCACCCTGTAAGAAAGAGATCATTAAAGAGATGTCAACGTGTCAATTTCACATGACTCAAACTGTCACATTCATGACGATTCATGCAAATTCGAATACAATCTCATTCGCAAAAATCCTATTGTACTTTCATCCTGGAATTTTTTGCGATAAATTGCAAGATAGGTAATCTAATCTCAAATAGACCGAAATTTCATAACAAAGGTCACGTCAAGTGAGACCAAGTCCACCTCGTATCAAATTGCCTCAAACTACAGCATTCCTGCCGAATCATGTAAAATATTGTGCAATAAAATGTATGCACAAGCTTTGCATAATTCGACTGAATTCGCCACACCCAAAAAGAGAAGCCGTCCGCCACGTGTTTCATGCCTATTTTGTCTCCTCACTGACTCGTGCAAATACAAAATCCATTATTTTTTCGTGTACGAAACACTTCTTTCTAGTGAATCCATTAACAATTCATGAGTCTTGACGTGACGGAACGGAAATCCTGATAAAATCAACCGCTTCACAAAACCCACTCGAAAATCCGATGTCAGTCAGTCACTCGGCTTTCACTACACACGATTATATCGATTAATGGGATGGAGGGAAAAATTCCGATACTTACATATGTACGTACCCATCAACCATTTTGGCATAATAATCAATTTGCAAAAAACTTATTTGCACAATGAAAAATGAGAGAGTCACTCAAAGACAAAAAAGTTTACTGAATTGGCTAAAAGACGGGGGCGAAAAATGTTGCGTGACTTTATCTGAGGGATGATCGTGAGGACATGTCACGTGAAAAAAGAGATAACAAAATGACAGGGACAAATATAGCTGCAAATTTTGTAAACAAAAATAAGTATTCTTTTCGGAACCTCTTCCAATTAAAATAATTGTTTTTTTTAAATTTCATAACCTTTTTCGGGAAATTTGATATGAAAAATTCGTATGAAAATTTCCATGAAATTTTTGAATATGGAAAAGATGACAAACAAGTCTTAATTTTTGGAGGAGTAAAAAGTCATTAAGAAAATATTTGAAGTACAATTAAACAAATACTTAAGTAGGTGTCGGTCTTGACTGGGTTTAAATAGTTCATTAAATCTTGCATGCGTATTATTGCTGGGAAAAAAGTCGTCTGCTTTCACCTCTGCTAAAAATAATTGTATCCAAATGTGGCTATTTTTTAACTACGAATTTCACAAATTTTTAAAGGAGGTTTTTATACGAAAAATTCATAAAAATTTCAATAAAATGGGTGCAATACTTTATGCAAAAGATGACAAACAAGTCAAACCTTGTAATTCTTGTTGAGTAAAAAGTCAATAAGTAAAAATTTCTGTTTCGAATTAAATAATACAAGTCAATAGGTCCGTTTGTCGCGTCAAAAAAATAAAAACTTGTTTATTATGTCATTATGAAACTAATTTTATGTATGTGTTTTTCCAATTTTTTGCACTCATACTATGCAAAGAATTCATTAAATCCTCTTGGACGTACATTGTTCCTGGGAAGAAAGTCGTGTTTTCTTTTTTAATTTCACAAATTTTTACAGTGAATCCTGACATGACAAATTGTCAATTTTGAAAATTTGAATGGAATATATGCAATATTTTTATGGAAAAAATAATAAACAAGTCAAACATGTAATTTTTGGAGGTGTAAAAAGTCAATACGAAATTATTTTAAGTTTACAACTGGATAAATTCATTTTAATAGGTTTGGGTATTGTCAAATGGAAAAATGTGTAAAAAAAACTGAAAAGTAGTTTATCAAGTTATTACTTGAAACTGATTGTTATACATTTTTTATACATTTTTTGTACACTTTGTAATAACTTGACAAGCCACTTTTCATTTTTTTGCACACTTTGCAAATCCACAATAACCAAAACTATTAATCTATCTATCTACTAGTACTTGTTATCTTGAACATTTTCTCATTGGCTTTTTACTCCACCAAAAATTAAAATGTTTAAAGTGTTTGTCATTTTTTCCATAAAAATAGATATTGTACAAATTTCGTGGAAATCTCACACGAATTTTTCATATCATAAAAATTATAAAATGAAATTAAAAAAAACTTATCCAACTAATTTTTCCACGTGGGTATTTTTAACTTCTAGTTTCACAAATTTTAAAAAGAATTTTGACACAAAAATTTGATATGAAAATTTGCATGCAATGTCTGCAATATTTTTATATAAAACACAGAAACGGCTTATTCGCTGCCAATTGACAATTATGGTAAATTAGTTTTCGCATGTATTCCGTACAAAAAAAGAAGATAAATCATACACGTGCATTGTCTTTTATTGACAAAAAGTCTCTTTGTTTTCATCTCTGCTAAAAATAATTGTGTGCAAATTGGGTCTCCATCCATCCATCCACACATCCAACTTTCCCCACTTTCTCCACCACCACGACAACCATAATTTATCCAGAATTTGCTCTCCGTCAGCATTAAGAAGTAAGGTGACTCGTCCTTTTATCGACAAAATCATCACCATCCAACCCGCACTGACTTTCTCTCAATGCAAAATTGGGAAAAAGCTGCGGATCGATTATTTTTCGTTGACAAATTGACGACAAGAAGACAACGAAATTATCATCTGTCGACGATTTCACGACATGATAAAAGCTAAATGTCATGAGAGGAATAAATCGATGTGCGAAATAAATTGGCATGTTTTTTGCACTGCAAATAATAGGGTGGCAAAATTGCCAGGGAGCGATACACTCCTACGTATACTTACCACGATGAGGACGTTTTGCCAAATTGTGATCATAATGTCAAGAAAATTTAAATATGTATGAGAAACTTTGCCAGAAAATTGCCAGAAAAAAATTGGAATTTCATATCCACTTCTGTCCACGTATTATTTAATGAGATTGTAGACATATCTAATTACAGTAAATATCGATACGAAATAAATTGGCAAGTTTTTGCACTGCAAATACTAATCTAGTGAGCTATAAATATATGAAAATTAAAAATTTATGAGAAATTTATGCCAGAAAATTACATTTCATACCCAAATCTACCCCCATATTATTTAACGTGTATGCAGAATTTAATGGAGTGAATAAATCGATATTCTAGGAAATTTGTCAACTTTACTACTCATCGTCGGGTCGTGATCGCATGTTAATTTCACTTTGGCGTGGTGTATAGTGACGTTGATGGTGGTTTTGTCACGCGAATGGTGGCAAGGATTTCAAGTTTTTTTACCCACTTTTTGTTGGTGTCAAAGGTCACATTTTTCATGCTAGGTTGCCATTTTTCATGTGGATTATATGCATAAATATGGACTCACCGACAGCCCAGACGTCGACCGGAGTGCCGTACGAGGTGTCGCCAACGAGCAGTTCTGGGGCGCGGTACCACCGCGTGGCGACATAATCGGTATAATTCTCCCCAGGACTCATGAGACGGGCGAAACCAAAATCGCTGGAAAAAAAACATGGATAAAAATTAGTAACGCCATTTTTATTACCAACCGGTAACAATTTTACTACCGGACTTACCACAATTTGACAACGCCATCCTTCGTGAGAAGAATATTTTCCGGTTTGACGTCTCTGTGTATCGTATTTTTATGATGGACGTACGCCAAGGCTTGTAACGTTTGCCAAATAATTTTCTTAATGCCAGGTTCAGGAACGCCACGTGGGTATTTTTCCAGCTCGTTGAGCACGGTGTGGTCGCAGTATTCGAAAACGAGGTGCAGCCTCTTTTTCCGGCGAAAAACTTCGATCAGATTTATGAGGTTGGGGTGCTTCAGATTTTTTAGCATGCGGATTTCACGCATCGCAATTTTCCTGATGAGGGGATCCTCCTCGGATTCGACGAACTTCTTGATGGCGACTAAACTTCCGGTTTCGCGATTGCGACACTTGAACACCACCCCGTACGAGCCCTCCCCTATTGAATAAGACTTATTCATTAAATACGGCTAAAACGAGGCTCATTTACATGTTAAATTAATTAATCTTGAATAAATTAGTATTGGTTAACGTAAATTAATGATAAGTTAATGATTATTACCTATTTTTGCGAGGCGCTCGTACCGCTCCATCGTTTTGGAGGAGCCTCGGCTGAAAAGTGAAAATATGTAAAGTTTGATTCTTTAAAAGGTTGAAAAATTGGGGAAAGTTTTTGCAATTTTTTTCGTGAATTTGTTAATTTTAGGAAAAAATGGCGAACTTTCACATAAAATAATTTCTAATTCTTTTTAGTGATCTTTGTTTTGAAGATGAAATACTAAAATTTCTAAAAATCTAGAGTGGAAAATGTGTATAGATTTTTTCATTTCTTAGGAAAACTTTCACCTAAAAAGTCAAAAGTAACGGATTCCGCTAATTGTTCTTTTCAGTAGAATATCTCTGGAAAAGTTAAAATTTGAAAATTGGAAGCGTCAGAAATTTTCTCAGAAAAGTTATTTTTGAGAAATTCAATTTATTTAGAGAACTTTCACTTCCTAATAAAAAAAATACTTTTTAACGATACAATTTGCACTGGAGGATGATTATAGAAGAGGTGAAACTTGTGTATTGGCCGTGCGAATAAATATTTTACAAAATTATGTCATGTGTCAAGTACCTTCCCACGTTACCGTTACTATTTAGGAACGTAATATTGAAGCCGTTAAATTGATCCTCCGTTAATAAAATTTTCCGAATTGCGAATATATTTTAAAATGTAGGTAGGTTTTGAGGGATGTATAGAGTAAAAAGTAAAAAAAAAAAAAGAATCCTATACGATATCAATTCTACCACGTTACAGATGAAAGTTGAAGTAATTTTTTTCAAAATCTTTCTAACTATTGTCTCTATTTTATTCCCTCAATAATTCCACCCTCACATTTTTCAGCCAATTTCTAAATATTATATATGCACCTTAGCTAACTATTTTCTTAATTGCCAAAAAAATTGCTTTCTCTTTGCCACAAATTATCTCCCACTCGTCGCAGGTTAAAGTAGAATAGTGAAATTTCTACCTAGACAAATTTCCTTCCCGACTTTCTCCTTGAGTCGAAATTAGTCTCAAGGTGGACAAAAAGAAAGTAGTCCACCAAACCAACCACAACCTGCAGAACCGACTAATTCAGTAATAATATAATACGCTACGTTGCTTAATTCCTTCCCCTGCCACCAGAATAAGAAGACACCAGCCGAACCATCCAAAGGTCTGGCAATATTGCCAATGTTACCCGGTTTTCCCCCACCCGAAAGCTTTCTTAACCCGACTTTCACCACGTAAACTAACGCCAGCGGAACAACGCCTGACAAAGAAGGCGAAGAATCGAGTCAAGTTTGCGTGTTACCTTAGTTTACTTTTTGGATATAAAATAATAACGCTAGGACTGCTGGACTGGAATATTGGAATATCGGATCGATAAGCTGCCTGCTTCGTTGTTTGGTTGGTTCTTGGACTAACTGTACATTCCCAGCTAAAACTATTCAATCAATTTTTGCACAGTTTGAATTTATTATTCTGCAACTTGCGGTTCGTTTCGGGAATAAATGAAGGTCGCAAGTTTTGAATGGACTCCTGCATGTAGAACTACACGATAAATATCTGTCACGAAAAGCACGTCACAAAATATGAGCTATGTACAAAATGTGTACCTTTTGCCTAAAAATATGGTAAAAGGCGAGTAAAATTTCCTAAGCTAATAAAGCCCCCGATTATTTACTGAAGGGAATTGTATATGATGCCTTCCTTCCTTTTTTAATGGTATCTTTCTGCGGGGGAGGGTATAAAAATAACCAAAAAATGATGACGGTATGAATTTTCGGGAACTGAAAATCCCAGAGAAAGCGATTTTTTATATGTGTAGATTTTTATTCGAAGGGACGCTGTTCGCGTGTTTATTTTTTTGCGGGGGCAGCGGGGCTGGTCTCTTGTTTGGTGAGGCGTGCCCGCTATTATTATGTTTTGAGGGTGATCGTGGCGGTGGTTTTCCCCCCTTGACGAGGGCCCTCCAAGGTCTGTAGAATCTGTTAAATTGGATGTGAACCCTCCTCCGCCACCAATTCGCAGGGACGACTTCGCTTCGATAAGTGACTGCCAAGAGTTGGAGGTTATTTTCGTCTTGAACTACGACCCTAATCATGACCTCACTCGACCTACTGATGGGAAAGGAATTTTGTAGGGGCGATTTTAAAGAGATTTTTTTAGGATTTCTACTGGAATGAAATGTAATTGATTTTTTATATGGTGAAAGTCAAAAGAATTATTGTAATTGTATGATGGGGGTTTCGACTAGGTCAGGAATTTTGATATGAGAAAAACTTGAGATTTTTTAAAATTTTTTGGGAATTTTCGACTTTTCTAAGACTTTACAGCTTCGAGTTCAGAATAAAATTGAACATAAATGGCGAAAGTTAACTATTAGTGACTTTGTGCTTATCTAAAGCTAGTTGATTTTTTTGGGTGAAGGTTATATATATTTTAGACTAGGTTGGGAATTTTTGCACAAATTTGATACTCAACAGAGCCAAGGTTGAAACGGAATTGAATTTAAATTTTCAAAGTCAAACTTATTTTATCTCTAGTTGATTTATGGCTATATTTTATTACAGTTTTTGGAGGTTAATATTCAACTCGACTTATTTAGTTTATTTTACCTCAGAAAATAAAAGCAAATAAGGGGAAAGCAAGGGAAGGAATTTAATACAGTCATTTATTTATTTATGGACCCAGAAAATATGGGTAAATTGGATTTGTCGCGTTGCGAAATATGTGAGCAAATAAAGTTCCATATAATCCGATGGGAGGGATCTATTTAATCAGCAAATCCGCAATAAATTCAGCCATTTAAAGGCACCTTGCACAAAAGATGGGGTAAATTTTGACCCTAAATTTCCCTAACAAAAGGAATCCCACACTTTCTGCACGGACCTTTCCTTTCTCCTCATGGAGGAAAAGTATGGATTATTATTTTGCACAGTTTTCGAATTTAAAACGACATTTTGCGAAATAATAAAATATTTAAAGAGATACACATTTACAAACTTTCACCGAGACAAACTCGGGGAGAAAGTCGCATAATTTGGAAAAGGCGTGCATTCATAATAAGAATTATTATGCACATTATTTATTTAGCCTTGGGTTTGACACGGTTTATGTAAATTTCGGGATAAAATATTTAATTATTTGCGGTTTAGATTTAATGAGACGACATAACTTAAAATTGCAACGGCTCATTATGTAGATAACATTTGCGTGGAGTTTAATGCTCTTTGTCCACCAATAATTATTATCGCAAGTAATTAACCCTAATTTCTGGGGGTGAAGGATAGATATACATAATTAATTCTAGGTCAAATTAGGTGACCTCAGACGGTCAAAAAAATCCCGGATTTTTACGTGCAAAATGCAGATTTTTGCAAAATGTATATTTTTATCAAATGCATGATTTGCATAATTTTTATATGCAAATGAACCTACGTACCTTTGCAACGAGAAGAGCGTCTCCTCCTTAAAAATTCTCACGGATTGGTGTAATTCTAACCGGAGGATTTTAAAACTGATCCCACCCACGGTGGACATGGCGAAAAAAAAGTGTCAAACTTTTCATGAGGGCGATACTTTAAGAAATTCGGAAACTATATAAATTTCTGAATTTTTTTAACGTATCGTCCCACTTGACACTTGAGTTAGACTAACCTCATGCCGTACTTGAAATGAAATAAAGATAGAAATTCCTAGTAAAATATTGCCCACCTGACAATTTTGTTAGTCAGGAAAACTATGATCGATTGCTTTCACTCACGGGTACGTTTTACGTGGTCTGTCGCCTGAGTTATTAATCAGGTACAAAGTTTTACCTGCTGTATAGATTCGAGAACGATGGGACAATGAAATGAAAGGTATGTATGCCGCAGCAAATTATGTATGCATACGACTACGGCCAAAAATATTATTGTTTTCCCGACATAATTGCCCACGCGAGCGAGGATAGGTACATACATACATTCGCAAAATTTTGCCCATAATCACGACCAATTATGGGTTTTGTCGGATTCATGAATAATAACTGGTGGTCGGGGGAATGGGGAAATTTGGGGGGGATATTGAATTACGAATGGTAAGAAGAAGCATGATGAAGGAGTGGGTGCAGAGAAATTACATGCTTAATTGGATTTATTGACAACTTTCGCGAACTTCATTATGCAAATTATGCCGAGAGTGTAGACAGGAAATACGAGAGATGAAGATTAATTAGGGTCTCGGTCATATTGTAAATTTTTGGCAATTTTAGGGGAAAATAATTTTGTACAGTTTTCTCAATAACCTGGGGACGATTCTTTTTCTTGTATGATTTGAACGACGACATACAGTATGTAACTAAATTGTAGATGCAACGACATATTTTTTATTTCGATATGATCCAACAATTTCTAAAATTCCGAACTTCGGGAACAAATGTCAAAAGTATCAACGGACAATTTCCGCGTCGTCGATTTTTAATGTCACACACAGGTCAAAGGTCAGCATTTTTTTAAAGATTCAAAATGAGAGGCCAAAAATAAAACTCTGTGGATAATTTTTTTCGACTTTCCAATATTTTTATTGGATGCGGCAAAGCCTCACGAAAAAAATGAGCTATCGTATGACCGTGTACGATTTTTTTGACGCCCACAGGAATTTTTCGCCCAGGACAGTTTGGAGGTCTAAAATCGTGACCGTGGCGAAATTCAAACAATTGAAATATACAAAGGCATGTATTCGATGTCATATATGGTTTTGTATATTTCAATTGTTTGAATTTCGCCACGGTCACGATTTTAGACCTCCAAACTGTCCTGGGCGAAAAATTCCTGTGGGCGTCAAAAAAATCGTACACGGTCATACGATAGCTCATTTTTTTCGTGAGGCTTTGCCGCATCCAATAAAAATATTGGAAAGTCGAAAAAAATTATCCACAGAGTTTTATTTTTGGCCTCTCATTTTGAATCTTTAAAAAAATGCTGACCTTTGACCTGTGTGTGACATTAAAAATCGACGACGCGGAAATTGTCCGTTGATACCTTTGACATTTGTTCCCGAAGTTCGGAATTTTAGAAATTGTGGGATCATATCGAAATAAAAAATATGTCGTTGCATCTACAATTTAGTTACATACTGTATGTATGTAAGATTAACTATATTCGAATTTAAATACTTTTTAGGTTCATGGTCGGGTTATTACAATTAAATTTTGAATTGTAAGTTTTAAGTTTAAACAAATTTTAAATTTTAAAAATAAAAATAAAATTGACATGATTTTTAGTGGTCTGATAAAGTCTCACCTTTTCCCAGACTTATCTAGGAACAAGCCGATAAGGAAGTTGACAGGGGTCGAAATTGTGACTGACTGCACCTTTACTACTTTCACTGGAAGAAGGCTCACCAAATATTGGCTTGTTTTGCACTCAATTGTAAAGATGGAAAATTGTACATAGTATTTTTCATTAAGTTTTGGTAAAAAATGGTTACACGTTATTTTGGTGATTTTTTTTTATTTTTCACAATTTGTTCAATTTGAAAAGCCGAAAATTAGAGAACATTCTTTTGGTGTGAAAACTTTAATTTTGATCCTTTCATGAAAAATGGAACAATTTTGTATCTCCTTTTTATCAATTTGGTTGTAATTTTGGTATAAAATTGGAGAAAGTCGGTGTACTTCGATGTTGTCACCAGGTTTAATCAAATTTGAGACGGGTTTCTTCTCATGAGTGTAGATATTTAGCGACTGGTTGATTCAGTGTAAATGGAAATTATTCGCACGACGGGGAGAGAAATTGCATGCATGCCCATTCCATACTCATGTAAATGTACATGGAAAATGGTGTACCTGCACGATTGACGGTGCATCTATGTATATTAAGCTATGTATATGTACATACATATGTACATAATGGCGTCAATGTTACGACGGGGTGGTCATTATGGGAATAATAATGCATATAATAGTACCCACTTACTAACTGGCACTATGTACACTCGTATAATAAAATAAAGTGTATGATTACAACGCATGTAACCAGAGAGTGAAATTTTTTATGCTAAAATGATTATGTATTAGAGTTGAAAGTCTGTTAAAATTGACATTCATTCGACTTTCGAGAGGTCACAAATGTCGAAATTTGTGACCTTTCTCCTCGTTCACGTGGGGGTATCGCTGGTCAAAATAAACTATCCAGTTGAACACCTCTTTAAAAAAGTATAGCTTTTAGTCGTGGTTTTATTTTAATCTAAGAAAATCATGACCTTTGACCTGGAACTGTGACCTACATCACACTTTTTCTTATTATACCTGTCCCTAAATTAGCTAGGTTTCAAGTCTGTTTGTCCGACAGACGGACTGACATAACAGATCTTATAAAAGGGTTTTAAACCACTCTGACAGTGGTTTTACTGTGAGGACAGTGCTGCTGCTGCTAAATGCCACATGGACAAGGTTTTCCTGCATGTGAAAGGATTATTAGTGGAGAAAGTTAGTTTTTCTCCGTAATTCCCCATTGTATGCATACATAGCATATAGTTAGTTACATTTACAGCGGGGAAAAAGTTCACGTTAAGTTGGATAAAAATTACCTGTCCGATAAACTTTGTAAAATTTAGGGAATAAGGCGTTGAAAAGTTTGTCAATTTGGTAAGAAATGAATTTATTATTCAGGGAAATTTTTATGTATGTAAGCATATTTTTGGGAAATGTTATACGAGATGTTATAAGTAAGTAAATGTAGTTACTTAATTTAAGTTCAGGCACAAGAATTATTTTGCGAATCTCACAAATTGAGTGGACAGTGAAGTGGAAAAATAAAATACTTAATAAATAAGCTTGAAAGCTTTTTATTTTGCAAATTTTGCTAAATATGTATAAGACGGCATTACATGTATTTTGTTAGTTAAATTGGGAAACAGGAAGACAGGTACTTAAGTTTGTGGTTGTATTTTTGGCATGGATGACTTTCTCCACATTTTGGTGGTGAGTGAATGTAATTTGTGGTGTTGTGTTTTCCCGAGACTTTCTCCTGGCAACGTGCTCCCATCCATTTTATGGGAGATGGAAAGATTGTACGCTGTGACAGGATTTATTGTAGCTTTTGTTAGAGTAGGATTATTAGTATTTTACTGCCAACCATGGCCCAATTATATGTCAAGGAATGGAGTGGCTGATTTTTTGCATGTATATTTTGCATACATTTTTGCATACGTATTTATTTATGCATATAATTCCTCCTCCATGTTCACTCTAAAAACTTAAGTGTTCCCGTGTCGGGAGCGATTTATTTTACAAAATATGGTAAATTTCCGAAAGTATGTGAAATCTTCAGAAATTTATTCCAGAAACTTGAGTTTCCGACGCAATTTTTGTCCCCTAGGTCGATAAGGAATGAATCGTTACCAAGCCGGTAGTGATCATGATTTTTTTAGTGTCGGGTTTTTTACTGTCGATACATATTTTATTGCCGTTTGTTGTTTGTGTAGTAAAATTCGGAAAGAGAAGTAAATCGAGGTTTTCGTTAATAGCCGGAAAAGAAAGTGTAGCTTTCACTTTTTGTGCCAAATTTTTCCCTGTAAAATTGCACGTTACGATTTTACTTTCTCTTTTATCGCGAAACTGACTTCCTCTCAGTGAAAGCTGCTATTATTTCCTGGATAGATTTCGTATAATAAAATGCCCTGATTTACATCGTGCAACGACCTCGTCACTCATTGACTCGATAAGTTCCAAGAATGGAAAAGTATCCAAGATAAGAAAATGTGCGAAGTTTTGTAGAATGATAAGAATCTGAACGCAGCAAATATTGAGGGAAACGAATAAAAATAAAAATTGCAAGAGAATTGTAAGAGTTCGACAACAAACACGGTTTTTTCAGAACTTGCGTTAATATTAATTGACATAGATTTCGTTTGTGTATTGTACTCAATTTTGAATTATGAATGTAATTAAAAATATGATAAATTTTCTGATTTTGTGACAATGCATAATTCTCGGGAAATTATAATTTTTATACAAAATTCTAAAATTGCAGAATAATCAATTACATACGATCTCATAGCATACATAATTAATTGTAAGAGTTGGATAGGCAATTTAAAAAAACAGAATTTTGAGTTTTATCCACTCCTTACGTTTCCAAAAAACATAAGTAATAAATATGCCAAAAATTCTGTGAAACTGAAGCCCAGAAACTTTACAAATTTTACCATGTAAAAAAATCCATCTCCTTTTAGCAATCACTTCATTCATATTTTTATTACGAACAAATACGGAATTTTGAGCATTGTTGACACATGTGAGTAATAAATATGCCATAATTGAAACCACGAAACTGAATCCTACCATCACAAATCAGAAACTTTAGAAATTTGACCACACAAAAAAATCCATCCGAGGATGACACATCACCCAAAAATGTTCCCCTTGCTAACTTGCATCCAAGGTTTCTAGTCGCATTTACAAATACACACATAACTCTTCATCTTTTAACGACTCTTCAGCCCAAAATGTATGACGTCAGTGGGTCTTGTAAAAATGACACACGGTTTGACTTGTGCATAAGCCATGCAAAACTTGGCAGATAAAAATATTGGCAAAAGTTCAGATTTCCGAAGAGCTACATAGTCGGTCTGCAAATAATAAATGCATGAATTCCGCTTCGAAAATCGACACTGTTTTGCATGGAAAGAAAAGATGACGCAAAGTGGAATGGATTTAAGAACAACAACAAAACCACAACAACTTATACACCGTTTAAGAACACAATAGACTCTGTTTTTATTACGGTTTCGGCTCAATTTCTCAATTTCACAGGACCAATTAGCGACAATATTTAAGAAGATGAATGAAATACATGTGTACAGTCACGTTACGTATAATTTCAAAAAATTGCACGTTTTTACATATCCCTAGCAAGTTTTCTCCGGAAGGGAATTTTTGACATTGACGTGACTTTGACCTTAATTTACTTATTTATTTACATCGTGACCCAGATATGTAGATACGCGAGGCACGAATTATGTAAGTTCTTGGCTGGATTTGTATTTTATGGGTGGAAGGAACACGTAAGGTATTTATTTATGTAAGAGCAGTTAAATGTAGCAATTAAATAATACATAATTATTTTAGTAAGCGATTCTGTACAGATTGGATGACCTTGACCTACTGAACGTTAATGAGAAAAGGGGACCCTTGGATGTGAGTGTCCCCAAATTTGATATGGAGTCGGTATGCTCCCGACTTCTGGGGCTTGTATTGGACGTGGATCTTTAAAATTGGGGGTTAAATAATTATTAAATTGAACTTTAATTAATTCATTTGCGCTATGTTGTAGTTTAACTATGGCGCAAGTAGCCATGCTTAAATTACAACGTGGCGCAAGTTAGGAGCGAAAAATGCAGCCAAAATATTTACCGTTCCGTCTAAATTTTCTTTAAATCCGACATCCGCTCGGCCCGGTCTGTTTTGATTAAAATTAAAATCGTGGGGTAAATTTTTATTATGGGTAAATTTAGAGTTAAACTTACCCTTCCATGTACGCATTCAACCCTCCCGTGACCCCTGACCCACGTGTATCCATGAGGAACTGGTTCGTGATGAAACTTTTCCCAGAAGTGATGGCAGGTCCGGAAACCTAAAAAATTGGTCATAAAAGTACACCCAGAATTTAATTGAATCGCAAAATTGACCCTACTTTAACTCCAGTGAAGACGGCGGAAGCATGTTCGGCATGTTGGGACGTGTCACCCACGACATTTAAGGCAAACGGCGATCCGGGGATGTCACGACCAAAAAATTTGATATGAATTCGATACGGTCCTGGGAAAATTGGTGTATACGTCGCCGCAACTACGCCACCTTGTAAATGCTGGAATTGAAAGTCGGGACGGGATGGACCTATAAAAGTGTGCAAAAAATAATTAGCATAATTTTTGCAATATTTATCAAGGTAAAAATACCTTCCACGCCAAAAGTGATTCCCGACATGTCTTGACCGTTCGGATTGATATGAAAAGTGGCTGGAAGACCCGCCTGCGCCACGTTGAGACCATCGCCCCAGGCTTGGACGTAATTTGCGGACGCCATTGTGGCGAATTTTATGCTATTCGCAAAAAAAGCGACACCACTAAATTGAAAAAGAAGAAGGTAAAATGAGAAAAAAACTGGTCAGAATTTTGTGTGGAGGAGATGCTGTTGCAGAAGCTAAAAAACAACTGTTTGAGATATGGATGAGATTTTTGCATCTATTTTTAAGAGGACCTTGTTTTAGATGTGATGTGATCGTGGTGGGGGCCGGGCAGGAGGCATGTCATTTATTTTGGAGGGGTCAACCTTAATTTTGAGGTCAAAAATGGTCAATTTTTTAGACAAAAATTAGCCCCATCCTTTACGCATGTCCCCTTAAATTGACTCGACGGGGGGGATGCTGCTATACGTTCCGAACCGTGTGTGTTATCTTCTTGGCTGCTGGCTTTGCTGGGGGCAGAAATATTGTGGATTGGATGATGCGGGTGTGCGCATATTTTTGTATTATTGCGTAATACGTGCTCGTGATTATGGATGGAGATCAACATGAGGAGCGTAAACTTGAGTGGGTGTACGAGAGAGAGGGAGCTTCCGAACGTGACTTGTAAGCAGTAAGCATAGATAAGTATGTAAGTGAAGGAGGGGAAACTTGCCAAAAATGCAGACTAAATCTTTTACTCATTTCCGTATTTTTTTGGGATAAAGATTTCCATTATTTTGTGATTATGTATCAAACGAACCTGATGAAATGGAACATGATAACATCTTACTTACTGAATCATATCAAAAATATGAAAAAATTTCCGAAAATTTTTGGAATTATTTTTTAAGTAAAAAGACATATCCGACTTGTTCTGTATTTAATTTAAAAAATTGAACATTCTAAAAATTGAGAGACACTCTCAAATTACGAAATTACCATAAAATCTCACATTCTAAAACTTGAGACAGAATCGTAAACTGGAAAAGTGAGACGAAAAAATGCACGAGATTTTGTCTCATTTTACACACCGGCTGATTTCACAACTCCAACTTCAAATTCAACACCACCCGGAATACAGAAAAAAATGTGATTAAATTTCAATTAAAAAAGTTAACAATTTAAATATTTCTCAAAAATGAGGGTGCCATTCTTCCTGACTTCACTGTTCCTCCTCCCCTTCGTCATGAGGGGTGGTGGGGTGTCAGGAAATCAAGAAATCTTAGGCTGCGGAGGTTTCGTGAGGTCGCAGCATAAACTGGATTTCGACCAGATCGAGATTAAATTGTGAGTGAGGGCGTGGTTTTCTAATTTGCGTTATCTTCACATTTATGATAACCTTGCTAATTAATTTGCCCAATTAATTTCAGATTCAGTAAAGGAGGTTCGCTCAAGGTGAAAACGGAATGCGCCCCGACGACAGGATATTATTTTATTCCGTTAGAAGCGAAAGGCGATTATGTGCTCAAAGTGGGTTGAAATTTATTACTTATCAATCAATTTGTTAACCTTCTTAATGATGAACTATGACCTCAGATTTATCCCCCTGATGGATGGACTTTTTCTCCGTCAGAAGTTGCCATTCCATTCGACGCCGCTACAGACGACTGCTCGCTCGGGAAAGATATCAACTTTGACTTTCAAGGGTTCGCCGTATCTGGTTTTGTGATTTCTTCAGGTTTTAAGGAGGGCCCTTCCGGCGTTGAGGTTACGTTGGTGTCGGACGATAAGACGGTGGCCTTATCGAGTGTGACGGGAGTGAAGGGTGCATTTCAGTTTGATTCCATCCCACCAGGAAAGTATTCGCTGAAGGGGGCGCATCCCAGTCTTAAATTTGTCAAAGCGGCGCACTCGTTCACCATTTCGAATAAGAATGTCGTACTGGACAAAGAGGTGGGTCGAATAATTTGCAAAAATTATTAATTTTTGTTCAAGAATTTGGTTATTTTATACGGAAATAATCAGAAATTTAACTCAAGACTTAAAATTACTTTTTCAACTAGCTCGTCGTTTCCGGTTACGAACTCAGCGGTGTGGTCGCCAGCGATGGGAACCCGGTGGAAAAAGTGACCCTTGTTCTTGTCACGTCTGACCCGGCCGTGCTCCCTCCCACAGTTTGCACTGGCAGTGGGACAGAAGGGATTTCTCTCCCGGGCAGTGTCAAAGGTCGCATCCTGTGTGTCGAGACGTCCAACGCTAAGGGCTCCTTCACCTTTGGGGGATTAAGTCCTGGGAAATATCTCGTTGTTCCGGTGTACAAGTAAGGCTGGGAAAATACTGTTTGTATTAAAAGATACCCGGGTATTTTAATGCCAGATTTGTTTTTTTAGAGGGGCGAATATCGTCTACAACGTGTCCCCTGATCGTCAAGAGGTCACCCTTGATCACGCTTCCGCCAAATTGTCAAAGACATTTGAAGTTGAAGGGTTTACAGTTCAAGGGAGGGTTAAGGGTCACTCGGGCGCCAAGATTTTTGTCAACGGGGTCGAAAAAGCTGTATCCGGACATGATGGCACCTTTTCCATTGCGAATGTGAAACCGGGCAGTTATGAGTTTGAAGTTGTTGCTGGTAAGTGAGATTCAAAAGTGTGAAAAATTTTGTAGGAAAGCAATGTTTGCAAATATTTAGCAATATTTTTATTGAGCAAGCTTCAATATTATTGTGCCATTTTACTATATTCACTGCGTTCTTAAAATTCTTGAAATTTTGAACTCTAGATAAATTCCTGTTTGACAAGAAGCAAATTTCCATTCAACCCACATCCCCGGTAATTCCGGATTTTGTCCCGTCGAAATTCCAAACGTGTGGGACCATCGCGCTCAAATCAGCGACGACAGAAGTGACCTTGTCTTTTACCAAAGTGACCTCTTCTCCCTCAACGCCTGCCGTCACCATCAAGGAAAAAGTTGTTGACGCCGCGTTGGCCTGCGTCTATCTGCCGGAGGGAAGTTGGATCGTGAGCGTGACCTCAGCTGGTCCTCAGACGAAGTATTTCCTCCCAGAAAAGGTCACGTTGGCGGTTCCATCGGGAGCGCGGTTCTCTTTCGCTGAGTTCAGTGGGAGCATTTCCGGTTCGGTTGAGTGCAAGTTGTCCTCATGTGATGGGGTCGTGGTCAGGCTCGAGAATAAGGATGAAGGGAGCGGAGTTGTGGTGCAGGAACAAATTGTGACGAAAGGAGAGGGGAAATTCTCTTTTGGAGGGTTGCAGTCGGGGATTTATAGGGTCAAGGTGAGTAGGAATTTTTGAAAAATTGGTGAAAAATTTATGAAAACGGATTAGAAAAGTACATTTACGAAAACTTTTTATCCTATTTTTTCCAGGTTGACTCTGACCGCTACTGCTGGAAATCTCCCAGCCTGGATGACATCACTCTGAAAAATGTAAACATTGCTTCCCTTGCCTTCCACCAAACTGGAATTCCCCTCGAGATTGACTCAACCCACTCCACCAAGGTCAAAATCACCGGAAAAACGGCTGCTGCAACTCAAACTCTTAATCTTGAGGGAGGCAGTCGACCTACAAAAGTTTGTCTGACGGACGCCGCCTCGCCCCCAGATTCATATCGAGTCACGCCCGAAGGATGTCACACCTTCGAACGAGACGTCTACTCGTTTACACCTGGCGTAAAGTTGCAACTCGTCGCCAAAAAGCATGCCCACTCTTGGAAAATCACGGCACCCAAGAAAATTCTAGATTTGAAAGTCACCCGAAATTCAGAACTATCTGTGACCTTTGAGGAAGGGAAGAGCACTAATAATGATGTCAAGATTGTAGAGGAGGTCACTTCAGGTCAAGTCGTTTACACGGTCACAACCCAGGAGGAGCCTGGTCTTTCGGTGAAATGGGAAGTTTTCTCGTTCGGATTCATCTTCGAACCTGCCACGTTTCCTATTAGTACGCAGAGCGATTGTAAAGTGAATTTGGCTCAGGTTGTGGCGAAACAGAGTCACGTGATCAAGGGGAAGTTTACGCCACCGTTAGGTAATTTTTTTATAAATTTTGTTATTGCAAAATTTGTCCCTTTACCTTATTTGTTTCCCTAATTTGTAGAGGGAGTCGAAATCCGCATTGATCTCGTCGGCGACCCTGACGCAACCACTTTCGTGACCTCCTCCTCCTCTGGAGACTACATCGCTGGCCCCTTCGTTCACTCTTCCGGGTTCAAAGTGACCCCCACTCTGGCCGGCTATACGTTCAAACCCACCCCCTCCGACCCCCATTCCTTCCTCGTTTATCAGCTTGCCAAAATTGTTGTCATCGTGGAAAACGAGGCCGGCGTCGCGGTTCCCAACGTCCTCCTCTCGCTCTCCGGACCATCTTCCTACCGTCAAAATAAGATGACCGATGAGGCCGGGAAAATGACCTTTGGTGACCTCAATCCTGGTGGGTACTATTTGAAAGCGCTCCTCAAAGAGTTCCAATTCCTCCCGAGCGCGCTCAACATTGATCTCAAGGAGCAGGAAGGCAAGGAGATTAAGTTGTCAGCGGTACGCGAATCGTTTTCGTTGCACGGTCAACTAACTTCGTTAAGCGGTGAGTTGATGCCGCATCTCCTGGTGACGGCGAAAGGCATGGGTAATTGTAGCGAATATGGGGAAGAGGGTGTGTCCGATGAAGGCGGAAATTTTCGAATTTGGGCACTCAAATCCTATGTAAGTAACAAATTTTTTAAATGAAATTTTTGATTGTAAAAAATTAAAATGCGATTCTTTTGGTGTAGTGCACATATCAAGTAAGTGTGGCAAGGAAGGATGAATTCGCGTCAAAGGTGGAACGCACGATTCCGGAAAGTATGGAAATCAAGGTGAAAAAGAATAACTTATTTGAAGATATTTTAGAACTTGGGATATTAGAATTTTATAAATTTCGAAACCTTCCAGATTGGGGCATTCGACGTGCACAACACGACGTTCATCATCCTCACCCCCGTCCGTCGAATGGACGTGTCTCTCCGCGTTCATACCAACAATGAAAAGTCGCTCGACACGCTTAAAGCGTCCGTGTACTCGGTGTCCTCTCCAGACATGCCCATTCACACGACCCCCTTCGCCGGAACGTCCTACATCATCCTGCCCCCCATTCCGAAGGACGGGTCGGACTACGTCGTCACATTCGAGTCCACATTGAACAAGTTCCAATACACGTACACCCTTCCGCAAGACATCGCCTTCCCCGCGGACACGGCCTACGCCCACTTCGCGCTCAACTTTGACATCCATCCCGCTTCGGGAGATCAAGAAATTGGGAAAAATTCGTACATTGCGCTCGCCCTGATTATCTTCGTAGTTGGATTGATCGCCAATTTAGAGAGGATTGTGACCTGGGGAAGAGAAATGGCGGAATCCTATGGTATCCTGGGTGGGAGGAGGCTCAAAACGAAGACGAAATAAGGAGAGGAATTAATTAAAATGAAGGAGTTCGTGATGTTGTAATTTTTAAAATTGGGAAATGTAGAAATAGAAAAATTGTGAAGGGAAATCAGGCTAAAAATGTATCTTTATTTTGTACCAGTTTGCAAATAATTTTACACAAATTTATATACCGAGTGAATTTTCTAACTGCAAAATTATTTAGTAATTCACTGGAAAGTTTACAACTAAATTTAATAGACAAGTTTACAAAGATTACGAATGAAAACCAAGTTACTCTAGTCGATTGTAAACATTTCTGTATTTTGTACCAGGTCGCAAATAATTTTTGCATAAACATCCGAATTGAATTTTCTACTAATTTTGCATTCACTCGAAAGTTTGTGACGCAATAAAAATAAATTTACGAATAAAAGTTAGGTTACTTACAAGTCGCTTATAAAGTTACAACTAGAATAGAGAAATGTATGTATATAAGTCATAAATGTGGTGGTATGTAAAATTTATATAAAATGTGAACCTGCGCTGCTGATTATCAAATATAATAAACACAGATCGAGTAAAAAAAGGATGGATTTTCTGAATAAAAATTTCCAAATAATTTTAAACAGTTGTCTTGTACAATGAAAATCCTTATCATACATCCAGCCACAAATTTGCCCAGCTATGCACGACCAAAAATAGTACAATAAGAATTAATTTAATTACATTTCATTCAACCCGATCAGATAGGTTTAAAGATATTTATCGCGAAGACGGACATCACAGAGCTCCGGCTAGGGCTAAAAATTTGACTACAGCGATAATCTATATAACCACAAATTTCTAGTCAAGTTTACAGGATACCATCCGGGTCCATTCTGAAAAATAGCATAAAATTAAATTCTCCCAATTATTGACATTTAATCTATTTAATTTAAAAAATGACAGCAAAACTTACTCCCGAATCAAGTCCCAGATTTGTTTTTTAGCGTTTTCAAACTTGTAACGTCTCGCCAAATCGTACAAGTCTTTGGCGTTCTCTTTCGTGCAAACTTGTGCCAAATTCTCTTCACAGAATCGTTTTAGCAAAGGCAGTTCGTACCTGTCCGATGCCTTCACAACGTCTGATGGAAATTTCTTCCAAGCCTCTTGACTTTTCCCAGAAATTGGTAGATTCCCAGTGTAAATGTACTCCAAAACGGATAGCATTACACGATAGTCGATGTCATCAATTTCCACAACGTTGGACCCACTTTGTTTCATACTGGCTTCAAACATTGCTTTGAAAACGGGACTTCGAGCTATCGTAGAAAGAAACCAAATTCTTCAAAAAAATTATGCAGTAGATTTTTCAAACTTAAAATCACTTACTAATCAGAAAACATTTCTGGACGAGAATATACTTTCCGGAAATTCGCAAAACTGCGCTACCAGAATCTGCAAGTTCTGAGGCCGATGGGGAACTACTTCTTACTTTGACATTTTGTTCGAATAAAGTTTGCATAAATTTTCGAAAATCTTGGGTGCACTCGTGATTTAACGCTTCGTAAGAAGACAGTTGGCGAGAAGTGGTTGTTACTTGTAAATACTGGAACGTTATCTTGAGTGAGATAGTGATTGAGCTCGTTTTTCTAACCACGCTGGACTCAGGGGGCGCATTTCCGTTGGAGTGAGAATCATACAAAGTGTCGATCGACAGGAAGTTTTCCCATCCCATAAAACTGTTTACGTCGTGGGTCATATTTTTTATCAAAGGATCTAAAAATTGACAATTGTTGGATTTACATAAAAAAAAACTATAATCCACGTCGTACCTTTGTCCTTAATTATGGCGAAAGGATCGCCTTGTTTAACAGTCTTGGTAGTTAGTTTCGTATCTTTTAGCAATTCCATTTTGACCAGGACACCTCCGTCGAACCATTTTTTGCTGCCAACCTTTTCTTTACCATTTTCCTCTTGTTTTTCTAACAAGAGACTAAAATATTCCGGCCTCTGAACAGGGTGACTAGGCGTTTGGACACTGAAACAAAGTCGCCACGCTGTCCAGCCAATTCCATTTTCGGGTTCGATTTCAAATTCGAAGTTTGTGTAGCTTTTCTCAGCCATTGATCTAAACTCGGAAGAATCTTTAGCCAAATTGATCATGGTGGCGATATTTTCTATTTTCCAAGTGATATGCTCTTCCTTGGCAATTGGGACCTATGTGCACAATTTTTAGACATTTGTAGTGATTTAAGTTATGTTCAAGGTTTACTTACGGTCGAAGTGACCTCAGCCCCTCGATTGCTGGGCCCACTGCTTATATTAGCAGAGGTTTCTGACGTCTTGCTTTCAGATGATCCCATAATTTAGGAAATGGGGAGGAAATTTACGATTGATGTAGTAAAATAATCAAGTTATTTGTAATTACAAGGATGATTAAATTGCGTTGAATACAGAATAACAAGTGCATGCAGAGCTGTATGTAAACGTTTTGGTTTATTGACTACATAACTGATAAAGTGAGAGTTGGTATATACATTACATATGCATGTTTGCTCTCGATAATTAAATTAAGATAAGGGTATTGCACCAAATGTCGAGAATTTTAATTTGGATTATTGTGTGCGATAAGCAAAATAATTGTTGTGAGTCATAGAGGACTAATTAACACGCACATTTGTAAAAGTATTTAATAGGAATTAGACAGCCTGGTTTGAATCCGTGTCCTATAAATTACATGATGTACACTTGTAACTTACAAGTTGTAAGTGATCAACCAAGAAAGCTTAATTTACTTAAATACTACGGATAATTTTCTATATTTAAATGTTGCTTAATAATAATAGTACATTTTTATTTATTTGTACAAAAATATAAAATAACATCAATTTGTAATAAGATAAAAACATGATAAAAACTGAGCAAAGTTAAAAGTAGATGAAATATTCGTGTATACATATATGTAACGACTTGTGATTATTAACTCTTGTTGATTCTTCTTCTACTTCTTGAAGACCCCAAACTTTAGAAGGACGACCCATATTTAGACGAGGGTGGTTGTGCATGTGCTGACGAACCGTCCCCTGACTGAGGAAGTTGTGTAGCTTCATATTCTTCTTGCTCCTGATTCTTGGAGCTGAAGTACATTTCCGGTTTGCCTGAGGAAAAAGACAAAGAGGAATAATTTTTAAGATTTAACCTCAATCTTGACTAAATAATGAACTCACTCGGCTTAGGATTAGTTTGTGGGGCAGGGTTAATCTTGACTTCCGGCTCCATAACCTTTGGCCCCAAACCACGTCCTCAAAGTAACAAAATTTACCTCTTCTTCCTGTGATCCCAATCCTCACTGGATTTTGTCTAATCTGCGTGATGGCAGGAACGTTTGGACACTATTCCAAACAAGCATTGAGAATGGTGAGTTACAGAGGTCAAGTAAGAAAAATTTTTGTTTCTCACCATCAGGAAAATTGCCACCGTCCTGCTGGCAAACAATTTGGTCACTCAGACCCTGGATTGGTACCCTCCATTTTTCCAGGGCTTTAGCCACAAAAATACGTTTTTTTTTAAAATCTCGAAAAGAATGTATTTTCGCAGTGATACAAAAGTTAATCTCTGAAAATGAGTATTTTGGACTGTTGTATTTTCCACGTAGATTCTCCGTCTTTAGCAGCTTTTGATAGTGGAGATGCCCGGAAGTGTGAGAACGCCGTCGATGAAGACACCCTTGTCCGTCCCGTCGGATAAGGAGAGGAAAAAGAGCTTCTCGGCGGAAACGGGGTGCCAAGCGCCATACGTGCAGGACGGGTTGGACTCATTCCGCGGTCCGTAGTAGTGACATCGTGCTGACTCTCGTACCGACGGGATGTACTCGTACACGTTCACCCGCTCGCATACTTGCAGGCTCAGCATGATCCCTGGAAAAGGTTATGAAGGTCAATTAAAAACGGAGGAAAATGTGAGCTATCACATGACTGAATTTTCGTAGGAATAATAAGATTTTTTGTTCTATTAAGTTGGTAATTTTGTGATTTCTGTTGCATTTGGGGTCAAATTGAGGTCATAACCTCCTTACCTATAAATCCGGAGGTGGGAGGATTCCCATAAATTTTTACGAACGAATATTCCTGTAAAATTTCCCAAAATTTCCAAATGAGTCTACAGTCGAGCAAGTAGAATCGATTTCTCTCTTCTTTCGTCAGGTTGAAGTACTTCTCAAAGAGAGGAAAATCTGGTTTCTTGACCCACTGAAAATCAGTTTATGTTAATTATTAATTTGACCCCAGTTGACTTTTGACCCATGTTTCACTCACGTCATCCAAAGAAGCCGAATACATGCAGGGATCCCAGACTAAAAATTTAGGAGTAGCTTCCCACACAGCGTCGACATCCATGGCGGCCAATTCTGCGCGGGTAGTGCGGTCATCGGAGGCTGTGCCTGATTTTGAAGTCGTATTGATAGGATGACCTTTGACCTTGTTTGTGGGGCTGTTTCTCTGCCTTCGGGGAAAGTGGAATTGTGGTTTTGTGACGACCTGGCTGTTCACGATGCGGAGAGAGGTCAAACTCCCCACGTCGGATTCGTACCCCGCCGTGGGTGCGTTGTTGAAGCGCATGATAAAGTCGTGAGAATCTGGGGGAAAGAATTAAGTATCTCAATTAATTCAATTAAGGATTTTAAAATAATTTTGGCAAATATAGGTATTTAAATTAAATTGTACATTGTGCAAAAAATCTGGGTTTGATTGCTTTGTGGGTGGAAAATTAAAAATTTTGTTAGGCCAAAATTTATTTTACTTCCTCAATTTTCGCAGTTTTTTGTAAAAAGAGGTTGTTGTACACAAAAAATATCTCTGCAAATATTTTTGCTAATAAATTTGACAAGAAATCAATGGTTTTCAAATTTTTCCAGTATTTTTTTTTGTAATAAATTAAGTTATCTTACCAATATCGATACCGTGTCTGGCACCATCGAACGCGGCCGAGTTAGGTATGACGGCACAAGTTTTATACAGCGGTTGTGGCTCTACCGATGCCGAGAATGTGTCGCCTTCACGATTTCCAAAGAGCGGCTCCGTCGGAAAAACCTTGTCCGCAAAGGCCCCCACCGAATTCTGCGCAATCAACTTAATCCCCGCTTTCTTCAAGCGACAAAGAACCGCTTTTGCAGTGACGCGTTGCGATTTGGGTTTCAATTTGGAAAAATCAACGCCATACTCGTTCAAGTGACCTGAATACATACAATTATCACCCTGGTCAAATTTATTCTAAAATACCCGGGTATTACGCACTCACCCTTAACTTTCGCTCCGTTTAAAATACTCCTTCTCAATTTTGAAATCGCCCTCATTTTGATAAGTTCCACCTTCCTTTCGAGATCCGGATCCCGCCCGACATCCTGATTCACTCTGAGTAAGCTTACCGGGAGTCCGGTCTGGTCATTGTCGGGGTCATTAGGGTCACTTCCACTTCGTGGCCTGTTCAGATTGTCGTAACTCTGGTCGCCCTCTCCGATGAGCGGGGGTCGTGGGAGGATGTATTTCGTCCGGCTGTACACTTGGGGGTTGCGGGTGATGGGGCTCATTTGAAAATAGTCCTTCGCTCCCGACCCGACCCCAGCGATGGAGACGTAGACCATGTAGCCCAAAATAAAACCAGCCGTGGCGAGGAGGAGGCAGATGAAAATGGGGAGGAGTCGCATCTTGCTGCCACTCCCACCAGAGTGGAACGAGGAAAAAGTGGGTGTCGAGGTGAGGGAGTCTTCACCCATGAAAAATTGGCAGACGGGAAGTAAGAAAATTACTTAGCAAGGAAATCAAGGCGTGACTGAGATTCAGGAAATTTTGATGAAAATTGGCGACGTATTGGAAAGATTGAGCTTTTAGGGGGGGAGTGAAAGTGGTGATTTTAATGTGTGGAAAGTAGGAGTGAAAGTCGTAAATGGCTTTAAACTTAATTGAAATTTAAGTTAAATTGGGTAAAAATTATCTAGTTATTTTTTAATGAGCGATCTGAATGATTTAATTTGATGAATTAAGTAGGAAGATGAGAATGGAAATGGAAACTTGGGAAAATTGGCTGAGTAGATTTTGAAATTATTTTTTAAGTTAAAATTTTGACTAGAAATTTATAGAGTGAAAGTCAGATTTTTTTTATTGAGCGGATCCCGATCTTAATAATGTAATTGGCTGGATAAGTAAGAAGATGAGCAAAGAATGGATATTGTAAAATTGGCGATAGATTTTAGATTTTGAAAAGATTTGGTCAAGAGAAAATTTTGAGTGAAATTTGAAAAGTGAAAGTTTTTGCATGAGTGAAAGATACGCAGTGCGATCGCGAATGGGAAGAAGGAGTGAAAGTGGACTCGTTTAAATAGGATGTGAAAAGTAGGTTGAAAGTCAGTTGTTGCTCTGGACCCGTTGGAAAGGAGCGGGTCGGAGAAAGTTGGGCGGAGGGAGGAGAGAAAGCGCTCCAATGGGTGATCACCTCGAGGAGAAAGTCCGTTCACCTTTCCCCAAAAAACAAGGCTGCACCCCATGAAATTAATTATTTCGCATCATATTTTCCATTTTGCAACAAATTCGCTTTCTGTCTAATCAATTAGGGAATTTTTCGCACTGATAAATAAAATTTTCGCAAAAATGCAATCATCATTTCGATACAGTTTTCCTCATATTTTCCATCAAAACAAACTCAATCTTTGTCAAAATTACTGATTTTGCAGGTGAAATGGGTGAAAATTTTGGCATATTTTCAATCGTCTCATCCCCAGTGCGTGTGCACTGGCTTGCAATTCATTCGTGATTTTGCCTCTCTCTTTGTCAAGCCGAAAATCACGACATGCTACTGCAGACTTTGTTACATAAGTCAGGATGAAATGCAAACCCGTGTAGCTTGTGACTGTAGACTGACGAGATGATGAGTATGATTTTACCTGTCTTTCTACCTACCTAAAAGAGAGAGATGCGAATTATTACATTGTCGTCGCAGTCGTCGTCGTCGTCGTCGTCGTAATTCCAAGTTTATTAAGAGTTTAACCTTGTTTCATGACATAATTGTTCTCACGCTGCTGCACAACTGCTGAATTTTCTCATTGTTCTGTCCTATTTTATTTGTATCTGTGTGCATACCTTCCGGCATAAGTAGTACACATAGTCAGCCTTCATTATGAAATTGAATGGGACGCAGTTACGCGTTCTTCTATCTGGGCACAAAAGTTAGTTATGTTTATAGTGACGCTATAAATTACTTCATCCCGAATAAAATTCTTGATCCGTGTCTCCTCCCAAAAATAAATTGAAATTATGACAAGAATTAAAAAAAATAAAATATGAAGCCAAATATTTTGGAAAAAGTGACAATTTTTTTGTACATCTGGGGAAATTTTTGGAGCAAAACGTATTTCTACAAAAAAGTGAAAGATGCAACGAAATTGGTTTCAATTTGTCCTCAAGAAATGAAACTATAATCAAATCACATTATCAATTTCTCACGGTAACATTAGCTTTGAGATTGTCTACAATTTAGATCATGATTCAGTAGCCATTGGCTAGTTATTTATACTTAAAGTTAATTATGGTTAGTTATTCAACTTGTGGCAGGGTATGGAGGAATGGATAGATCTCGTAGACGATATGACGACACCTCCTCGACTTTAATGCCATAATTAACTACATCACAATGTGCATGCTCCTACTTACATATTAATGAATGATAAATAATAAAAAGTGAATGTTTTTTTTGCAATGTATGAATATTCGCACATACAACGATGAACGTCGTGTGGGTGCATTATTATATGACGCTGAATTGTATGACACTGGTGGTGGCGTATGCGTGCATAAAGCATGTCATCAATTCCAGGGGGCATGAAATGCTATAATCTCCTTCATCATACTTCTGGCACAGATTTTTGAGGTAAAAAATTTCCCATTCTTTCTGCAGGGTCCCTTTTGCCCATGTCGTTTTCGTGGTGGGAATACATTATCCAGCCTCCTCTTAAATTGTTACGTTAATGAAAAGTCGGCAAAAAAATCTGCCATGCAAATAAATAGCACCTTCATCTCATCTCTCTGGTGGTACATATATCTCCCATATTCATTAATGGCATTAATAATTTCGTGTCGTTTTGCTATCTCTTCTTCTCCTCCACCTTAAGTCAATGATGAGTTTAACCAATTTTTTAGCAGGCAGCAGGTAGACACCACAGGTAGGTAGGCAGAGGAGAGGAAAGGTGGATATGTGAAATGTGCTGGATATTTAATGCCGTCGGTGGGTGACAAATACTTCATAATCGAATCTGGGGGACGCAAATCCGCGTCAAGTCCAGTCCTGTCTGAGTCGTGGTGGTGGAAAGTGCACGAAAATTGAGGTGATTTCCAGGTGTCAAAATCAATTAGACAGAGATTAAATTTCATACAAGCAAACGCAAAGTGTGACTACCTTTTTAGTAACGGCAATTTTTGTTTTGTTTCACGGTGACGAAGACGTCATGCGGTTTTATTAAATTGCTTGTTTGCCAAGATAATTTAGAAATTAAAGAAAACTTTCCAGTGTTTTGTTGCTTTAAATGGTTTGTCGCGTGATCATTTATGTATGACCATTGTGGTAGCGGTGTCCGTGGTGGTGGACGTGTGGGGATGCAGTGAGTGGAGTGTGCGTCATCATCATGACAGCGATCTTATCGGGGTCACAGGTCAGCCACGCTTTTATATTTTTTTTTACTCATTTTCACCTGTTCATATGTAACTCTAAAGTAAATAGTAATCGTTTGAGCTCTTATTTCCGGGCCGGGGAGACGTGATGGGGTGAATTTTTACGGTAGTAGAGTGACCACTTGCCTACCCGGTAGCCCTTCTGCATGGTCCTCGGATCGGAAGAGATCCACATGTTGGATGGAGTAGGGATAAGAAGAATCGTGCCAGATTTCAAATCGGGGGGCTTATCTTGTTTTTCTGCTGGTGATTTTCACTCACTCGCTCGCTCACCTCAAGTGTTGAGTAAATAGAGAGGGTTAGATTTGAGAGTGATAGGTACGTACATAGCAGGGAGTCGAGCGGGTGGGGGGTGTGCATGGAGGAAATTTGATTAGTGGGAGGGGTAGTTGGACGGATAGCGTGGATTGGATGGACGCCACACAAGTAGTTTAGCGGAATTATTGGGGGCAGGAATTACGTCCACGTGTACGTGTGCGTATTTTTGTACCTTTTGCCGAGTGCGTGGAAAGTGCGTCATTGGAGAAAAGAATGAATTTTATCTTACCAAACCATTCGTCTTTATGGATAGAAATATGTAGTTGGTGGAAATCTTGGCATTTTTGGAAAATGAGGGAAAATTTGGACCAGAAAGAGAAGAATATTTGGGCGAGAAAAGCATAGGTTTCATGAGGGGACACCGTGTTAGTTAAGGATGAAATTTTGTGTCGGTTTGACTAAATGAGGCAAAATTTTGAAATCAAGGGGCTATAAATTTGTGGAAAAGTATGTATTTTTTCATGGTAAGAGGACGCTATGTTTTAAGGATGCCATTTGTGGAAAAGTATGTATTTTTTCATGGTAAGAGGACGCTATGTTTTAAGGATGCCACAGATTTTTTAATGCAGGTTAAGCTTGATTAGATATCCAGTGGTAAAAAAATGAAGTTTTAACCTCTATGCACGACTAGTGGATTTCATGAACACATGGTGAACTGATTTTTGAGACTAAGGTGAGAGAGGATGACAAGATTCATGAATATTCATGAATTTCAGCCACATTTTCATAATAATGTTAATTTCGTCACGTCAAAACAAAAATAGCAGGAATCTCATGGTCTCTCTCTCTCGGCAGTGGTGGTGCATGTGGTTAGATTGTTATTACTGAAATAGTAATAATGCAGCCATAATAATAATAATAATCAGCATGGCGTTGGAAAATTGTGTTGTTTGCCAAATTTATGCGTCACAGTTACAAGTTCATAATCCATAAAAATACGGAGTATTAACGCATACAAATATTCGCAATTTTGCAATTTTACTTACTATCTACGTTTGGCCACAAAAAAACATCCGGAACCTTGCTAAACATTGGTTTAGTACAGAGCAGACTTATTTAATTACCGTGCATGAAGGGTCAAGGGGTCAGGCTGCATGTACCATATTAAATTGACATCAAATGACAGGAAATCAAACTTGTTATCCGCACGCAAGATTAAAAATCACAAATCGTCAGTCTTACTTACTATCTCTTAAGAATTATTTGGTCAGCATAATCGTCACGGATCACGAGAGATCCACAATCTGCCCAGTAGCCTCCTTGTGCAAACACAATTAGTCTCAAACGTCGTGTCATTGCATATCAAACCAAACGACGTCATTGCATATCAAACCAAACATTAAATCAGCACTACACCACCACTTTATTTCATTTCTTACAAAACTGTTCACCATTTTCATTTATCTATTATAAAAAACATTCCCATCTTAAAAAAATACTAGCAAAAAAACTCCGCTTCATCTTTACCATATTCCAGAAAGATTTCATAAATGGAAGATGATGAATGTCCAAAAATTGTGGAGAGGTTGTTGAAGAGCTGGCTCATTTTGAACGAGTGAGCCGTGCAGAAAGGGACGCCAATTATTTTTGCGGGTCCGATAAGGATTAACGTAAGACGATTGGCGTCCATTCTGCAAGCCCCCTCAGAGAAATATAAACAGTAAATCGCACCGTCATCTTGTAAATCTTGTTTGATTAACCTTGGACGCTCGTGTTCATTTAATGGGTTATTAATGGAAGACAAGAAGGAATGGAAATGGTGACCGCAATGACGACTGGTATCGTCACTCCGTGGACGGAGAAAGGTCATGTCGTACGGATTATGTAATAAGTAGTGACCACGACCACGAGGTGTGGCAACCACGTGGACGGGGAATTTATCCCCCCACGACAAGTATGCTCGTCCACGTGTTCCTGGGATATATTTCCGTTACAAATCACGTCCTTCCGACAGCGCAATTTTCCCACTTTTTTCTTAAACTGTCCTGAAATTATTTATGAAAATATTTCATAAATTGTCAACATTTTCAAATTTTCGAGAAGCCCACCCTTAGTATTTCCATGCGGAAAATAGTGCCCCACCACGACAACCTCCGAATCTGAGGGGTTTCTAGCCACGCCGATCCCTAATTTGACCGAATCCGACCACACGACCTGTCTGAACTTCCCGGCTTCGCCGAACGGAAATTTTTTCACGGTGCATAGTTCGAAATACCATCTACGTCAGGGATCATCGAAAGGGGCTATTTTTAGGGTTATTTTTATCAATTATGTTGCTGGCTAACGTTTTCACGGCGCCTTCCGTCTCGTTTTTTGCATCGAACCAGGCCCGTCGCTCTTTTAGTCGCTTGTAAACGTTCTCCCCGATCGTGGTCGGTATGGGTTTGCCGCTGATGAAATATTCGGCTCTCTGTTGGGCCGCGTCGTTCAGCTGGAGGGGATAAATTAGGTCAAAGGTCATTTCCGGTCAGTATGATAATGTCACCTCATCATTCAGCGTCATTGTTGGGGTCCCATTGTGCCATTTTCGGAAAATATTGTTCCATTTGAGCGCTTCGAGGCGAGCATCTCTCATTTCTTGAGGGGTAAAAGGTTTGCTTTGATTGAGGACGTCGTGTGGGAGGAGGAGGAGGGTAAAGGTCAGGATGAAGATTAAATTGGGATGCGGCATGGTGGAAAAAATTTTGAGAGAAAAAAGATGTGATTTTTTGGCGAGATAACTGAATTTGAAACACCTTTTGAAAGTTTAAAAATGTATGGGTGAAATGTAAAAAAATCTCTAATGGTGATTTATACATATGTCAAGGTACATATTTTATGCAAAACAAAGTGTATTTCATAGTTTATCAATGTTGATGTTAATAAAAATTCCTTTTTTATGCAAAATGGTGTGCCAAAATTTTTCAAAAGTGAACAAACAATACAGATTTTGATTTTATTATTTTTTTAAATCAAAATTATACACACGTTTATAACAAGGTGCAAAATTAGAAGAATTTGAAAAGTGTTTAAAAAAATTTAATAGTGGAAATATATGCATATTGTTGAATTTTAAAGTCAACTAAAAAATTTTAAGCTAATTGTACTAAAGAATAAATAGATAGATTCGAATAAATGTGATGGGAAATGGGAATTTCGCATGTCATTTTTGAGCAGTTTTTGTGATTTTTTTCATAAATAAGATATTTTTGCAAATTTAAATTTCGGAAAAATCATACCAGTATACATACATGTATATACCTATATTCCAGTTTAAAAATTCGGCATATTTACAAAAGCTGAGATACATGATAATACTGTATTATAAAATATAGCTTGTCCTGGGAAATAATATGAGTCACATTTGGAGGAAAAATATTTGTCCATATTTTCATAATTCCATATTTTCACTCTCAAATTTAAAGCCTAAATAAGTTACAATTTTTCCTTTTTTCTCAAGACCACATTTTTAAATCGAGTAAGTAAATTCAAACTGCAAAATCTTGCAAGTGGTCGGCTACTTAAAAAATTATTGTTGCAAAAATTTCGTGATGATTTATACATTTTTTTTACACCTACATAACTTTGCATATATGTATGCATACATACAAAAATTGGCAAACTCTGTTCCTCTAGTTAATCATACGTTACAATAATATGCAAATTTATGACACCCAGGCAGCAGGCGAAGACGAAAAATTGGTACGATTTCCCCCATCCCCACGGGGCGCAACTCTTTTTCCCAGCTTTTTCCTCCACCTCGTCCTCCATCTCGTCTGCTGACCCTTTTTTGTTCTCCAAACAGTTGTCGCTCTCCCCGGAAATGACCTTGGGGTGCAACCCATTGCAAATCGCGGTCTTCTTGCACACCAATTTCTTCACTCCGATGTCATACTCGCCTTAAAAACGACTAAATATGTACACATATTTGTATTTTTTTATCACTGAAAGGTCACATGAGGTCATCTCACCGACATAGTTTCCAAACGGTTCATATCTTCCGACCACGAAGATGGCCGAATTGTCCTTATCGGTCGCTACACCGATTCCTAATTTAACCGAGTCGGCCCAAACGACCTGAGTGAAATGGTTGAGCTGTCCGGTCGGCCAAGTTTTTGTGTCGCAGATTTCAAAATACCAGCTAAAAATTGAAGGAAAAATGCTGATCTTTAATTATTTTATTAATGATAAGTGGTTATCTTGGGCTTACGCTTTGGTGGCACCCTCAGTTTGGGCGGTGGCGTCGAAGCGCTTGTTTCCCGAGTGGCTAGCCGTATAGAGATTTTCGCCGCTCGAGTTATGCTTCATTTTTCCCAAGGGGACTAAATTGTTGGCCGCGGTTTGGGCCGCTTCGTTCAGCTGATCAATTAGGTCAAAGGTCATCTCTTCCGTATTGATAAGGTAGATAATCCGTTATTTACCTTATCATCGAGCGTCATGGAAGTCGTGTTGTGCCATTTTCGGAGAATGTTGTGCCATTTGAGTGCAGCTTCACGGGCGGCTTTCATTTCTTGTGGGGTGTAAGGGACGCCTGGAGCGAGGTTGAGGACGCTGTGGGGGAGGAGAAGGAGGGTAAAGGTCACGATGGGGTAAAAAACCAAGGACACAATGGAGTGTGGCATGGTGGATAAAATTTTGAGAGATTTTAATTTTTTGAAAGAAATTTATTGTCAATTTGAGGATACTTGGACGAATTGTGTAAACATCTCTAATGGTGATTTGTGGAGCTGCATAGTTTATGCAAAAATTGGCACATGTTTTTGCAGTTGGGTGGCATTTTGGGGATGATAAACTGATGTTAGAAAGGTTTCGTTAGTTTAATGGGAAATATATAAAAAATACAGATTAACTCATTTTTGACCGAGTGGAAATTATGAGGTTTTTTTTACTTAAAAAAACTTTTCCGGAGCTTTGTGAATTTTAATTTGAGAGATCACCAAGGAAGATTTTTATTGATGTCCCAATAAAATCGCGAATTGGTATCGCGAAAAACTCGCGAATAATAATTATTAATTTGTATACAGGGTGGTTAAAATGTCACGCCACAATGGAAAATTTTTCAATGGGAAAAGTCCCAAAATCTCCATTAGTTACAAGATTTGGGATTGAGATTTTTATAAATATAGCTTCAATCCTGGGAACCCTCCCACCAGGAAAAAAATTCAACGAAATCTATTATATTTAAAACTTTTTCATTTTTAATGACATTGTTAACAAATTTGCATGTCTTTTTATAAATTATTATCAAAACTGATGACAAAATTCTTAAAATGTTGCATTTTAGAGACAAAATTTCGGTAACTAATGGAAATTTGTGGATTTTTCCCATCGAAAAATTTTCCATTGTAGCGTGACATTTTAACCACCCTGTACATATATTTCTTTTTCATGTTCCAAAGTCAAGGTTGAGTCATATTTGCACCACAATTTGCACAATATTTGCAAAAACGAGACGAGGTTAGGGTCCTAATTTTAATCCGGCCAACGGTATCTCAATCTCGGCAGCTTTGGGTCTTTGTTGACTTTGCAAGCAGAAAATCATCTCTTATCAATAATTCACGTGAGGTAATTGGGGTTGGTTATCAATGGCGCTGATAAGCTTACAACTTACGAGTGTATGAGTAATCACGTCTTGATAAGCATTTATGGGGCATAATTCTCGTCATCCGCAGCTTTTACGTCACTATTTATCTTCCTGACATTATAACCCCTTTATAAATAATTAACATGATTCCGCCCATTGATAATCATAACAATGTGAATGATGATAAGACCTTATCCTATGCCAACTCATACCATGCTGAACCACAAAATATTTGCATATTTACTTGCATATTTATTAGTCACAGATTTATTTTGAGCGAGAAAAATAGTGATTTAAACCTATTTTCTACTTTTGTTTGACAGGTCGTCATTTAAACCGGGGAAGGATGCGTCGATAAGCAACGTGTGACTTGTCGATAAGAAGAATTCGGTACACTTGCCCTCAAAAATTCGTGACTTTTTATAAATTTTTCTCCTAAATATCTGGTCGGATTTTCTTCTTGAAAGATATGGTGGTAAGGGATTCGATAACTTTACACTTGACCTTTGACTATGATAGCCTTTGACCTCTTACAGTGGCCCTGGATCCGCTCTCTTTGTCCGTGTTGTCCCTTTTCGAAAGGAAAAGATGATTTGGGGAGGTCTCGTTTGAGGAGGATTTACATCGGTTCCGTGCCCGTGTTGGGGGACGATGACGCCCCGGAAGACATGGGCGGTCGGGGTTCCGTCGGGTCGTCGGAAGCTCCACCAAGTCATAATAGTCAAAGACGTAAATCTCGACTGGACAGGATTTCCTCGCAGTCATTTTCCGATATGGATTACAATCCTGGATTGACGACGAAAGTGGAAAATCCGGTCATCCCGGTCAGAAGGCAGTCAATTATGGCAGGGGATTTAAGAATACCGCCGAAAAATGTGTTCCCGAATAATGAAGTGACATCGTCTAGGGTAAAAATTTGACAATTGTTGGTCATTGTTTAAAATCTGGCTAAAAATGTGCACATTTTTTCCTTATTCCAGTACACGCTCTTATCCTTCTTCCCGAAAAATATATATGAGCAGTTTCGTCGTATTGTGAACTTTTATTTTTTGGTCGTTGCCATTATTCAGGTGGGTTTTTAGATGGTAAAATGTATAAATAGTGAATGAGTAATTTGACCTTTGACCGTACAGAGTGTCACGAGCAGTCCTGTGTCTCCAGTGACGTCGATCGCCCCACTCGCATTTGTCGTAATCGTGACAATGATCAAGCAAGGATATGAAGACTGGTTGCGACACAAGGCGGACAATCTCTTTAACAACAGGCCAGTCAAGGTCATCAGGGACGGTGTCATTGAGGTGAGTGAGGTCAAAACTTGACCCCAGATTGATTTTATTCGTGTTTTGTTGATGGGTACCGTAACCTGGATGGCGTCACACGTGCATCTCTTTTGTCCAATCTAATTTATAAAATTAAATTTGCAAATAATTTGCATAATAAAATTTGCACAATAATGATTCCAGCTAATCCACTCCCGCGACGTGAAAGTAGGTGACATCGTAAAATTAGAAGGTGAAGAACAAGTCCCCACGGACATCGTTCTCCTCGGCTCTTCCGACGAGTTCCAACGCTGCCTCCTCAACACGGCTAATCTCGATGGAGAAACCTCCCTCAGGGTAACCTCCCATCTAACCCCATCTGACCTCTCACTTGACCTTTCACACTAGTCACTTTCTTCCAGATGCGCTACGTGCCCGCCGGTCTGCCCCATTTCCGCGACGAATCCGACTTCCTCACCCTCGATCTCATCGTCGAATGTGAAGAAGCCTGTGAAGATTTGTACCGTTTTAATGGCAATATTCTCATCCCACCGGAACTTCCTAGGCAAAACTCTTCTCTGGGGACGATCTTCGAAACGGTGACCTCTGACCCCGCCGTCGACCCGCAATCCGTCGTACCTCCCACTGAAGCACCGCCACTCTCCTTTTGTCACGCGCTCCAATTTTCCCACCCCCCACAACAACATGACACCACGACCCACAAGGCAACTCCTCCTCAGGCCGTCCCAGAGGTCAAATTCACCCCCTCAACGACGGGAAAACAGAGGCGCATCGGGATCGCAGAGTTCAACATGATCTTTCTCGGAATGGAGAATGTCATCTTGAGAGGGACCAAGGTCAAGAATACGGATTTTATTTATGGCGTAGTCGTCTACACCGGGCCGGACACGAGACTGGCGAGGAATTCGAAACAAACTGCGCCCAAGTTTTCTACGGTGGAGAAGTAATTTGAATAATTATGGAATTTTTTTACGGGGGGATTAATTTTAATTTATTATTATTTGGACAGAACGGTGAACAAATATTTGTACGCTTTTATACTGATTTTGCTGGTTCTGGTCATAACGGCGACGTTGCTGTCTCTCTTAGTCAATTGGGTCGGGGTGAATGGAGGTAAAGTTGACCTTTGACCTGATGTATAATGATAACTTTAATTTATTAGCGATTTGACCTTAGAAAATCCTTGGTACCTTGAAAAAACGGAGGAACAAACTACATGGGGCTACTATTTTCAAACTTTCTCCTCCTTCTTGATCCTGTTTAATTATATAATTCCGATCTCGCTCTATGTCACGATGGGTGAGATAAGATAACCTACAAGGTCACATAGGTCAAAGGTCGATTAATTTCTATTTCCTCTGCAGAGATGCAAAAGTTTATCGGGTCCAAATTTTTCGTCTGGGATGAAGAAATGAGCACCGAAGCTGGCGAACCTCCACTTTGCAATACTTCCGACCTCAACGAGGGTAAGAAATTGGCACTGATTTGCACACTTTATTACTCTTAATTCTGGTGGAAATCTACATAAATGTTTGAAAAAATTCTAAACATTTGTAAAAATTTTGTTTGAAATTGTTCAAAAAAAGTTACATTTTTTAATTTGCTAATTTTTCACGCCAATATGAAAATTTTTATAGTCTGGGTTAATAAATTCTTATACAGATCCAGTTCCTTTGCTACGGGAATAAGTTTCCCATTGCTTTAAGATTTGCACTCTATAATTTGCAAAATTTATGAAAAATTAAAATAAAAATCGTCAGTAAAATTTGCACATTTTATGTAATTTTTTTTTACTTTAGAACTGGGTCAAATCGAGTACCTCTTTTCCGACAAGACTGGCACGCTGACGGAAAATGTGATGAAAACTCGAATGTTTTCCGTTGATGGGCGAATCTACGAGGTGGACGACGCCCCCGGACCGACCGGAAGTGGTGGGCGCGTCGCGGGATTATTCGTGCGCGACGAGGAGGACCAGAGCAAGCGGAGTTTCGTCTCGATAACCCCGGAGGAAGACGCCTTGCTGGATTTTTGTCGCGTGTTGGCTCTCTGTCATTCCATTCAAATTATGCCAAAAAGACGGCCCAGTGTCGAAAGTGGAAATCCGACCGGATTTGACTTGTTCTTGAAGAGGAGGAAAAAGAAGATTTCGAGCAAGGTGAAAAATGCGAATTCGTTGTTTGCCATTGGAGCAAAAAAGGGAGGGGACGATGTCCCCGCGGCGTTGCAATTATTGGGAGGAAATTGGGAGTTTCAGGGAAGTTCGCCGGATGAGAAGGCGCTCGTGGAGACGTGTGTGCAGTGAGTGGAAATTTGCAATATTGGTGGGGAAACTTTGAAATTTATAAGAGGCAATTTAAATTAAAATGTGGTTTTGTTGGAAAATTATACAAACTTTGTAACTGACAAAAACTTATGGTTATTTAATAACATACAAACTGAGGAGTTACAATTACTCTTGAGTTACTCTAACTTACACTTTCTTCCACTTACTTTTAGACTCAACGTTTGTTACGACGGTGAAAAAGAGGAGTTCATGTCGGTCAACGTTTGCGGACAAGAGGAACGCTACAAACGCCACATGATGTTCGAGTTCGACGCGGACCGGAAATGTATGAGCGTCATTGTCGAAAATGAAGCAGGCGACATTTGGATCATGACGAAAGGCGCAGAGACTTCCAGTAAAAAAAATTGCATATTTTTTTGCATACTCATGCAGAAACCAGCGTGAATTTTTGGTTTAACTTTTCAGTAATCCCACGCTGCGACACGGGCCCTATCCAACTAGTCAATAAGCATGTGCTCACCTTCGCCATGGTACATATATAAGCGAATATATAAGCGACATATATAAGCGACTGCCTTTTTAAATTATTGACTTTGACCTTTGACATCTTTAGATGGGATACCGTACCCTGGTCATTGCGCGCCGTCGCCTCACTAGAGCCGAACTTGACGTATATCTTGGTCGCCTCCGCGCCGCGCGCCGCCTCGTTGAAAATCGGGACGAAGTAATGAAGCATATTTACCGCGATGTGGAGTCCCACCTTGAAATTTTGGGCGCTACTGGAGTCGAAGACCAGCTGCAGGAGGGCGTCGTTGAAACGTTGCATTCACTCGGCGCGGCTGGAATCAGAGTTTGGGTAAATTTTTGGTTGGAATTTTGGTTTCTGAGTGGAATCTTGGATTTTGATCTCTGACTTTTTGTTTAAAATTTTGATTTTGATTCAAAATTTGTCCCCATGAATAATTAGGTGCTGACTGGTGACAAGGTGGAGACCGCGACCGCCGTGGCTTACTCATGCGGTTTGATGACCTCTTTTTCCAAACAGCTCGTCGTCACAAAGTTCACGGAAAACGAGGCAGGCACGTTGACCGAGCGGTTGCGCCAATTCGACGCTGAAATGGCCCCCGACGACAACACGGTGCTCATCATGGACGGAGAAACGATGGAGATTGCGCTCAGATATTGTCCCGAAGACCTCTGTTCCGTGGCGATGAAGAGTTTTCGTGTCGTGTGTTGCAGGATGACGCCGCTGCAGAAGTCACAGGTCGTCAAAATGGTGAAGGATACGCCGAGCAAGCCCGTCACTGCGGCCGTTGGCGATGGAGCGAATGATGTCGCGATGATTCAGGTACGTAAAATTCAATAATTTGATTACTAAAAGACTTGTTTTTGTGGAGTAACGTATTTTATTTTCGATTTAGGAGGCGCATATTGGGATTGGTGAGTGGGAGAGAGTTTTCTGAAAAATTTTGGATTTTTAGTTTTGATTTTTTTTGGGTGGAATTTTGATTTTGATTTTTAAGTGCAATTTTGATCTTTCCAGTGTCATGTTTTGATTTTTGAGGTAAAATCAAAATGTCGCTCTTACGAAAATCCTTAATTTTTTGCAGGAATAATTGGGAAGGAGGGACGGCAAGCCGCCCGTTGCGCGGATTTCGCCCTAGCGCGCTTCGGTTTTCTGCAGAAAGCGATCCTAGTTCACGGTCACTGGTACTACGTCCGCTTGGCGAATCTGGCGAACTACTTTTTCTACAAAAACATCATCTTCGTCATCCCGCAAGTCTTGTACTGCTTCTCGTCCGGCTTCTCCACGCAGGTCAGCCCCCAAAAACATCTCTGGCTAACAAATAATTTGTGAAAAGCTTGCCAGAAAGTTATGTTCAATTTATTTTTAAAATCCTAATTTACTTTTTCACAGCCCCTCTTCGACTCGATCTTCCTGATGATGTATAACATATTTTATACGGCGTTTCCCATCCTGATTTACGGTCTGATGGAGCAACCCCACTCGTCGAGGACGCTGCAGGAGCACGCATATCTGTACAAAGACATCACGTCGAATCGACTCATGACGCCCACGGTGTTTCTCAAGTGGCTCATTTTCGCCATCTGGCACGCTTTCGTCTGCTACTACACCGCTCTCTACGCCTGGCCCGCATTCCACCCGCTCCACGATATTTCCACGTTCGGAACACTCGTTTTCTCCGGCATCGTGGCGGTAGCAAATATGAAGGTACGTTCAAAAACCAGAGAAAAATTAGAGTTTTTTAATATGATGACATGATAACAAATTCCAACAGGAAATACAATAAATTTTCCATTTGCCGAAGCGCACACCAAAATTCATCCCTTGAGTTACCCAAGACAAGTTTCAAGGAAAGCTTGTGGCAATTTAATAATTGTTAAATTTGTGAAAAAAATGGTATTTCTTAACGCCGGTCGTAAAAAAATAGGAATTACTTTTTACAAACAGAGTAATAGATTAAGTATAGACAGGGGAGATTTGAGTTTTGAAATTTGAGTTTTTTTAGAAATATGTTTTTTGGAAAATGTGTTAGTTTCTGGAAAATCATTCTCCAAGAATTAGAATTTTTAGACAAATAAATAAATACAATAAATATTAACATTTTCAAAATTATAAGCATATAGTTTTTGTTAGACAGATTTTCACCTCAATTTTGTGGAAATATTTTTCTCCAAAGTATGAAAATTATTTCTGTTCAATTTATTTCAAGATTTCTCCCCCAATTTTTTAATAGAATTTGCTAGGAAAAATAAAAGCCATGTCCCCTCAATTTGTTTGAAATAGTTCCATTATTTTTTTCAGCTTGCAGTCGAAACCGTGCATATTTCGTGGATTTACATCTTCTCACATGTCGTCTCCTATCTGGCGTACTTCACTTTCTCCGCCGTCTACTCGGAAGTCGATCTGTAAGTAAATTCTCACCCCCTGCCGTGACCTTTGTCGACCTCAAAGCAACATTCTTTTTCTTCCAGAACATTTGTCTGGATAGATCCGAAACAATTCCGTTCCGTGTTCTTTACTCTGATGGCAGTCCCCGTTTTCTGGGTGGTCATGGTTCTCGTCACGTCGACCGCCATTATTCCCGACATTATTTGGAAAGGGGTCGAAGGCAGTTGGACTTCGGTGACGAAATTCTTCCGCTCTTTTCCCAAGGTGAGTACAACGCGATTTTTGACTTTTTTTGCTGAATTTGCATAACTTTCTCTGCTTCCTTTTTCCTATTTCTACAATGTCTGTCTGCTTTTTTCTACAAATTTTAAACAGTTCGGACGCCCCACGGCAAGTTCAAGGACGCTCCAGAAGTCGACATCGCAACAAAATAAAGCAAAGTGACATGACCTCGACGTAGGAGCCATCAATTGAAAAAGCTGAAATTCTTACTAATTTAAAAACTGCACTAATTTTCGCCTAAAAATCTGAAAATCTTTTTGTCTGTCAAAAACTATTGAGTAAACAAAAAAATTGTGGATAAAAATTATATTGAATTTTGTAACAGAGAATAAAATGGGGCCGTGGTAAAGGTCAAGGTGACGATGAAGGTAAAGGAGGATGGCCAAGTTTACGCCAATTCGCACCGTTTTCGGCCTCTACGAGAAAACAGAATGGAACTGAAAATGGAATGTCAAACGACACGCTTAATTCGTACCTTTAAACTTGTGATAGAAGGAAGAAAGGGTTGCAAAATTGGGACAGAAATTCGCGAATGATATACTTTTTTGCACAAAAATATTTTGACTTGACTCGTTACTAATTTGCGCCATAGTTATGGAGTAAATTGTCAGCGAAGAGGTTGTCTCACAATCTGTGATTATGTTTTGTCGTATGACACATATTTAGTAAAATATTCGTCATATTGCAAAAAGCAGACTGGATTATTCATTGCCAAATCAGGAAAAAAAGCATGCTATATTATGTAACAATTTCAGGAATAACTTTATTTCGCAAAATTCAGAATAAATTAAATTAATAAGTTAATCTTTAATTTAATATAATTAAGAAAATATGCTAAATATTAAATTTTATATTTTTTTAATCAATAAAAAATGTTCCACTGAAAAAGAAAAGAGAATTTTGACATGAAAATGCATGCATAAATGCATGGCATGATTTTTACCCCAGTTTCAGGTACTCCTTTGCTTTATAGACTCCAAGGACCTCATCAACATTATCGAAAACCATGTCCTTGATTTTCAGGGTTTATCATCTCCATCCCACGTGGAAACATACCACGTGCATACTTTGCTGAGGGAACGCAATGTAATTCTACATGATCCGATTCAAATACGGAAAGATAGTCGAAAATTAAACAAACGGAAGGAAATTGGTGAATGAGTAATTTGTGTATTATTTTACGAAATTCTGCCAAAAATTTGGTAAAAAAACGGTTCAAAAAATTGTTAAAAGTTATCTTTGAAACCTGTCAGGTTTCACCGACACTTTGTTTTTGCATCATTTTTCATGGTGAGTTATATGCATCTTTTAGATATGAAAATAAGGGATATATTATAAACACTGCTTAACTCGCTAAAAGACAAAACTAATTTATACGATAACATAAGAGTGGGAGTAAAGAATGCGTTTTGCAAAATTTATGATGGATAGGACATGGGACACATTTTTCATGTGAAGTGTGCATTTTGAGTAAAGTTTGGGCGTGACGGAATTTTGATGGGATGCCATCAACTGCAAAACCACCTTCCGGTAATTTGCATATAAAGGAAACTCTTTCTCTGCAATGTACATACTTACATGCATTGCAAAATCTAGATCAAGATTCTGGTCGCAATTTCGCAGTATTTTCTTATTCTATAAAAATAATTGCGTAAAATAATGCACTGTCCTTTTCATGAAATTGCTCAATCACGCATTTCCTCCCATCTTTTTTATTTTCAATTGTCTTCCGCATTTCAATCGAATCATGGAGAAATACTTACATACAACATATGCAAAAATTATTGCGTATTTAGAGGTGGTCACTATTTACATATTTACGCAATTTATATCTTGGCTTAATTATTTACTTAACTATTTAAGGAGCAAGAATTGTATAGAGTTTTACAGTGCAGTTTTTATAAGCAGTGAAGTCAAAGATAAAACCATCTGCAACTTAAAATAAGTTCAAATCAAAATGATACAAACGTCAAGTTTAATTTGCATCCTTGTGGTAAGTTTGTAAATTTTGAGAATTTTACAAATTTCGAAAACTTTGTAATAGTGCTAAAAAATTGTGCAAAAATTTGTGTACAATAAATTTAAACTTGTAATGCACTTTACTCGCTATGAAATTATCCCTTGCAGATCGTCCAAATTTGTGTGCATACCAGTGCTGCAAAGCTGGACAATACAATTCATGCAAAATCATTATCCACCAAGGATGAAAAACAGCAAGCCCGATTTCTCGGCCTTGGATTCGGCTCTGATATCAGTTTAGGAGTCGGAATTTCGAAATATGGTGACCTTGGAGTCGGCAATCCGTACCATCATCATCATGAACACGGTCACTACTACCCGGGTCACGGTTTTGGTCACTCTGGGGCCGGGTATTATGGAGGTCATTATGACTATCCGAACCAATTTTTCTCCGGGTATTTTCCTCCTCACCACCACCACCACTTTGGAGGAAGAGGTTACCACCACTATCAACAACAACATTACCATCACGGTAATGCTGGAATTTCGCCATTTTTCGCTGGTGGATTAGGATCCCTGGCCAGTTTCGGGTTAGGTCTGGGCGGAGGTGGTTACTCGTTTCATAAATAATTTAAAAAATTGTTATCAATTAATTAATGATTACCAATTAATTAAATAAAAATACAATTTAATCAACAAATTTTGGTCTTCAATTTCTCGAGAAATGCATAAAAGTTATTTTACATACAAATTTTGCAAAACTGTCAGCCTTCCTGTGCTGGGAATAGAGCCAAGTGGGAGCTGGAAATAACTGCCACTAAAGCTATCGTCATAATATTTCTTAACTCATTTATTTTAAATTGGACATTGCGAAAATATTGATATTTCAAATAAAATCGTGCTTACATTAATTCCCGGAAAAAAATAATGCTGTAAAATGCATGGATGTATGTATGATATAGGTCTATGTATACATGTATAAATGATAGTTGTGTGTATTTAATTTTTGCAAAGTGTGCAGAAAAATTTTTACGATTATTAATGGTTCAAAGAAACTCTTACGAGCCAAATGCATATAAACATGAGCTTAAAACGTTCCTAATTAACACTTAAACCAAGCACAACGCGTTCTGAAAGCATACAAATGGCATAAAAAGTTTGGCAATGTTATAAAAAAGTTGCAAAGCGAAGTAAAAAGTGGCAAAAATTCTTTCCCGTGCCGGGAATCGAACCCGGGCCGTCCCGGTGAAAGCGGGAAATCCTAACCACTAGACCACACGGGAGAGCTAGTGATGGAAGCTCCTCCAAAATCTGGCTTTACTCTGTCTCCCATTCTCCCAAATGTATGAATTTGTTAGCAAACTCCATGCAAAATTTTTGGCATGGCGAAGGATGAGTCAGTCAATGAGCTGCTTTTATTGGACTTTTAACGCAAAAAGATCAATATCTGAGTAAGCATTTAACATGCTGTGACCCAGAAAGACGAGGAGAAATCATTCAAAATAATTCTTCACGTGATTTTTGACTTTTTTGCTGAATTGATTTTTGATTATTTTATAAATGTAAAGAATTTGTAAATTCATGCAAAAATACTGTAAACCTTTGGCAAAATGTTAATGTACTCACTGGTTACCGTAAATCTAATTACACACCAATTAATAAATTAGTAGATCCTGATAATACTGTAATTTATGATACCCCTAATACTATCAATGATGCACTTGCGTCACATTTTGTTGTAACCTCAGATAATTTAATTCCTGAACATACTGTATTAGAAGAGATTACACGTTATGAGAATATTTACAATAACTCTGAATCACCTGACAAATTTGAATTAGTCACTGTTGAGGAAGTGAATAAGGCTATTTCAGACACAAAGAAAGATAGTAAATCAGACTTTTTTGTACCTTTATCAATTCTCAAGCGCTGCTGCAATGTAGTTTCCTTTCAAATAGCTATTCTATTTAATATAATATTCACTAATTGTAAACTGCCCCACGATTTTAAAACAACATATGTAACTCCTATATATAAAGGGAAAGGTCCGCGTTTGAGCCCATACAGCTATAGACCAATAAGCTGTTTAATCACATATTGTAAACTATTCGAGAGAATACTTTTCCATAGAATACAAATTAGATTAGAATCGAAACTTTGTAATCAACAACACGGTTTTAGGACAAATCGGTCATGTCATACAGCCGTAACTGAATTCTCAAATTTCATTTATAAATCGTTAGATAATCCGAATACTAAATGTGTAGCTATTTATTTCGATGCGAAATCTGCATTCAATAGTATTGACAGATCTCTATTAATTAAAAAGCTAATGTTTAAGTACAAGTTACACCCCATATATATTAAAACAATACATAATTATGTTAGCGATACATTATTTAGATTTAAAAATAGTGATAAATACTATATTAATTCTACAGGTATAATTCAAGGTGGTACGATCGGACCTGTTGTTTACGGAGCTTATCAGGACGATATCGCTGAAATAATTACATTGCCGTTCTTATTATATGCCGATGATCTCGTTGTGTATATTGCAGGAACAGATTTGGACTTATTATTACAAACACTGAAAGACCAAGTAATTCGTATTCAACAATGGTACACTGACAATAACATGACATTAAATTACGAAAAAACTAAATACCAAATTTTTCATAAAAGTAGAGACCCCATCCCGGACAAGTATGTAAACTCGCCATTGGTGCTAGATAGTGGTCATATTATCGAGCAAGTTTCTTGTTTTAAATATCTTGGGGTGGAACTTGACTCGACACTGAGTTTTAAACAACACTTTGAGTCAGTAAGTAAGCGTATTTCCGGTAATCTAGGTTACTTATATGGGTTGAAGCGATATTTAAGTGAAAATGTAATGACGGTTATGATGAATAGTCACATACATTCTATTGCAGATTATTGTATTGACATATGGGCGACATTAACTACTCCACAACTTGACACTATACAACGAAAAGTTGACAATTACCTAATAAATTTTTATTTGCCCATTATTGCGAAAAAAGCTCGTATCCGCAAATCTCGACACTACAAAGACCTCAGACATAAGTTAAGTATAGTAGATTTACGATCAAAGTGTAATATGTTAACAATAACGGAGAGAAGAGACCTTTTTCTACTTAAGTATGCGTTTAAGAACCTGGCACATCTTAAATCTGTATCCTCAATTAGACGTACATTTCCTCTGTTAGCTGTTCCCAGTACTAAAACGACTTTCTCCCAGAAAAGCATAAATTATCGAGCTATTAAGCTATGGAACTCGCTGCCGCGTGACTGGGAAGATAACATAACTTATCCTAAATTTGTTGAGTTGAGTCGCGAATGGATAATTTCTAGACGCAAGGAAGAATATATTTACTATTAATTTTAGTTGATAATTAGATACATGCTTATATATAGAGAATTAGCTTATAGTGTCACGGATTGTAAACCAGTTTGTATTTAACTGATATTTAATGACACATGAATAAAGGATATCAAATCAAATCAAAATGGTATTTTTTTGCTGGATTGAGTTTTAATGTGTCTTTATGAAATTGGATTTGTTTTATTGCGATTTGTGTGTGGGTGAAATGATTTTTATTTTATTTTTTAGCAAATGCGACTTTTCAGCGCCTTTTTAGCCCGAGTCAGGGCTTATGGAACCGTCATGTCCGTCCGTCCGTCCGTCCGTCTGTCCGGCACGATAGAGCCAAAACGGCTGAACCGATTGACTTGAAATTTTTACCATATGTATATTGGACAAAGTTAGGAAACGAGTTCGAAGATGGGCCAAATCGGTCAAGTGGTTGACCGGTGGGGGTCATCGGAGTGGGTGGGGTATTATGCACCAAAATTTCAAAATTGTCGTAGAAAGCTGAAATTTGGTACAGAGGTTGCTAATGCCTCCTAATAGATAAAAATGAAATCAAGTTGGAAAAATTTTCATCTGGAGGGACCCTGGAGGGTGACCCATACCGATTTTTCAAAATTGTCATATCGAGCTGAGATTTGATACACAAGTTGCGTGTGGGTCTTAATGGAAGAATATGAAATGACATTTGTAAAATTTTTATCTGGAGCGACCCTATGGGGTGACCCATACCGATTTTTAGAAAGTGGTTGAAAAAGATGAAATCCAGCACGGTGATACTTAATGGCTCCTTATGAAATAATATGAAGTTAAAAGTTTGCAAAATGCAACCAGAGTGACCCTGGGGGTGACCCATACTGATTTTTCGAAATCTTCATATCGAGCTGAAATTTGGTATGGAGGCTGGACTATATGCAACTTAGTATGTATTTCAATTCAGACAAGAAGCGGACTCGGACTTATCGAGTCAAGGACTCTGTCCCTGACTCGGGCTATATGGAGTCTGCACTGTAGGTTTTTTATTTTTTGCAATGATAAATTTTTTTATGAAATGAGATTGTTTGTTGAATTAGGTTTTGATTAAATGAGATGAGATTTTTGAATGGAACGTTTTTCGAGTTTTGTTTGTGAGAGATTTCTATGTTGAATTGTTTTTGATCGAGCGAGATTAATTTATTGGAATGTTTCTACACTTTTAAGAAGCCAGATAATTTTCTGAAAAGATTTATTATTTTTAACCTTAGAGTATTTAATAATAATATCTAGAGTGGAAAAGCCCATGGTAAATTTTGGAAATAACAAACTTTTTTGTTCCGATACAGACCAAAATAAGGGTGCAATAATTTTTGCATAACATATAATGTCGCATAGTTTAAAAAAAATCATTTTCTCCCCATTTTGAGCGAAAAATGGTGACCGGAAAAGGGCGAAAAATAGAATTTCATCAAAAATCCTAATTTTTGCATGATTTTTTATGAAACTATGTGACATTGTTGTTATACACAAAATTATTGCACCCTTATTTTTCTGAGGTGAGGAAAGTAACCAAGGGCTACCCTCACGACAGAAAAGCGCATGGTTACGGCGAAGCCAAGGTATGCTTTCAAGACAGGGTCCTAAAACTTCCGCCACGGCCACAGCTCGAACGGTTGAATTTAGTGAAAAATTGTTGAAACAAAAAAATCAGACAATTACGAAATCTAGTGTCTTTTCATCTTTCTCGTGACGAAAGTCTAATATTACAAGAATTTTAGGATCTTCGCAACTTTAAAATGAACCGGAAATTCAATTTTACCATACAATACAATGATCATGCCGGCTATTAATTTTATTGTGCGGGCACTGATTACGCACCATTTAGGATACGTTCGAGCAAAATCGGTTGAAAAATGAGAAACTTTTGATGGAGGTATCTGCAGCCGTTTAAGCTGCTTAATCGCATATGATAATTGCACCTTACCTATCTTATTGCTGTTGGTAACCAACAAAAAAATTCCAACCCAAAAACCAGAAAATAAAACTACATTTAAAAAACAGCATTCTTCGGTGAGGGTGCGACTAAAAACTTTTAAACAAGAGCATTGAACAAATTTTAAAGTTTAATATTACCAACTTTTGCCTCACCGTGGGTCCAAAATGATTTTGAATTTAAATAAATGGCCACGGTGAGGCAAAAGTTGGTAAATATTAAACTTTAAAATTTGTTCAATGCTCTTGTTTAAAAGTTTTTAGTCGCACCCTCACCGAAGAATGCTGTTTTTTAAATGTAGTTTTATTGTCTGTATCGGAACAGAAAAAGTTGTTGATTTTGGGGACTTTTCTACTCTAGTTATTATTACTAAATACTCTAAGTTTTTAACGATTACATATTTAATACGATAAGTCCATAATACTGAACCAACAAGAAATTGGCACTAATAATGCGGCCAGCACAAATTTTAATTCATTCCTCCCTGACAAGCCTTTCCCCTCAGAGGACGACGGTTCAGGCTGAAATGTACTCGGCGTCGTACTCGGCGTCGTACGAGTGGTCACAGCGGGGTCAAATTGACATACAAAATTTAAAATTCCAGTGCATGGGACCCCACACCAACGCCACGTCAAGTTTCTCCTTCCTTCCAAACAGTGTTCTACATTAGGTGCCCTACAATTTGGCCCATTTTCGAAATTACTCCACGACATGGGAACATTATTCGTTTCCCATTTCCAAATTCCGTCCGTTACACGGGCACCAAGCCAAAGCGTGCCTGTGAAATAGAGAATTATGAAAAAAATTATACAAAACGTAAGTAGCGAATGTATAGTGCTTATAGTAAATATTATCATGAAATAACTTCATGGCGTGACTTTTTGATCTGCAAGGTAACAATTCCGGCTTCCTTTATAGATAGGTTAGGTAAGACGATAAATTGCGAAAATCCATACAAACAAATTATGTAAAATGTGAAAACATGTTTACGCGAAAACATGTGCATGCGTTCTAGATTTTGAAAAATTTAGTAAATCTCGAATTCGGTTGAAAAATTGAGATTGTCAATAACTTCAAAATTAAATAAATACAAATTGTTCCGTCAACCTTAACCTAACACCCTTCTTCTGCTTAATACAAAATTATCTTAACATGCGACCACTTTTCTCACCCGTAAAGTCTTGAGTGATTAAGAATTCCCTTAATTTATTGTCCAATTCTGGATTCATCGGTGTTACAAGACCACCACCAAGTCTATTACATTCCTCGAACGCTGCTAGCCAATTGTTCTAGAAGAAATTTGTTACTAATTTTATTCATATTGATTAATTTAGCATCATTTAACGTGCATACGGTAGAATTCATAAGCACGTATGGGGCAAAAGGTGGCGGAGTTGTTGTCAGAGTTGTGGTGGTCAAAGTGGTTTGGATTGTTGTGGGGGTCGTGCTTATCGGCACAGGGGTCGTTGAGGTACTTATCGTTGTCGCCGAGGTTGAAGTACTTATCGACACAGGGGTCGTGCTTGAAGTACTTATCGGGACCACAGTCGTGGTGGAGGTGCTTATCGGTCTCGCCGTCGTGGTAACCACTGTCGTCGTGGGGGTGGTGATGGTGACCTCACATTCAAATTGACACACGAATGGCAACTCTGTGTCACACTGCCTCCCACACCAGTCCCAGCCTGGCTCCGTTTCCGACGGCGTCCTTCCCTCCAGACAAACCTCGGCCGAGGTGGAATCGCAATTTGCCTCGTTCCTAAAATTACTCCAAGACATAGGAACATTGTTTGTTTCCCAGATCCATCTGCCTCCAGTGACACGAGCACCAAGCCATATTCTTCCTGAGAGTAAAGAGTTATTGACCTTTGACCTCAGTTTGTTCACATTAATTCGTGTTTAGTACCGGTAAAATTTTGCACGACTAAAAATTCTCTCAAATTGTCGTCCAGTTCAGGATTCATCGGTGCGACGAGACGACCTTCAAGTTGGTTGCATACGTTGAATGCATTCAGCCACCTTACCTGTTTGTAGAGTTTTGTCATTATGGATAAGATCAAGTTGCTTATCAATATTCAGTTTTACTCGCAAGTTTTAGAAACATACCGGAGAATTAATGAGCACGTACTCGAAACAGGTATTTGTAATTTCATTATTAACCGAGTTACTCTTCCCTGTAAGGAAATTAGTTGTCTAATAAAATTTTGTAGCTTTGCAAAAATTCAATATTTGACCTGTGACCTATCCTAAACCTCAAGGTCAAGGGGAGGTCACAGATTAAGACTCAACATGTTATGTGCAATGTTTAAAAATCCATGTTATGATTTTTACCCAGTAAGAAGGACCCGATTAGAAATGCAAATTTCAAAATTTGACCCATTTTTGTAAACAGGTTTTTACTACTATAAATATCAACAAATTCCGGAGGTAGATGCTCCAGTGTTATTTTGACCTTATTTTTTTACCAATTTATCAGCCAGTTCTTGTGTCAGAGACTGCGTGGGACGAACGCAGGAGGAGAGAGGGTTATGTATTTGTAATGACCTTAGATCACATAAATATTACTCATTTTTACAGATTAAGTGGGATTTAGGAGTGGATTACATTTCCGCGCAATCTTATCGCACGTACGATAATAAACCTTTAATTTCCGAACCTTTAACGGCATAGCGTTTAATTACATGGATGGATATGAGCCGATAATAAATCTACGCTGGGTATCATTTATTTATGTAGGCAAATTCCGGTAAGTGTGTCACCCCCATGAATTCATGGAATTGGAATTTATTACGTTACATATGGATAAAGGTGAGGGTGTGACTTATCCTGGCGATAAGTTTTATAATAATCAGAAATTAATGCGTACTATTGTGATTATTTGCCATGATTTGTTCCCGAATCAGCCCCAGGTTTACTTTCGTGTAAATTTCCATGAAAAGAGAATTTTTTGCCAAGTTTGTACGTCGATTTGTAAATATTTCAAATATATTTTTTGCCAAGTTTGTACGTCGATTTGTAAATATTTCAAATATAACGAAATAAATGAAGTTAATAGGTTTGATATTTACTCGCAAAAAACATAAGTATGAAAACAATAACGAAGCTAATAAAACTTTTTGAAATTTTTGCAGCATTGTTTGATGAAGTCTAACGAGGGAACGTTTTTGGGTGTCATGAGTTGATTCATATTAGTTTCAAATGGTTGTAAATTTACGCAAATAGATCTATGCATGTCAATTTATATTAATTGACATTGAACATCATCATTTACAAAAAAGATATGCCATTTCATTTTCCAATGAGAAAAATGATAATAATTTAATCAGAAATTTAATAAATCGAAATATCTGCACAATTTCTGAAAATTTCTTGCGGACCGCATCCAAATCCTTGGGTCCCATCGTCACAATCGCCCCACAAGTTTCCTAATAATGGAATTTATAATTATTAAATATTTCCACGATTCAAATTTTCACAAAATTTTTCAGAAACATATTCACCCGTTTCATAGTGCCACCGGAGAACGCAAGCGTCACAGCGAAATCCTTCTGGTAATCGGTACGTCATGTCATAAATGCCAATGCCTTTATCCACAATAAACTTTTGACCGGAACCGTTGCTCTGTTCGAGGGTCAGACTAAAACATTCGTTAGTTTCGATCGAGCCACGATTGGCGAGTTGGCAAATGCTGAATTCGAAATATCCCATGTGATAAGCTTCGAGGTAGATTTGGATCGGAATTTCCTGGAAATTTATAAAAATTTCAGATTAAAATTCATTGAAAAATTCTGATAAGAAAATATGGTAATTATTTTGCTTACCTGTCCCGCAGTATAATTTGCGGTGATAATACCTTGCCCGAAATACCCGGTATTTTCATGATGTCGAGGCGCCCGCTCGGCCCAGTCGTCCCCGCAAGGCCCGCAATTTCCGCCGTTATTGTAATATTGTTTCTGAAAGTGGGCAAAATTTCAGGAAAATTTTAAAATTCAAAGTTTTTGACAGAAATAAATGAAACTCGTTTTCTGAAATTTTGGTAATCTTACAATAAATCCGCCGCAATATAGTTCTCGATCGTTCCAATTTTCTCTTGGGTTGTAGCTCGCAAATTTGGGATTTCTCCAAATGGATGCCCGGTTGAGGGGGATTAGCATATTTCCATGAGGTTCCACACCCCCAATGGCGATGACGACGAGGAGGGCGAGAACTGCAAAATTACTGTTTGACGTCATTATTAAAGCGATGAGGATGATCCTTTAATCACAATTAAACCACTTTGCTTGCAGTGTATTTATGTAGGTGAAAATTATCAAGGTTACAATTATTATTTGTAAATCCACTTTAGTTTTCGAGTTTATCATGTAATAAAAATTATGCCGAACAGTTAATTTAAGCGTAAATAAAAATTATATTTATGTAAGTCAGTCACTCAGTTAAGCTGATTTTCAGATAAAAACTCCTAATTCCACACAAGTGGATAATCCGTTAATTGTGTGTGAGTTATGTACATACACAAGCCGTTAATCCATGCAGATACATGTGTAGATTATTCACCTACATATTTACATAGGTACGTAATTTGCATAATTATATTAATGTACGTGTTGCTAAATTTTGATGCGCAGGTAAGTATTTATTTGTTGATTTGAAAGTTTTTGAGCCTAAAAGCCGACCTCCGGCTGGGCAAGCTGGATAATCCAAGTTATGAAAATTACAATTACCAGTGGATTAGTAAAGGTTGCGTTATATAAGTTCAATTATAAATTCGGGTAAATTTATTTTCAAGGATTTTTAAAAGCCCAACTTGAGAGTAAATCCGATGATTTAGTTCGTTATAAGATCTATGCGGGGGATTTGTGGGATTTATTTATTATAAATCCATAACTTGACTTGTAAGCGAGATGCGGCAGGGCTTATGGAGTCGTTGTGACTGTGTGTCTGACATTAGCGAAAAGTTATGTATTGTGAAAAAAGTCCAAATATGTATTTAATATTTACAAAAAAATGTCAAAATACAAAAATATGAATTTTTCGTCAAATTTATGTTTTTACTTCAATGCACGAAATATTTTCTACTTAAACTTTAACATCTACATAAAATTTGAAAAAGTAGACAAACATATTTTGCGAACAATAATTAGGAAATTGGTATTTATGAAAACGTAAAAAAATATATTTTGAAATTTTTTAGTGATCCGAAAATAAATAAATATTTAGAAATGAAAACAAATAATCATTGTATTTATCTGATTACATTTGTGTTCTTACATATTCTTCAAAAATAAAATATGGCGTTGTATAATTTCATAATCATTTCACAACTCCATTTATCTAGATTCCAATCTATTAAAAACAAATATTTCTTAAAACCATCAAAATGTTGATAAACGTGTATATTTCTTTTAAATAGTCGAAATATATAGACTTATTTTCAAATAATAAATGGATCATTATTTATATAGCTTTATATACATAAATAGCTGAAATATTTTTATGTAAGCCACTAATATTCAGAAAAATTTCTTAACATATAATGAAAAGTATTATGAAATGAGTTGTGGATTAAATTTCACGTCGGGCATCAAATCAAAATGATATGTAATTAATTATTTATTTTACAGTATTAATCTGTAGAATAGTATGCATACATAATTACATAAGTAATTCGACTTACAAACACTCGGGCTGTGCGAAGCCATACCCAGCACATTTCTAGAGTGGATTTTCATTAGTTTATTTATCTCCACTTAATCCCTGACTTTACTCCTGAAATAATTTGATTGACCCACTAATCCTAAGACCGACTGACGTGCGTATTAGGGGAAAAAGGGGTATAAAAGTTCGGAAATGGGCAGAACATTTTCATTCACTCGTCTCCAACTGAAAAGCCTTCAAGAAAATACAAAAAATAAAAAAACATTATCAAATTTCGAAATGAATTCCATCCTTGCTATCGTTCTCTCCATTGGGGCGCTGAGCTTCGCACACGCTGCCGCCGCTCAAAAAGATATTCCCGGTAATTATTTGATAACTAATAAGTAATAATTTTTTTATTGATGAGAAGTTAACATTTTTCATGAAAATATTTAATCATCATATCATAGGATTCAAATATCTCGGTACGTCTGAGGTGCAGCAATCTGGGATTGGAATTAACGGAGTTGGAATAATGGCGTCTTATTACCTTTCACGAGATTCCGTATGTTTTCTTTACATTTTTGTGGTTAAGTTTCTTAAAAATGGGAAACCGGGACATTTGGCAAAATATTTTCGGAAATTTTGCCATTTTTCGGTACCGTTTTTACAACGAATTTTTTGCATAGATTAGCAATTACAATACTGCAAAATGGCACAAAACGTGTATTAATACCTAATTTTTGACGCCCTACTTAATTGACATTCCTAAAAACTTATAGGCCAACTGGGTCACCGCCTTCTCAAACTGTAACGACATTGGAGGACGTTTGGCATACCCGATGAATCCTGTCGCCAACGACGAGCTGCGACGTTTCCTTGTCGTGGAAGATTTAAGAGGTTGGTTTATCTTCTGTTGTGACATTTGCTGATTTTATTTTAAATTTGCATATTGAATTTTCACAGCCAACGCGTGGATTGGGGCAAGGTCAACGGGGACAAATTGGATTTGGGAGTCTAACTTCAACACAGCGATGTCTTGGTCGAGTTGGGCGTCTGGTTGCGGTACCGGGTACAACGCTTGCGGATATTTCATCTCCAATGGAGGAACCTGGTGCCACGCGGGTTGCTCAAGCACCATGTCGTACATTTGCCAATTTTAATTGTACAAACATTAATTCATTACTTGTCATGCAGAGAAAGTTAAATAAAAACCTGTTAAGAAACATGGGTATTTTTTATTAATCGATAATTTTCAAGAGTGATTGCAGAAATTGGAAAAAGCTTAAAACTATTGTTTACTGATTTTTTATCTGTGTTGACAAATTTCAAGAATGTTTGAAGTAAATAAAATATTATTTTCCTATATAAACGATCCAACAGAGTAACATATTTTTAAGCATTTTGAATATTTACTGCAGACAAAACTGGAATTCTTTCAAAAATGCTACAACTTTCTCTTTCCCCGAAAATTTGTCCAAAAAGTGCTAAAAATTGCTTGTTTTTGGCGTTATTTTGCTTTGTAACTTTTTTCAAAGTCAATTTGGAGATAATAATCTAAATGTGTGTACTGTTTGTTTTAAGAAACTTTTCCGATTCTTTTTTTGCTACGGAACTACGAAATGCCTATTTCACTTCATTAAAAGTTCAAAGCTTGAAATATTTAATAATTGACGTAGAGGTTTGTCTAGAAACTTCTATCCATTTTGTTTCTTTTTACTACAAATTTGTCCAATAGTTGTAGTCTTAAGATGAACTTATGATAATTTCTTATCAACTTCTGTAGAAATCACTAAAAACTTTTAGATCCAAAATATTACAAAAATAAGCGTACAAATATTTATCTGGCCAATGTTCTCTGGAAATTTTCCCAGCTAGTGAAACAAGTTTTCCGTGGGCAAAATTATGGAAATTGATCGAAAAAGACACTCACGCCAATATTTAACTAAGGCGCAAGTTACCAAGGGCAAACGTAACTTTTGAATCAGAAATAAATAGTTTTTAAAAAATTCCGAAAAACGTGTCTAAAATTTTCGCAAACCCACATCAAGATAATTCAGGGAAAGATAGTAAAATGGTTTTCGACTTCTCAACGTTGACACTCTTGGTTCTTATTTTGAGTTTGTCACACCTGGCGACGAACGTTAAAGCTACCGCCCCAATTCTGGACGGTCCTTGTAAGGATGTCATCTTAGGTCCCGGAATTATCAGGCTGCATCCCAGGTCAAAGTATGTCTTCCGATATGGACAAGATATCGACCCCATGAATACGTCGCCGACCACGACGCCATTGCCGGCGTCAACTCCTCTCCCGCCGACAATGACGCCGCCATTCCCGGCGTCAACTCCTCTCCCGCCGACCACGACGCCATTGCCGGCGGTAATTCTTTTCCTGACGACCACGCTGCCTCCGAATACAACACCCGTTCCGTCAATGCCAATAATTATGTCGTCCTCCGCGTTTACGCTGCCGACAACGTTCGCTCCACCCACCACGCTTATGCTGTCCACCTCGCCAACTACCACACCGACCACCACGCTGACGACGATGACCCTCCCGCCATACCCGCTTACTGATCCGATCACCTTCTCCAGCATCACAAAGCTGAGTGCGTACTGTCACAAAGAGTTGAACAGTAATTCGGACACGCCAGAACTGGAAATGATTGGAATCAGACATCTTGCAGACTGGAAGTAAATACAAATGTGAAGCCAAAGGTAATTCAATAATTTCGCACATTTTTTTTGCACAGATCTCTGCAAAAAATACTGATGGAAGATCTGGTCAGATTTTTTCCCAACCATCCGCCAAAGAAGGATGACATCATTTTTGGGACTTCGATCCGTTACAGGAGCCACTATAAACCCCGTCCCACCTTCACGAATGAGGGGATCGCCACCAAGCCGGCGTTTCTAGTTTGGGATGGCGTCAACTTTCCAGTGGAACCTAAGACGAAGGATACTTCGGTAGTGCTAAAAAATGCAGTTTTTAAAATTTCTGGAATTTTTTGCGACAAATTTTCCAGTTTTTTTATTTAAAAAAGTTTCCATTTTGAATTCCCACAGTTGTTCAATTCATCATTTCGTGTTTTTCAAAATTTTACTTACATATGTATTTCCCAATTTTTTACACTCGCTAAAATCAATTATTTTTATGACAGTTATTTTCTTAATTGTTAACATAATTAAAAATTTCCAGGAAATGTCGGTGCATCTCGTCGCACGTGAAGGAGGGAACCATTTGGTCCTGACTGCGCATGGGGTCAACGCCAACGAGTCCAATACAACGCAAGTGTATCGCGCCATCTGCCAATTTCCGTCAGATTCGGAATGTTTCCGAAACAGTGAGGAAGGTCGGTTCGAAAATTTTAGTGGGAAATCATTTTCTTTATTTTCTGAGTTTCAAATTTTCTTAAAAAATACGAAAAATGTCTAAAATACACAATCTGTAGAAGTTAATGCAGCCAAGGACGCTGAGACTAAAACGGTCAGATTAATGTGGACGAGTCGCGCCATATTCGAGATAACGGATCGACCTGTGAGCGCCCTGTACAATTTTGGGGATAAGAACTTATCAATTTTTTTAACTACAGGTCCTGCATCACGTCGCCCCTCACGTCTGCTCAGGAAAACGTCCGGACGGCTTGAACTTTCACATGTGGGATGGCGAAAAGATTGTCCACGGCGATGACCCACCATCTTACGTGTATTGGGGGTCACACGTTGAACTCAACGTTTTGGGCGAAACAATACACAAATTCTTTACCGACCACGGTTAGCATTGGTTATTAAATATTTTCCAAAATATTCAACAAAGTTCCCAGTTTATAAGTTTTTAAAAAATACTTCTTTCAAAAATTGGACCACATAATTTTAAAATTGCAAAATTCTCAAACCAAGTGGCTAAATTGAAAACTCAAAATTCCTATAAAATTGTGCCGTTTGCGAACATTTTGAAAAAATTATAATGCTCTCTTCAAAAATTACTAATAATTTCAGGTTATCACGAGAAATCGCACATTTTCATGTCCCCCAATTCAAAAGATAAGATGAAGCGCCGGCAACTCGACGGTCAACACTTCAGCGAGAGGGACGATATCAGAGTGGAGAAAAATTCGGGCGCTTTTGTTCTCTGCGTTTATAGGTTTAAGAGTCATTGTCAAGATTGAAAAGTTAACGTTATTTTTTAATGAAAGAGTTGAGTAACATGAAAATAAAGCGTACACTAAATTACTTAATTGTACTTAGGAGGGGAGGTTGTGTACTATCAACTCCCGGATCTCGATGCCCTTTGGATATGTTGTAGTGTCCCATGAATGTACCAGAACCCTGAAGTGGTTTGATTCCATGGCCACATTTGCGCCCGCCACACCCACTCAAATGTGCCCAAAAATCGCTTTCACTCCAGATTTCACTCACTCAAATCCACCTCAAAAATCCAATTTTACTCTGATTTTCAAATTTCTTTCACCGTTACACTCCCAGATAGTTGTTCTCTTATTTCCAACATCAAACTCAGCTTTTTTGATAATTATTTCGCAGGCATAATTTGTTTTGTTGATTACTACAACAATGCTCATTTAGAATTTTAAATTTTATAAATACTAAGAAATTCAAAAAGTTGAGTTTGATATTGGAAATAAGAGAACAACTATCTGGGAGTATAATGGTGAAAGAAATTTGAAAATCGGAGTAAAATTGGATTTTTGAGGTGGATTTGAGTGAGTGAAAGCTGGAGTGAAAGCGGTTTTTGGGCACCTTTGAGTGAGTGTGGCGGGCGCAAATGTGGCCATGGAATCAAACCACTTCAGGGTTGTTGTACATTCATGGGACACTACAACATATCCAAAGGGCATCGGGATCCGGGAGTTTATAGTACACAACCTCCCCTCCTTAGCTTCTCGGTCAAAAATTTTATAAAAATTTTCATTTCCAAACAGAAATTACATTTTTTACTTACTCATTTTAAAATCGTCATTTTGAACAAAAATTTAACTTACTCATGCATTTGCATATTTCAACTCCAAATATGTTTATTACATAACTTATAGCGAGTTAGTGGATAATAGATATTTTTAAACATATTTTTAAGTATTTTTAATATTTACTAATTAAATCAATTTTTTACTAATATAATTAGGTTGCATTTCGCGAATAATACAGTTGACAGTTATTTCTTACAACTAAAATAGTAGTTTTCGATGAACATTGGGTGTAAGTCACAGCAAATATCGTGGAACGAAATTACTTTTCTTTTTGTATTGTAATAAAATTAACACAAATCAGTTTAAAATCATAATAACTTACACAATTCACAATTCACAATAGATATTTACCTTAGTTTATCGATACAATTAATTTGATAAGTGGTATGGTATCAATGTCACCCACACACCTAATGTTAAGCAGAAGTGGAAGATTGGACAGGTGCAATAGGAATGAAAGTGAAAGTGTAAGTCAAGGAAATATTTTCCAGCGAAATGAAAATAAAAAAGGCAACATGCAATTTTATTGTGTGGCGATACCGATTAGTTGATTTCGATAATAAAACAGAACGACAAAAATGGAATCCTTTCAAAAATGCTACGACTTTCTCTTTTCCAGGATCCAAACAATGCTAAAAAATCCCTGCTTTTGTGCATATTTTGCTTTGTAACTTTTTCAAACTCAATTTACAGATAATATTCCAAATGTTGTCAATTGTCATACAATTCTTCTAAAGTGTCTTCCAAACTACTTTTGTTAAGGTTTGCAAAAATACTTTTGCCTCTGGAAAATTAAAATTCCATAATTCCGGGAACTTTCGTCCCCATCAAAATTCTTGACACATACTTTCTCCTCCAAAATTCTAACGACTGCCGATCGACCAATGTATTCAAATTAGGGCTGCTGCGGGTAGCGAAAATACTACCCGTTACCCGACCCGCTACCCGCAGCACAACTACCCGTACCCGCACGGGTACCCGTTACCCGCTACCCGTTATGGGAATTGAGTTAAAACCTAACCAGCCTTAAGAGTAAATTCGATTGAATTAATTATTGGCTCATTTGGGTTGATATGAGATAATGCACGCAAGTAACGCATGCCATACTTTGATATGGGAATGTCACTAGTTGCTTCTGAACTCAAACATTTTGGCTTACAATGGAACGTTTTTCAAACTACATCGGGATTTCTTAGCGAATTATATCAAAACATTAAGCCAAAAATTAGGAATTATCAATTATCTTTCCCTTGAATAT